CCCCCCCCCAATTCAAACTCCTAATCCCCAAAAGGCCGGTAACACACTTCTAACGCCTCTGGTGTTCCAGGTGTCCACGAGAGACGCCGATAGCTTACCATCACGTGATCCGTCTACTCGTTTAACGGCTTATCCCATAATAAACTCCTAATTTCATAGAGTATCTTTACCCACTACTTTAAATCGTTACGGAGTCGAATTTAAGATCCAGAACATTACTAACATTCGAGTGTATTATTAGCTTTTCTCAACTTAGAAAAGTACATGACAAACAAAAAGAAGCTTCCCGCGACAATGTCTTTTTGTAGAATACGGGAAATATTTCAGAAGATATTGTTCTTATTCGAAAAAACATGTTTGTGTTCACAGGTGCAGTGTGGGAGTAAGACTGTTCCAGTATACGGAAGTTAAGCCATCGATTTTCGCTATAACACTCGCCTCAACGCTCTTAACGATCTGGGGCGCGAGGCAGATAATTATTTTGGTTGACGACTGAATATTTCAAAGGCAGATACTTGATTCACTAAGAAATTACATCTCCCCTTTTTACAACGCCGTCACAAAGAACGTAAGAACGTCATTATTATTACTTTTTGTTACGCTTTTCTTATAGCCGTCTACATTTCATAAAGATTTTTATACGAATAATAAATTTAAGGAGGATAATTAACTTTTAAGCGTTGCCTATGGCTCGTTATAGGACAGGCAGCGGTAAGAACAAATTCAAAATGAACACGCGGAAATTACTTGGTATTTAAATTGTAATGAAGAAACTTTTTAAAGGTTTATTTTAATGGTTCCTACTTAAAGTAACTTGCATACTTTCGTTAGTAGAATTGTGTAACATAATAAAGTCCTTTAGTACTGGATTACACGAAGAAATTACTCTTTGTAAGTATTAAATTCGTATTCTAGTGTAATGAAGACGGAGGGTGAGTGGAGTGAGTTCGCATTACAACGCGGCACAATAATATGTGGGGCCGAATGTGTCCGTGAGGTGCAATGCGGTACACTTAATTACACACCTGATCCCTACTTTATAAATTAATTAACATTTGAATGATGTATTTATTCATAATGAAGTGGGTTTCGTAGATAATACCGAGCCCGTTTTCCCTGGAGAGGTAGGGGATAGTACACTGAATTTTCACCAGTTATCCTAGATACTAATTATTATAAACGCTGAATGTTTTTGTTTCTTACTGCTTCATGTCAACACGACTGAGGGGATCAGGACAGGGGTACGTTATAGTCTAGAATAGCTCACAGGCTACTTTTTATGCCACGGTAACGCGGGCGAAGCCGCTGGCAGAACTTAGTACTGATATCAAAAATTTAGTACTGGTAGAATACATGAATAAGCTCAGCATTAAGTACGTCTATGCCATAATGTACCTAGTTATGTGTACATAAAGTCTAGAATAAATAAATAATTTCTATTTATCGTGCGCAAATCGTAACTCCGTGATATTTGAAAAAGAATTTTCCAATGATATCATATTCTATCCCTCTAAGGAATATCTAAGTAAGGGCCTTCACCTCCACAGTATGACACATAGGTACAGATTCGTAATATTACACCTAAATACCTGTCTTAGGGAAAATTTCTAAGAATTATTTATTAGTTAAGTAAGTCTATTTTCCTGTTATTAAGGCATTTTTACTTTATAAGTAGATACCTTGGTATTTCAAGTCAACATATTTAATGGTTCGTAGATTTATTCGTCTATGTCTATTCAGTGTTCATATACCTAGACATCTATTAATAGTAACTTCGTTACCTGTGTTGGCAATTTAATTTAAGCTTGTAACAGTTAATTAAGATATCTAAATTACGTCAAAATGCTCAACAAATTAGTTTTGATAATAATTATTACCTAATTAATTCCGTCATCTGAATTGTCTAATAATATTTGTACAGATGAGTTAAACAAATATGAATAAGTTATTCTATAATTATAAATGTCATGTTATTTGGGGTATTATGTAGGTGCCTACCTACTCAATACTACATAATGATGGGTATTATTGTCATAACAATCGATATCTTCCTCAATACATAATGTACAGGACAATTACCTTATTTATTATTCTTCGAACGGAAACAAACATTTTGGGAAAATTTCCTACGCAGGCAATTATAGAAATCATATCGAGTAATGACGACGATACCAATACCAAAACATCATTTGATATAAAAGGGACATTTTCAATCAGGTTTATAACACCGATGGTGATTGAAATTTCGCATTTACCGAATATGAACGGTAGACGAGTCAATCAGACTCTATTAGCGTCACCGTATAGTGGACAGTATCGACTGGGAAATTATTGATTTGTGCCTAATTTCCGGTTGATTGGCGCCGGCCGGGCTGCGGGCAACGGGCGTATACGCGGTCTGCCCCTGTAACTTAGCACAGGTGAACGATTAACTCGCGCGAAACGAGATATCGCCCCATCCGATTGGAAACGTTATCGATATATCTACGCAATCGATTTAAATTGAAAATCTCCTCACTACAGGCAGGTCTAATTCAATTTGTTTCGGGATGAATATTTTAGCTTGGCGAAAATATGGTTGTGCTACGGAAGGGCTAGGGGTCCGTGCAAATTAAATCACAGGAAATGGTTGTAACAATGTATTAAAATGTACTCGAATAGTCGTGTATGTTAAAACAGGAAACATGAGGACTGTGAAAGAGTAATAGCGTGGACCGTGGGGTAGCAACCCTATGTCGGCCGCATGACCCTCGCCAAGTTTAACGAAAGGTTAACATTCTAAAGGTCGAATACTAAAAATCAGTCGTGTGTACCTAATTTAGTTCTCTAGGGACTGGCTATTGGTTCCCATCGAAATACATATTTGAACTTTATAGTTTAGTAAGTTTCAAGCACGTACCCGTGAATACTATAATAATCTGACGTATATAAAAGTGCATTTGCACCCAACATGTTAATTTATACCACTGCAAACTGTTCAGCGGAAAATGACAAGATTTTTTTAAAGTGTCTTGTACGAAGCTACCTAACTCAAGTACATAAGTACGGGTTATCTACATAATATAATATGTACACGACAGGTTTTAGTTTGTAATTATGAGGATGATTTGTAAGTAATTGTCATCCCACTAACGTACAACCAACCAGGCCGATGTAATTTGTAATACTAGTGCCGTTAACCAATTACCTGAATGCAAGAGCAAAATGGACACGTGTAGATCAGTAGCAGCACGTTCTTGATAACGAAGTTATTCCAAGCGTTATTGAAGTATTTAATTAAATACAGCACAACCGGTATCGGAACATAAACATCGGCGCTGCTGACAACAAACAGATAATCCGCAAAATATATCTGACTGATAAGGCACCGGTGAGCCAATCTCCCCTTGAAAATTATTTTTCGCTCGCGTCCGCGCAACCTGATACGATCTACATACAGCCGGCGAGAAAATATTTTAAAAACAATGAAGGGCATTCACTTTTATCAACGCATCGTCGCCCGAGGGGTTATGCTGAAAAGGAGCGGTGAATAGAAATCCCTACGGCAATGCCGGCAGCCTATCAGTTCTGTGAATGGCTATTAACCACCTCGGGGCGACGATAACGATGAAAGGCGACGTTACATTAATGTATACGGTGTTTGCTCTCACTCATTACCTCGTCCGGAGGCTGACGCAGGTGCATCGGGGGCCCCACGTCCCGCGGCGCATTCACAGGGGAACTGGCACTCTCACTCACTGCACTGGTATTCACCATAGTCCCGCTGTTGTCAGCCTCGATAACGTCCCAGGGCACATTTTCGTCGTACACTGCCACGTTCAGCACTTTGTCGCCGGCGTGGAACCGCCACGGCAAGTCGGTGCCGGTCTGCCGAGGCCGACGTCGCTTGTGTCGCACTTTATGTCGCGTGAACCTGCCGAACCCTCCGTCGTGGCCTTCCTCCAGCATAGCATCGTACAGCGAGTCCAAATTCACTTTCAACTTGTGGCGCCTGGTGGAACGCGAGCCTGGCGTGGTGGCCGGAGCCGGCGTGGTGATGGGATCCCTACTGAGACCCTCCGCATCCCACAACTGTATTCTTAAGATGTTGTCGTGGGAGGGTATGTGGGCGCGCGCGTACGCGAGCGCGAGTATCGCGAGTGCGAGAGCGAGCGCGCGCGCGGACCCGTGCATGTCTGGCAGCGGCCGCGAGCCAACTGATGCGAGCGCTCGTCGCCACTGTTTTCCCGCGCTTTCCCGATAACGCTACGAAGCAGTACTACGAGCTGCACGCATTCGACATCAACGCCGCGCCTCCCTCGCCGCGCTACATTACATATCGCGTACTCTTTATCGCGACGTGATTAATTTGATAACGGCAAACATTACACCTATCGTGTCGCGCCCTGACAGCGATTACGACACGCAATTACCAAAGAAACGAGTAAATAAAACAAAATGTTCAACTAAATAAATTCTATTCCCATAATTTAACACAACTGTTGTGACAACTACAAATTAATCATTTTGTACTACAATTATAATAGCATTTGAAATGCAGTGAATCACGATACACTGATACGGATAGTTAGGTAACTGATAAAATATTTATCACGTGATATGGAATTTTATAACATTTACACAGAAATGCAACAGTACTTAGGTATAAGAGATACAAGAAACTTTAAATGTAGGTGCACTAATTAAGTGAGTACCTAGGGTACACGAACTACAATTAGTAGCAATGAAAATGTGCAAGTTGTTTACAATAGACTTTGTAAATAACTTTACCGCTAGCGAGGATTGTTATCTGGGAGAAAATCGCGAGAATATTTGCACATTAAAATTGCTACGAATTTGCGTAGCACGCGTAGCAGCGTTGTAGGCGTAGCCAATATAACAAATATTCCAACAATTCAGTGCTGTTTGCAACATTATCATACATAAAGCTGTATACACTCAACTGAGTTCATTGTTAACATTTTCTACGCATTGAAAATATTTTTGGTTTATTATATAGGCTGTTGCTGATTTGATCGGAAATTCGGGTTTAAAGAAATTGAAGGAAAAAAGCGTAGTGTTGAGGTCACTTCTGTTTACTTTATAGTAATTTATTGTTGTAAGTAACAAAATCATGCAAATAATGAACTGTTATTTCGATGAGGTAATCTGTGTTCTCTGCTTACCCCCACGGGAGACAAGCGTGAAGTTATATGTGTATGTATGTAGTTTCGATTAATTTTTTTTTTGAGAAAAATTAATAATTGATTTGAGACATAGCAACATCACACGTACCATTTTGGTAATAATAATTATTATTATTTATTTATCTTTAAATCACACACGTAAGTACATATGTTATAATTTAAGCCCCACAAAACCATTGCAATTTAAGAAAAGAAGAGGCCTAATAATTATTCTATACTCAATTTTTTTTTAATTTACAAACAGTATCATATAAAAAAATTATACTTTTTCTATAATTATGGTACTGTTAAGGCCTAATCTGATATCGATCTCTATAAGACAACCTGTATAGACAGGAAATCTAAAATTTAATTCTAAGGCATCCATATTTCCCCGTTCTTGGTTAAAGGGGAATCCCCATACCATTTACAATGAATAGAAATCAATTAGAATTAATTACGTGGATTCCCAGAATTAAAGATATGTTTTACAATCAAAATATTGACCTTTTTCGATGTATGCATTGAGATACGGAATTTAATTAAAAACTGTCCGCATCAATCAAATAAAAAAATATGATTTCTATTTATTGCTTTCTTATAACGAACTTCTTTAGCGAGCTGCGAAGAACACTTTTCAAATGATAACAGTACACTTTATTAGAACAAAACAGAAGTTAGCAACAAGCACCGTAACGTTCCTAACTCAAAAACTATACATATTGAATGAAGTTAGTCGCACACCAACCCCTACGTTTCCCGCCCCGATTTCCGTTTCCGTTGCCGTATCAGCGACCAAAAACAAACCTCGCAACTGAATAACATTTATATTTTACACGATTTCCGACCAAAATAGCAACAAATATTTTGTAAAACTATTGCATAGAACGATTTGTCTAAAACCTAACGTAAGTACATTTTCTATGAAATTAATGTAGTGGCAAGTAATAGGACAGGCCTTAAGATTATATTATTAGTGAATTTTGAGTAAATAATCTCTATATTTACTTAAAATAGGTATATAGAGTTAAAGTAACAATAGTACGCCCCTGTTTTAAATTGAAGTAGACGACAAAATTAATTATTATTTATTTCGGCTTACTCACGTATTTATTTGACGAGGAACTCGACTAGTTTCAAACCATTCTAGAGGCTCATATTCATGAGCACCATTCCGCGACTCGCGACGCGGCGACTGTCGCGCTGCTACTAATATTTACGTAATTACGTAAATAAGCCGAAAAACAATAATTAATTTAGTATGTCTCACGAAAGTTATAACATAAATATGCGTATTTTCTTTATTAAAATACGTAATACAAATAAACTTAGATATTTTATCTCTGTCTGATCTAGGTTGAGTGAGCAAGACAGCAACATTGTTCTTAAAAGTCATTTCGGAGTAGTTTAGGCGCGTACTATAAGTTACCTGTTGAATAAATCTCTAAGTACATTTTAAACATAGTATGCACATATTGATAGTAAACATTAAGATTATCTGTGTCACATTCGAACATTAGTAAAATATATAATATAGAACCATATATAGTTAATTTTATACAAAAGCAACCATGTCATAACATTATTATTATTACAAAATATACACAGATAAACAGCTAAGAATTATTCATATCATAATACTTACATAGACGAAAATATCATTATTAAATTACAATACATACAGCCTAGTATTTTAATGAAAGAGTGGTCTAATATCAGAATAAAGCCAAAGAAGCGAGGTAAAACTTATGTTCAATAGAAAAATTAGTTTTATTATTTTGGGGTTTGAGTTGATTTTTCAATGTCTTTATTTTTTAGTAACATCGATGAATGAGGAAGAATTTTTTATATCATATCAAAGATTCTTTTAAATCTACTTTTATACGATATTTCAAATTTAATGAGCTAATCATTCCATTTCAAAAACTAAGCTATAACGCCCTACTCAGAGTCATTTAATGACTACTTACCCAGTCCTTGGCAATAGGGTAGATGACTAATTTTTATTTAATGTACACACGTACTTTTTATTTTTTAACAGAATCAATTACTTTCGACGATATATTGATTTGAAATGTCACGTGACGTCACTTCTATGTACATTTTATACGTAGAAATGACGTTTTAACCCCCACTCTTAAACTTTGATTCGTTATATCTAAATATTATTTTAATATACAACAAAATAAAAAATACGAGTCTAATATTTTTCCATTACCTAACTAACGGTCTAATTAGATTTTTAATATTCATACCCTGTCATCATCCCTATTGTTTTACAACAAAATCGTTACTAAGAAATAGTTTAAGTAATCATTAAATGTCTCCGAGTATCGCAGTTCGTATCTTATTCAAACACTAATTCAATTGGGAAAAGAACGTAGAGATAAAATTTTAGCTGAGTGAAATTGTTCTAGGCAGACGTCATTTTACGCAATATATTTATCATTAAGAGCATAATAATATATATACTCATATTCCATTAACGTTAAAATAACAGTCAGCTACTGAAAACACACTATGACATATGTAATAAATATACTTATATATATATATATAGCTTTAATTAATATAGAGGCCATTATAATTAACCATACATGTATTAAATATCAATGAAAGTGAGAATTTCATACAAATATGTAATTCAGTTTAACTACAATTATAAATATACAATAACATTAATATATCCTATTGAAAATACTCTATTCACAAACATTGGTTACATCTCATAAGAGTACAGTTCAAAAGAGTTTTATGTACAAAAAGTTTAAATATTATTCCATATTGTGATAAAAATCGGTGGTTCTTACAACAGGTTCATTTTTATTAATGTGACTATTTTTTTTTATATAATAATGTTTACTTATATAAATTTCAATTGCTGTGCCCGGGGGTATATAAATAAGAATATTTTGTACAGTGGTGGATTAATCAAGCGCGGGGCCCGTAGCTAATTCTATTGTGGGGCCACATCGTACATGGTGTCCCTGACTGGATGGATCCAAACTCAATGGGAGTATGAAGAAGGTTATTCCGAAAAGATTCAGCCATAAGTGTTAGTAAAAATACTGTAAATGCCTATTTTTCTAACGCCAAATAAATTTTAAATGAGGAATAACTTTGAATCTTATACTATTACATAAAGCGGAAGAGTTTGTTTGTTTGAACGCGCTAATCTCCGTAACTACAAGTCTGTTTTGAATAATTCTTTTTGTGTTGGGTAGCGCATTTATCGAGGATGGCTATAGGCTATAAAACATCATGCTACGACCAATAGGAGCTGAGCAGAGCGTGTGAAACCGCGCGGAAGTAGCTAGTATTTGATAAAATTGTTCCATACTAATAACTGGCAAATGTCAATTTTATTTCACAGTTAAAAATTAACTGACGATTGAAGCATTGGCCTTAAGACGGAGATGACTTTGCTGTCACGGGACCCGTAGGCTACTCTTGCTACATGATTAATCCGGCACTGATTTCGTATAATACAAACGCGTCAAAAGTATGACAACTTTTTTCTACAATGAACACACTTCTCAAAAGACTTGTATCCAAAAACTTGTCATTGAGCATGCTAAAGCGTAAAAAAAAATATAAAAATAGGGACGGGCTCTACTTATTTTAAAATAAAAAATATATATGATGGCAATGTTTTATGAATCACAACACTTAACTAACAAGTTTATTGTCAATTTAGACTGAGCTACCTTTAGCCCTATTAGGGTTCTATAAGTTCTTAAAGACTTTTTAAAGAAAGCATAAAGAAATATGGTAGGTAACAATGGGGCCGTTCAAATATTACGTAAGCAGATTTTTTACAATTATTTACCCCCCCCCCCATCCCCCTTGTCAGCAAAAGTAAGCAAAGATGTTAAAGACCCCTCCCCCTTTGCTTACGTAAACATTTTAAATTATATCGTTTTTCTATTGTAATTTTAATATTCTCTTAGATACCATAATGTCTAGTTCTTTGTCGGTCTTTGCTTGTAATTTATAATTTCAATATAAGGGTTGCCGTTCGTGTAAAAAAGTAAATTACTACCGATGACGTAATCATCATCTAGACGGGGAGTCTACCCCCCATATCATTCGAAATAAGCAAAACAGAGACCCCCCCCGCCCCCATAGTGCTTACGTAATACTTGAACAGCCCCAATAACAATGCGAAAGCCTATAAAATAATTTCGAAATCACAAAATAAATAATCACAAATAATTTCAAATATAAAGCTTCATCGAATGATTTTTTTTAGAATGACAGGTCATGGACTCGTACGTATTTTTTTATAATACTGCCTAAAATTGTGACAAACCCAATACCTCGTATCGCCTCCCAACTTCCGATTATTATGTAATATTACAAGTTACTACATTAAACAACAATATTAACCAATGAACGATTTATACAATGCTATAAAAATTACAAATTGTACTAATATAATCACATAATGGAATAGATATTTATTATTTACATGTTATATCAATTCCTGATACTAGTTAAGTAATATTGGTCGCATAAAGCCGATTATACACCATAACCTTGTGGATATGTGCTCCTAACCTTACATAAGGGTCAATGACCTCATATATCGCTTACGCCTTTTTAAATCCTACTTCTATCCAGTAATTGTATGAACCGACCTTTTTGGTTAAAAGCTGTATATGTACAGACGCCAGCAAGTTAACCTACTGCAATTTTCATTGGATTTTTGACTTTATATCAAAACACAAAAAGGTTCAAAATTAAATAAAGAAATATAGCAGAAAAGAGTAGGTTTTCCTGTCGGTTTCTATTATATTCAACTAGGAAAATGCAATAATTAATTTGAACAACAAACATGGCTTGCTAACAAATGTTATTAGAGAGCAGACAATAATGCTCTAACAATAAGACCTACGGCGACTAGACACAGAGAATATGCCTAAACAATGTTAAGTGAACAATATTATGCCTAACATTCTAACCATATACATAAATAATACAAAACAAAAGTATTTTGCGACAGTAAAACGGAATTTTTAACCACGAACATTGTACACACACATAGACCTATAAAAACCAATTTATAATAGACCCGCTTTATATGATCTTTCGGCACATTCAACGATCAGTTTATACTGGTTATGCATAGCTTGATGTGAGGTCGCATATACTAAGCAGAAAACATACACAATGGTCGCAAGTAGGCCTTTGACAATAACAATTCTAATTTTGTGACGTTCCAAATTTAAATTACGCTTAAAGCTAGGGGTACACCGACAATACAATCTAAACACCGTTATTGTTCTTTCTTAGGTTTGCCGGTGAACCGGGCAGGTAAGTTTTTAGTCAGTCAATGCTGAGATCGTTGGAGAAGTGTCGCGACAGCTTAGCAACATCAAGGCCTGTGAAGTCGGTGAATATGTCCGTGGTAGCGGTTGAAGGCTTGGACCTTCCTGGGGATGAACTGCTCGAGGCCTGCTCACAAGGATCTATTACGACTAAACTGTCCTCTTTGCTACTTACTTCGAACGGCTCTGATATACCTGTAAAAGAGAGTGGGTCTTTAGTATTTGGTATAGGGTTTAATTTTGTGTAACTTTGATAGGTTTGTATACTTTATCTACTATAATAGCTTAGTATGTATTGCAAAAATCTTTTCCGGGTGAAAAGCAAAGATAACGAGAGTGAGTAGTTAAAGTAATATTGTGATAACGGATCTTAATTTTATCAGTCATTGTATAAGTAGATACTTGTAAAAATTTGTCACCGTTTCCTTTGGAACTTATGTATATCTTATAGTGTACTTATATCTTAGAGAAGACAATAGGGATGGTGACAGGGTTTGAAAATTAAAAATCTAATTAGTCCGTCAGTTAGGTAGGTAATTAAAAAATATTAGACATGTATTTTTTTTGTCGTATAAGAAAATAATACTTAGATAGAACAAATCAAAAGTTTAGGAGTGGGAGATAGCTACGTCATTTTAGAGTATAAATCGTACTCAAAAGTGACGTCATGCGATATTTCAAATCAATATATCTTCGAAAGTATTCGTTTCCGTAAGAAAATAAAAAATACGTGTCCAATGCTTTTAAATAATCTACCAGACGGACATTAAAATAAAATTAGTTATCTACGTTATAATACAATATACTTCTAAAATACAATAAATAAACTCACCCAAAACACTCCTAACATCGTTATTAGGTTGGCTAAAGTATATAAGCCTGTAGAATCCAGGTGTCCTGACTCCACTGCCGACCGGGAAGCTCAGTGTAATAGTACGGGGCTGGCCACTAGCAGTCGGTGTCTCGGGGAGACTGACCTTAGCCAGGTACTCGTACGCTATGTAGTCATCTAAGCTGTGGAAGTTGGCCTGGAAAAAGGACAAATTTGTTTAGGTTTATTTATTTGTAAATTTTTAACAGTTATTTGATTGAGTTTGGATGTCAAATGTTTGGCCGTATGGCCAAATATTGGCTATATAGCAGAAAAAAAGTTGTTTCTAAACTCACATTACATCGACTAACTATATGAAAAATGTTTTTTCAATAAGGAGTGCACTTGATCTTAATAGACTGTCTAAGGAATTTGATATCGACTTATTCTGCACCAGTGTAGCATACTTGCGACATCAAATCGCACAAAACTTCTTCGATAGTTAACTTCTTTTTCTAATTATTCTTCTAACAATTAACATTTGTTAGTAATTTAGTCTTCTGTACTCTTTTTTTATGCCTTTTTATCTATATGTGGAGGCTTGTAATTAGCAATTTGTCAATATTATACTCTTATAAAATCATTTCCTATATATTAGTCTGTAAGCTTTCTTAAAATAAAAATAAAAATAATAAATTCTCTTTCTGTACAGGATTCTTCTTATTACACTTTTATCGAGTAAATGGCTGTAATAAAGAACCGACAGATACCATTTTCATTTTATTATTTGACATTTAAATGTACCTTTGCTCTTAGAGATTTGATTTCGATGGATTTCTTTAGAAGCCATGATGAACTCAATTATCAAGAACCCACTAAATAAACCCTTTGAAAATTTCTCAACGCAAATACAAATGATTGAATGTCAACTTACATCGTAAATACCAATCCAATCATTAGGATTGACTTCAATGTCCGGCGTGAGCGTACACTGCGTCCTAAAGTCAGCATCACCGATATACCAGATCCGTGTAATGGGCGCAAACTCTACAGTCTTCTCTGTATAGTTTGAGAACGTCTGTAGACAAACAATGTACATAAGTCAGTAACAGTAAAGAGGAAGGAAACATGTACCTATAGCTGTTAAAATAAAACATATGTATAATGCCGGAATACATACTGAAACGTTACTCAATTTAAAGTCGTGCTTAAATATCGTGCCATCTCTGTCATTTGACAAAGAATTAGTAGTGACAGGACTAATTTAAGCGCGACCTAAAATTGAGTAACGTATCAGTATTCCGACATAAGTGTTATAAATTGTCACTTATTCATGTAGGATATTAGACAAACAATCAGGCTTATCACCTGATGGTAAACAATCAGCGCCGTCTCTGAACACTGGCAACACTGGAAGAATGTGTTACCGGCCTATAAAATGTTCTACGTAATTATAATAAAATCTTAATAAGAGATAGTCTAGTTGGCTTGGCAAACTAAGGTGCATTGCAAACAACCATGCAATAATACTACCAAATAGCATGCAAACCATTCAATATTTATAAAATTGATAATTGATTTGTTATGTACTTACCTCTGAACTATTCAACCCATCTGTAGTATCGACTTTAGCGGAGTGCATAGCATGCATGGGACCGTCAGCAGAGTCAGTGTTTATCGGTGACATCGGCGCACTAAACATGGCCGCCTGTCCTCCCTCAGCTACCTCAGAAGAAGCGACGATCATAGACCGCATTCGTATACCAGGAGGTCTCTGCGGCCGTTCAGCTACAAGCTCGCGAGTGAACGATTTCCGAACCTACCATGCAAGCGTGCAAAATTAGGGGTTAATACAAGCTTATAGGGTATATTTTTGGCTAAATGTACAGCTGGTGCAATACCCAGACTACTCGTTGGTAGGGTAAGATTGGTTCTAAAGGTACATTCAAACACGATGCAAGGAATTATGTGTGTACAGAAATAATAAACAAATAAATCAAAATATTAAACCTTTTTTCTTGACAGCCAATGAAGTCTGACAAAGGTTAGTAAGAAGAAAAAAAAATGTATTACATAAATTCTTAAATGGAGAACAATCTAAAACACGGATCCAACCAAACAGTTAGTGCAATACAACAAAAATAAATACAGACACAATGAAAATTAGCGTCGACACGCCAACTGAATTAGGAGTGCTGTTCGTGCAATAAGAATAGCATACCAACAAACTACCGTATTTGTAAACGTTATTTAATAATGCGTGCATCAATAGAGTGATAATTAAATGTGAATGCTTCAATTTCCGACCAATTTAGGGCCCACCATTTTTATTTGAAAAGTAAACATTGTAAAGGTATCTTGTGCGGCACTATGGATAATAGAGGTACAACAATATTGAACTTCGAGAATATTTCACATAAAAACTTTTACAGGGAGAATTTGAGAAAGAGTTTGTCTTTGAGTTTGTTAAACACCATTTCATTTATGACTATATACTAAGGTCAATCAATTTGAAATGTTTGATAACAAACTGTTGTATTTATTGGAACGTTTGGTAAGTTAACAAGTAGACCAGAATTATTATTGTATGCTTTTATTAATAGACGACGATATTAATAACGAATACAGTGATGACGATGCGCTTAAGCGGGGGTGGAGACTATGGTAGTAATTTGTTATAGTGAAAAACTGACGGTGGCGCTACATATGCAGTGACAAGATTATATTTAATCACAGATAAACAACACAAGCCGTAGATGTAAGTCCACATCTAGATGCGCCAAAAAACACCTTAAGACCTACATAGGCACTATTCTTTGCTATTAATCAAAACTGTCACTAAATAGACGATGAGAAAAAGCCATTTTTGCTGTATATATATTTTTCTCAACTGCTCGAAGATATTAAAACAAATGAAAGTGGTATTCACGGCTTCTAGGTACGCCTATTATCTGTGCAAACCTTTAATCTCGGTTGATAAAGCTACATGAGTCAAGGTTACTACTAGGTAATGATATAAATACTTACATGTCTATATATATCTATGTTTGTCAAATACAAATGCACAAAGTAGGTTAAATACAAAAGTACAAACAGGTCAGAAATACGGCCACCTCGACTAATGGTGATAAATGTACTTTGATAACCTTGAATTGGCTTTTAGTATAACTTATGGTCATATAGAAAAAAATATTATGTAATCCTATCCTACCGTTTATGTCGCGGAGAACCTAACGGGTTACCAAGGTTCCGGCTCGAAGCGCAGGAGAAGGAACGGGGTGGTTTTTAGTTAGTAAGAGTCTGACACTCCCTCCCGCCTCACCCAGGCGGGAGAAGACATTCGATGATTTTCCCCCATTAAAAAAAATCCTACCGTTTATGAAATTTTCTTTTTATTTCATACCAAAACGAAAATGTGAAAGTTTGTTAGGATGGGTATGTGTTTTTCACGCAAAAAACCACTGAAAGGATCTAAATACAATTTGGTACACTTTTTTTAAACATTGTCCCTCTCATTATTGTTCTCCTGTATCGTGGGTGCATTTACAAACATACAAGTTCACATACACATGACTGACACCCAGACCCGAAACAAGAATTTGTGATGATTCACAAATTCACAAAAGATGTGTGATCATAAAGATTTGCTGCGTGGAGGAATCGAAACCGCTACACGTTGCACGACAGCCGGTTGCCCAGTTACCGTACCAACCGTGCAATCATTCAATCAATTATTATAGCCTGGAATTGTTATTGAAACTTATCCATGTATTCATAGACTATTTTTTTTAGTAAAGGCAAGCAAAGACGCTGACAGAAATTAGTTCTAAGTAATAAATAAAATGTTTAGGTCACATATCTATCATAGTACAATATTTAGGTCGTTCATAACACGACTAATGGCTGTTCCAAATAGAATGATATTAATAATTGCTCGAACTAAGTGATTCGAGACATGGTCGGCATCGCGTCAAACGAATTGGGTCAGTATTTATTAGTTTAAGTCTAGACTAGGGCGACAAGAGTATTATTTTTCTTATTGAACTTATGTCCACCGGTGGACGAAAATGAGCGATATATTTGACTTTCAAGATTCTAGTCGTAATGAACGGCGTTTGTTGGTAACACTAGAATCTCACCCAACCTTAAAAAACTATTAATATACCGGCATACTGATTAGTGTTTTAAAAAAACTAATTCTAAACTCAAATAAAAGATTAGACTGCACGGTTGGCGCGGTAGTAGGACAACTGACTGCCGCGCAACGTGTTGCGGGTTCGATTCCCGCACGGAACAACTCTTTGTGTGATCCACAGATTGTTGTTTCGGGTCTGGGTGTCATGTGTATATGAACTTGTATGTTTATAAATGCACCCACGACACAGAAGAAAATCCTAGTGTGGGGCAACGTTTTTCAAAAAATAGATCAAGTTTTTCCATAGAAAACGAACAACCTAGCTATTGAATGCTAAAAAGTACAGAATAGTTTAATTTTACAATTTCTATGACCAAACTTGCTTTACAAATAGGCACTACGAATTATTAGTATTGATGAGAACTTTACACTTAAATGGAGTCACTGCGATCACTACGATCACTACGATCTGATGAAGGAGTATGATAGCTACGGGAACTTCTTAACGGTTAACTGTAGCTACGCAGTGTTTAGGTTTGACGTATTGTATTTGTATTGATAACAATTCTACACCTATGTGGGTTATAAGTAATGCAACGGACAAGTATAACCTAATCCTAAACTAAAAAATAAAAAAACAACTTCAAAACAAAACAAAACTAAATACAAACAAAAGATAAAAACTAAAAAACTAATTATTATTATTAGTATACATAATGTATGGATAGGTTACCAACCCACTTATAGGTTAGAAGTCGGTGCCACAAGCCTTTAACATAATGTAACTTAATGGTCACAGGAATAATCTGTAATAAAAGTGCAATAAATATTAAACTATAAGACCATTAGATAGACCATAGAGGTTTAATGAATATTTTTATCGTCGAATCACCAAGTATGAAAAAAAATTACAACTTGATACACCGACTTCTCACCTATCGGGGATTTTGTAATCTCCACACAACTACTGTCAAAAATATTACCTATTCCACAGATTTTGGATTGAGAAATGTTATTCATTTCGGCTATCAGTCGGCTCTTAACGGACAAGTGGGGCGTCCAAGTGACAAATACATTATTTTCTCCTTTCAATACACGGCTACTTAAGTTGTTATAACTATGAATCTAAACCAAACCAGTCACGGTGCAATACATAAACTACCCAATACCTACTAAAGTCATGCGACACCTGAGAGCATGCATTACGTTCAACGAGATCTAGCATCTGATTGGCCAGCTCCAATAAACCAACCAATCAGAGGGCTACACGCGGTAACGTTTCGATCTTGTCTAACGTAAAAGAAACTTGATATACTGACCTTTATATTGAAGAATGCAACCACTGGCTTGTGGTCACTGACTGTGTAGTGAGCCATGTGGTTATACGACACCACCTCAGCCTTTAACGTCACGTTTTCATAATTATTTGCGTTCACTTTGTAAAGAATTCTATCCGTCCATGATGGTTTCCTCCTGTTGACCAAAAAGGGTATAATTAAATGAGTGTTGTTATTTATGTATTTATCTATAATATAATGCTTTTGTCATGGTGGCCCGGAGGTTTAAGACACCTGCTTCTCATGCATGAGAGTGCGAGTTCGAAACCTACCAACGGCAAGTACCAATGTGACTTTTTCTGAATTACATGTACTAATCTAAGATTATTTAGACACCACTGACAAACGGTGAAGGAAAACATCGTGAGGAAACCTGGGCTTATAATTTCTAATTATAGGTTTGTAAATCGCCAACCCGACCTATACAAACTGAATGCGTGTGCGTGTGCGCCGTAGGGGTGAGAGTACTAGGGGGTGGAGCCGACGGAGCGTTTGCGTTTCTTATTGGATTTTTATGGAATTAGGAATAATATCAATTAACTGTTTGAGTTTGTGTGTGTTGAGCCGCGTTATAAAGCTAGTTACAAGACTGTGGCGTGTGGTTCGCACTTACGGATTTCCGTAATTTACAGAAAAATAAAAAATATTTACCCACAATTTTTTTTATTGATTTGGACTCAGAATCGATAGCCGAGTTACCTCCTATAAAATGACGCGGCTTTAAAGCAACACCTGGTATTTTAAGTTAAAATTGTACTAGATAGACATTATTATTGTATTTTAACATGGGCCTTCGTTGACTGATATCAATAAATAAATAAAAAACCGTACAAAATTACAATTGCAAATTAAGACGGAGTTTCCAGTTTTTTTTTTCTTGTTACTTAGTATTAAATTACTAATAAACCTATTAAAATACATGATACTATTCGTTGCCTGACCGCATTAGTCTTAAGATTAACTTTAAACTCATTATATTAATGAAATCAACCGTATTAAGGTTTCATTTAGGTGCAGAATGCAATGTATCCGATAAAACCTCTATTATCATCTGAGAATTGAAATCTACATACAGTAATGTTAACAATAACTGTAGGCATTACATATTTACACACATTCAGCTAAATATAGTTATTGTTGTATTGGAATCAAGTTTATTATGAGAACAAACCTACATACATTGAATCTATAAGATTTAATTTCACAATATTATACCGAAGTATGTAAAGTTGATATCGGTAATTATTCATTATTTTAAACAGAAGCCATGAAATTTTGCTACTTAAGTGATTAAATGCTTAAAATTGCAACCGTTAAGTGTTAAGCACTGCTAGGTTTTTTGATTTAGTAACTGTTCTTACTACAAAAATCTTTCCTAACCGAGTTAAACAGGGAATTGTGAACATGTGCGAACCTCGTATACCCGAATTGGTCAAACAAATTATGGCAGTCAGTTATCTTTGGCAATAGATCCAACCCCTATTACATTAGATTCTAAAGTCTCATGATTAGACAAACTACTGTAAACTGGGTCCTATATAAACGCACTAGCTACTTCTGCACGGTTTCACACGCTCTGCTCAGCTCCTATTGGTCATAGCGTGATGTTTTATAGCCTATAGCCATCCTCAGCAAATGCGCTATCCAACACAAACAGAATTATTCAAATCAGACTTGTAGTTACGGAGATTAGCGCTTTCAAACAAACAAACAAAAAAACAAATTCTTCCGCTTTATATAATAGTAAAGATATAAGATTTCTATCAACCTCTATGGGGCCAACAACCAAAGCTATATTATATTTAAAAAGTTACGTACTTAACATCATATTCATCTCCTCCAATGATAAACTTATACGTCGGTGGGAATCGTATATCGTGCTCCGTAAACTCCGAAAACGCTTCACCGGAGTCCATGACCGCAATGAGCTGATCATGAGCGAGAAGAGAAGCATATTTGTCCTTTTCTATCTTCTGTAATTGAGCTAGGATCTCTTCTGAAGTTGGACTGCTGCCCGCTGGATGATCCGTTCGGAAGTTTAAGTCGCCCAACCAGATCACGTAGCTGGAATAAATTGGATAAAGAGATTTCAATAAGCAAGATTGTTGGTGTACAAATCCTTGGTATTTGTTAAAAGCAATGTAATAGGGATGATAACAAGATATGAAAATTAAAAATCTAATTAGTCCGTAAGTTCGGTAATGAAAAAATATTAGACACGTATTTTTTATTTTTTCGTATAATAAAACAGTACTTAGATAAAATGAATTAAAGTTTAGGAGTCGAGACTAAAACGTCATTTCTACGTATAAAATGTACATAGAAGTGACGTCAAACGACATTTCAAACCAATTTATCGTCCAAAGTATTCGCTTCTGTAAGAAAATAAAAAATACATATCTAATGATTTAAAATAATCTACCAGACGGGCATTAAAATAAAAATTAGGCATCTACCCTATTGTCGTTGCAGCTGGTCAGAAGTCCTAAAAAGCCTATCAATCGGTCTAACCGAGATTGTAGTATCACCACACATAGTGGTATCGCGAACAAGTTGTTATCGACTCCAAAACTAACCACGGGCGATACCACAACCTTGGACACGTCGCTACATAAAAATTTATTAACAGTCAGCCGAATTTATACCTACTTACTGCGATACTTAAACTATTCCTTAGTAACGGTTTTGTTCCAAAAACAATTGGGTAGTTTCCAGGGTATCAAAATTAAAAATCTAATTAGTCCGTCAGTTAAATACTGAAAAAATATTAGACACGTATTTTTTTTTATTTTCTCTTATTACGTTGCAATACTTAGATAAAATGGCCCTAAGTTTAGGAGTGGGAGGTCGTTACGTCATAACGTGCTACAAGGTATGACAAGCTGTGACGTCACACGATATTTCAAATTAATATATCGTCGACAGTATTTAATTTTGTGAGAAAAGAAAAAATACGTGTCTAAAGTTTTAAATTAATGTACCAGATGGACATTAAAATAAAATTTAGGAAACTACCCTACTGCTAAGGTCTGGGTTATGTAGCCATTAAATGAATTTGAGTACGACGCGCCGGTTAGAGCCGGCAACAAACATATTTGTTTAAACTTAAACCCAGGAGAAAATTATAAAAAGTAAGTACCTAAGTCAAGCAGATGTAGGTGCGTGTGCGTGTTAATTGTTACTATAACATTTTTATTAAAGGTCACTGCGGTTTTCTCTGAACCAAATCTACGTAAAAATATAATACATATCGTGCCATCTCTGTCATTTTACAAAGAATTTGTAGAGACAGAACTATACTTAAGCACGACTTAAAATTGAGTAGCGTTTGAGTATTCCGACATTAGTTACTTTACCCAAGAGTCTTGATACATGACATGTTCTTTTATCAATTTCAAAATTAATCCTTAAAGCTTAGTATTACAATCACTACATAGTCCCTATGTATGCTTAGATCTTTAAAACTACGCCACTGATTTTGATGCGGATTTTTTTAATAGATAGAGTGATTCTTAAGGAAGGTTTTGTATAATACATGAATATTGAACCCTTGCGAAGCCAGGGCGAGTCGCTAGTAAGAACTATACATAGATAATTGTGCTAATTAAACCTTGTCGCCTGACTAGTCGAGACCATTGTCGCTTTGATCTTATTATCTTAATACGAAGACAAATAAAATATTGAAACAATAGGCGATTCACAACCTGATGAATCAATCAAATACGACTAATGATTGACCACGTTTCAGATGAATTAATAAGACACGTATTTACTAGATTTAAATATTATCATCAAATCAGCCACAAGACATCTACTGCTTAACATAATAACATAACATCACGCCTTATATCCCCAGAGGCGTAGGCAGAGGTGCACACAGCGATAACACCTAGTTTTCACTATTTATGGTCTGAGTCCCATGTTATAGGGGGTGAGCCTATTGTTGCCATATACCGGAAACATTTCCAGACTCCGTGGCACTACTGAGATTTTTTTAAAAGCCCAGTAATACTTTGTCCGACCCGGGAAACGAACTCGACCACCTGCCCGATAGTCGTACTTGCGACCACTCGGCCAACGAGGCAGTCGTCATCTACTGCTTAACATACGACTTCCAAATCAAATATTATAGTTACACAACAACCAATCATGAAATAGCTACATTATGTAGCAAATTCGCAACTACTTATCTTAAAATGCATAAAAAAACATGGAACCGTGGCTAAACAGTGAACACTAGCAGCAGTTGGTTCAAATAAAATTCTCCACGTGATATACAAGTCAAATATTTATCAGATAAAGAATACTTTCGTGGAATCCAGAAGGGCTGTATAGAAAAAAAAATTGATATTTTTCCTGCTCGATAGGAATTGTTGAGTATACCATGAATCACTATCAAAGGGCTATGTAAAAAAAAAAATTTCCTTCTAGATCGTAGATAGGGACATATCAAAGTATGTTTTAACAGCTCTCAAGCCCTGTCATACCTACACCTACTTTTTAAAGTACCAGATACTCATGATAACTAGCGTCACATTTTGTTGTTAGTATTATCTATTTTGTTAGAACATGATAAGAATTTATTTCAATTTATAATATCTATTGATTTTCCCGATACCGTGTTAAATATATCTGTGTTGTTGTACTGGGATATCAGTGATTAAATTGTGCTACTGTCTAGATTTATATAGAATAGAATAATGTTGATTTATCTTTAATGTTGTAATAATGAATTGAATAATATCATAATCAGGTTTATTTTATTAATATTCATGTAAGATTGGTATATTTATAAGCCTGAAGTGATAATAGCTGAATTTGAGCATAAAATTACAATAACTTGCGAACATTTCGTGACAAAAAAGCATGTTTTTTTGTACATTTGATTTCAATAAAGGTGATTTATCTAAAGTTAACACTATTACCAATCGTAACTAAAAACTTGACTACGAGATTTCAATCAATCAAACCTATTTCGTGATACTGATTAGATCCAGATTTCTAGAGAATATCATTTTGTCGTCACATAGTCAGTGTTGTCAATTTGCAACCAGTGGATGATGAGTTTTATTTCGCTTAACATACAGATTATTATCATTTACCGAGAAAATGTACTTCATGTTTTTATCTTCTGTGTACGTAACGTAAGTTCTAAATAAAAATACAATGACATTACTATTCAAAACGAAGATAAATGATATTGGCAAAGCACTAATAATTTTTTCTAGTTTAAAAATAAATTATTTTGCTGAATAACAACTGTGGTTCAACATTACTTAAATTAAATGATATTTTTCACACCTTTTCAACTATTAGAATTACCTAACAGTGGCATTAAGTGGCGTAATGTAAACCTCTGCCTACCCCTTCGGGGATAAAAGGCGTGACGTTATGTACAATTACCTATGTTATTACTAGGTGTATTTAATTAATGCCGATCCATTTTACGTAATCGATAAAACGAGAATAGAATCTATCAGAACACTTGTTTATGGCAAATTACAGATATGTTAACTGCCTATGATAATAATCAGGATAAAAATAATACACACTTAATAGATAAATTAATACATATAAATATGTAGGTACTTACTCATGGTACAAAATGTTGGTAGTCTCGGTGACATGGTACATGTGTTGTTTGATAATGGTGTTGTAATCATTGATGCGATCGGCCAACAGGTGCTCGTGCGCAGTCAGGTGGGAATTCACAAGGCACACCGATACCCCGTATATGTTGAACCTTATACTAACAGCCCCTTTGTTACCCTGAAACAATGGTGTTTTATAATTAAATGCTATAAGAAGATAGAAGTTACAATAGTATTGTTTTCCCCCAAATGAGTGAAAATAGGACTTTTCGCGGCATCTTACCCCAGACTTGTAATTGGGGGAAGATGGGAAGTTCTATTCCCGTCTTCCACTGCATGTCTGCCCACGAATAGGGGAAAATTGGAATGCATGTGTCATTTCCCCCCAAATTTTAAATCGGAGGCTCCTATACGTATGGTAAATAAATGACAATGACCAAATTTGTATGGAGCGTGGTGCCTTTTTGTTTTTTCGCGGCAGTTGATCGGATGTGGAAAAACTGATGCAGAATAACATTACAAACAAAAAAATATATGGGGTCTTATATCAAAAACACAGTCCGAACCGAGTTAAATCAGTTCAAAGATGTGAAAATAGTACTATATATTGTTCATGGTGACCGTCCACAACGTATATTTTTCTTCATTTACTTGTCAGAAATATTTTGAAATAAATGTTTATAAACGATTTCAAGGAATTTATTAAAGCTTGTTGTGGACTTTTTTCTTATTTTCTTTTTTTTTTTAATCAGAACCATTGATTCAGACATCAGAGTGAACCATTTATTGGTCACTGCTGAAGTAAATATAAAAAGATTTCGCTTAATTGGCTAGCGTGTTCACTTTATATGTTATGGTTTATGACCTATGGCAGATTTTCATGATCAATTTCCTCTCAGTCGAAAATCCGCAAAATACTTTACTGAGCCCTATCATGAAATGCTATGTATGTCAGCTGTGGCGTCGGTAGCGGATTGAGTAGCAGCAGTCGTCAAAACACGAAAAAATCATTTTTCTGTCTACTTCTCCCGACTTACTCCCGATTAGTAACTAATCCAACTACAGGGAATACACTAATCTGCATTCAGTCACAAAGTGATGGATTATATTCCGACTGATCACATTATATGAAAAAATTATGCGCTCATCTGACGTATAGTCCATCAATTTACAAAGTCCACGGTTTCCTTTTTTCAAAAGATTATGCTAAATATAAAGTAGATGAGTCTCCCACCAGGAGTCAACGGAAAAAAAAATACTTTATTAGATGTTTGGACGGCTACCACTACTCAACCCACCACTGGTACCACAACTGACACTCATGAAGCTTCATGACACAACTCTTAGAAGCATCTCACAAGTTATCGACTGAGAGAAAATAGCTAATAAAAATTAGTGCCTGGGAATATGTATATATTGTGGTGTGATATGGTATGCCTGTGCCAGGTGTACAGTGGCGCGCAATTTGAAGTTAGGAATTGTGACAAAAATATGAATAATTTGAATAAAAAAACCAATGTTAAATGTTTGACTCCAGCTCCTTTCAACCCTCATAACTCAGTCCAGACTGAGATTTCCATATATGAGCCCATAGACAATTTCGTTTGTAATGTCATTCTAGATAATATTTTCCATAAATCATCGACTGCCGCCAGAAAAAAGAAAGGCACCAATTTTAGTCAATGCCCTTTCGTCGAATGATATTAATGGGAATGTGAAACGAAAAATAAGAAAGAAGGTTCTCCGTATTTTGTCTAGTATAAGCTCGCAAACCTGGGTCCTTCTAGTGCAGTGCGACCCTGAGACCTACTATTTAATGTCTTATTACATCAATGGTGAAATTCAAGCAAAAGGAAGACTAATAAAACCTTATCGAACGCAGAACTATTAACCTGTCCTTCAATCGGTTTATTTACCCGATAACAATCGAGCGATGTGATCTATTCCGATATATTTAACTTATCATACAATAGATAAATTCATAACCACGACAACGCTAACTTACCTATACGTTAAATAAAGAATCTCTCCAAGATTTTTGGCAAATAAACGACGAAACAGACACACGACTGCGACCTTTATGAACAACTAAATTGTAACCAGAATTTAAAGATATTTCTTCGCGATCGTGTGTGATTTTTGTAATTACATAAGTGCGTATTTAGCCAGGCAATCAACACAATAAATTACTGCTGTTATGTACAACATACCTACATCTGTTTTTTACGACATTAATCATGATTCATGAAGTTTTTGTCGTGATCAAAGGTTTATGATGATTACTTACGATCTCAGGGAAATTTACTTTTTATAATGACGCTTAGAGGAACTTACATAATGAAGCAGGTTACCGTTCCGGTACGGATAGTCCAATACCGATCGTCTGCACTGGCAATATGTCACAGCAATGTGCATTTAAAAAATATCAGTAAGCAGGTAGGTAATTAATTATTATTAAATTGAAGCTTTTACTCAATGCTGTAATCGGTGTGGTCTCGTTTCATTTTTATTCCTATTAGGGCATCCGAATTAAAGCGAGTGATTCGAGTGGTAACTCGACAGCCTACTTCAAATTGAGAGCAAGCACATAAAGGCATGATAACAATATACATATACATATACACCTACGTCCGAAAATCCCACAACAAGCACCATCGATTAACTTTAATAGGATACACAATCATAGCATTAGTTATGCAAATAAATTAAACAAATAGGTAATGTTTTATTTCAGTCAGTCATGCAACCACTTATCGTGATTTTTTGTCTTATCTAAGCGTATAAAAACTATATCAATTGTTTAGATATCCATAATAAAAGAATTAAATTGATTTTTTTATGTGTTCAACTGTTTCTATCGTTTTTATTTTCTAATGTACTAGCAGCCCGTCCCAGCTTCGCACGGGGTAGACAATTATTTATTTTTGGAAATTTGGATTGTCGAAGTGACATAACTACAATAGTCGGACATATGCTACCGCGGAGTTTTTTGTAGACATTATGATGTTCTTCAATATTGTTGTACATTATTTTGTTCGGTCGCTAATAGTTTCGGCAGCGTCACGTGAGTAACCCGCGATTTTAGTTAATTTAGTATGTCTCACGATAGTTATTATAAAATCGTACAAAATTCATAGAAAACAGTCGATTTTGACAGCTCGAAAAAAGTATTGAACTTGACTAGTTGTCAAATAGCATATTATTATAACCAACTTCTGCCAGCGACATCATTCGCGTTACCGTAGAATAAAACATAGCCTGTGTGTAATTCTAGACTATAATCTACCCTTGTACGAAATTTCATCCCGATCCCTTCAGCCGTTGTGACGAGATTGTGTGAAAAACATACAAATTCACAAACTCTCGCGTTTATAATACTATAATAATAAGCTTAAAAGACTGCCTCGTTTGATGAGTGCGACTGCCGGGCATGGGGTCTCGGGTTCGATTCCCGGTTCGGGCAAAGTATTACTGGGTTTAAAAAAAAATCTCAGTAGCAGCACAGTCTGGAATTGTGCCCAGTAAATGGCAATAGCTCACCCCCTATTACATGGGACTCATAACATAAATAGTGAAAAGTGGGTGTTACATTGTTACGATGTACACCTTTGCATACCCCTCCGGGGATAAAAGGTGTGATGTTATGTATGTAACAAGATTAAAAGGATAACCAAAGATTACGCGCCTTTACGCCGGTATTGTTTGAAGTACCCACAAGAATGAGATGAGAGCATGGCCAAAAATATACTGGACACATTTTTAAAAAGAAATTACTGTGTAGTAAACCGCTTTCAAATTGCAGGCAATTGTAAGAATGGCTAATAGTAGGTACCTATTAGTTCCATTCTATATGTTAGTTTAATTACGAAGATTTGTGAGTAACAACTGAGTGAATGTAAAGTCCCTGCTTAAGCATGAACAGTATTTACCAGGAATATAGGCCTACATGACTAGGTACAGCTAGTTCTAGATCAAAGTCTTATTGTAAAGTCATGCAACCTCATTTAAGGATGACCTCAATTGTCAATTTCTTATGAAAACACACTAATTCATTAAAGAAATACTTAATACACTGGCTGAAATAATGGATGAATAATGGGGCATTTACATAGATTATAAATGACTTTAACCTGAATACAACCATGATTTAGTACTTTAGAACTTTACAGAGAAACATGATGTATTGCTGACCATGATTTTCATAATTATTGTTTTAGAAAGATGAATGCATAACAGAATTGTTATGCATTCATCTTTTTTTACATTTTAGTTAGAATCTTAGTCCTTTAGAAAAATTTAAACAGGTATTTATACCTGTTTCAATTTTCATAAACCAAAAAAGGAATAAGCAAGAAAACTGGCGAAAATGGTACCTACCACAATCAGCATATAAATCTAAGAACACTTAGATCACAAAAGATAGACAGCTATGCCATGATAATTAAGGACATAGTTATGTACAAAAAAAGTAGGTAATTCAATTCACTCACCCACATGCCTCCAAGTCCAGTCTTGGTGTACTGAGCTTCAATATCCCTCAAATGTGTGACATGCTTCATCTGAGTATACACCAGCAGGAGTAAACCCTGTAACCTGGTACTCTTGGCAATAATAAACCCTTGTCGGCAAAGAATTTTGTTAAAAGAGGATGTCCATGCATCGGTAAACAAAGAGTCCATAACCATATTCTGTGGCTGAGATTTTACTTCTTGCAGCCTGTAATAAAATTAAAAAAGTTAAAAAAGCATAGACACATTATGTTTTATTCTGTGGCTGATGTTTTACTTCTTGCAGCCTGTCATAAAATTTAAAAAGTAAAAGTAGTTTGTCATTGAAACTAATGTTTATTGAGTGGTTCATAAATAAAAAGAAAAAGTCAGGCCAATTAATGCAAAGATGTTTTAAGAATAGATGTTTTTTAATATCTGTTTATATTACAATGGTATTTTAATGTGTAAATTCACTTTATATTACAAATGTCATCAAATCATTTAACTGTGTGATATGTTTTCTTATTTTCACACAATACTTATTGAATTGACATGAAATTCAATTCCCATAATTAAAGTTAAATGAAAATTAACTCGTCGAGTACCGGTTTTGTAGACACAATTATAGAACAATAGGTTGCGGTCACTGGTGACCGCTTGGTGTTTGACAGTTTAATAGGATTTTTTAAAAATAAAAAGCAGTATTTATAAAAGAAAAACTTACTGTTCGTAAGAAACAGCTATTAATATATTCTTAACCTTCAGTTCTATTGCAAAATATGTAAAATATACTAAAAAAATGTTACTATGAGGTTATTTTATGATAATACTGTTTTTTGTGCTGTTATTAACTATAGGATGTAAGTACCTATTAGTTATTAGTGACATCACTATTGATACAAGGTGTTGAAACTTTTTTCTATTCAACATTTTATCAAAAGTAATTAAGTATTGGTGAAATAAAAATATTAATTTGTTGTTATTGTTGTATTATCATTAAAGATAAAGGATTATTTCCTTATAACTGATTGTGACCACCTCTTCACTATCATATATGTAATTACATGATAAACATGAAAATTATTATTTTATTCATCATCAAAGTAGGTCACTAAAGTCATATAAGAAAACAGTTTTAGGACAAATTCAACCCTAAGAATAAATACATATCTATATCAAATATGTCAGTTTTAATAAAATACCCAATAATATTTAAAACAAACAGAACACATTATAAACATAAAATTATTGCATCTGGCATAGTATCACATTGACCCAGAAATAAGTAGGATACAAGCACAGATTATGCAAGAACATAACTCATGAACTACATAACTACTTACCCAATCACAAAAAAGTCTGGTAATGGTTTATTTTTATTGAACTGTGATGGAAAGTCCAATAGGGCATTTAGATCCTGCCCTGGATTCTTGGTAGCCACATTCCAGGTGACAAAATAAAATCTGAAAAACGTATTTCATAATTAATTAGTGTAGCCATGAAAAGTCAAGAATAACAAACGTTTGACCTTGACTCCTTATGACGCAAATGGACTAGTACTTAGTAAAAACCTTATACCTTGATACATTAGACACATACATAATATAATATGCTCTACTCACTTTAATGTATCCATTTTCCTTTCTTCCAGCTACACTAACTATCCTTAGGACACTGGTATCTATAAACTAACACCAAAAGATAAAAACCCACTTCAGGTATAGATAGATAAGATAGGATTCGAATAAATTAATTAGGTATATTCCACAGTAATTTAATATTACACCATATTGGTACACTTAAAAAACTTATACGATTATTTAGCATACAGTTATACACCGTTATTTTGTTAAAGTGTTATATAAATAAAGAATTGATTATTTTCTTATTTTAATTTCACTCTCACAAAACATCTCCCACCAAGCGCAAAGAAATGACTGACAGAAGAAGTATCTGTCAATGTCTTGTAGTAAGTATAGTTTCAAACTGTCAATTATTTTCACAGATCATATACATCGCATACAAATGTTATGAAATGGTTAAAAGTATGATTAATAAATTCAACAAAATTAAGGTTCAAATAATATTTACTCAAAATTAAGTCCATTTTATTAGGCTTACTTAAAATTATTTAAAAATTGTTGAATTTTTGTTATTACACCATAAGTAGCTTTCAATTTTACTTATAATGAACGCATCTTACAAATGGCGGGAAACGTGTTGTCAAACTCGAAAGTTGATGTCATTAGTGTCAAATCACTTTGTCGTTGTCGAGCAATGCGCGTGATTTGTTTTGTGAACTAGTAAATAAACTAAATAACATTACAGTATTTAAATATCATCGGTTCAGTTTTTGTTATTGAAGATTATTAAACTCCAATTGCTAAAACCGGCAATATTAAAAGAACATCATCATGAGCACTCAAGAACAACAGGTAAGTGAAGTTTAGATGTTATGGCATTAGTTACAAGTAAACGCTAATGGATTTTCTATGATTTAGAGAAGCCTACTGTATGGTATTATTATATATCTTGTATTTTTCTAGGAGACTTCAAGAGTCACGAGGAAATCCCTCAAAACACTTCAGCATACGGCTTCAGATCGAGAAAACTTAGTGGGTAGGCCATCAAAAAGTTTGAAGCATCAACTGAGTCAGGAGTCCCCTGTGTATGTACTTTTCTATTTACTAACATAGAACGAGTTGTCTATTGAAAGTAATTGATACATTTGTTTTGATTTCAGGGATGTTGAGGTTAAAAGAAAGAATTTGTCTACCAAAGAAACTCAAGCAAACTTGGATACAACTATAACTGTTGATGATTTGACAAATCCTGAAGGTCCATCAGAAAAATATTGGCAACTTCTTGCTGAGAAGCGCCAGTGAGTATATAGTTATTCAGATATACTTAGTTTTTGTCACTTAGTTTTTGTCTTTGATTTTAAGAGTTTGTATTAAAATTAAGATGTTACTGATTGCTTTCTGACCTGACTTTTAATATAGGGCGTTATCTTGTCATCACATAAACAGTCCATAACCATCTACTGTTGCATATGCCTCCTTTATATAAGATTTATAAGAAAGTAATCCGGTATCTTCAAGTTTGAATTGAATCCAAACCTGGTACATACTATATTTCCTTGTAAAATATGACTGATTTTTTTTTAAATTCAATTCCAGAGTTGCATTACAAGAAGCATTAGATGAAAATGAAAAATTAAGAAAAATAATTGAAGATCTTAAGGAAGAAAACACTCTCTTCAAACAGATGCTGGACGAGGCTAACAGCTTTGTTGAAGTTATCAAGGTAAGCTTTCTTTAGATACTATAAAAATAAGCCCTCAGTTATGTTTGTATATATGAACCAGATAAACTCAATAACTGCTAGACAGATTTCTGCACAGTTTTCACAGGTAGTTAGTCATTTCCTGAGGAAAGTTTTGAAGTATTTACTATTTTTATTTACAAGGCTGAATTTATTGAATATATCAAAGAGAGGACATTACTCAAATTTCTTAAACTCAACCTCTATTAGACTGTGTAATAAAATCAGCATGATACACTCAACTGATTATTATTTCCACAATGGGGGCAAAGGTATAGATGGAAACGTAGCAATCCATTATAGTTAACAGTCAGTTAAAGACCTGGCTAAACTGGTACATTAACGTTTTCATCATAATAAGTCTTAATGTTAAATTCTCCAGGTTATTCACTTAATCACTTTCATTATTTAATTACAGGAGGAACTGGCCAATAACTCCAACAACGACACTGGCATTGATGTTAATGATGTCAGCACTGCTGATGAAACAACTGATGATGTGGAGACCAAGACTGCCAACCAATAATAGAGTCCTAAAGACCTAGGTCAGGGATGGCAACCAATGGCTCATTGCCATCGATGGCATGCAGCAATATTCTGGGCATGTCAAAAACTAAAATAATTAATAAAAAGAAAAAGCCTACAAAAAGGTTGGATGTAGACATCTTTGGTGTTTTAGATGTATTTAGGCAAAGGTGCCGCTGACCACGAGCATCCCATGAGCTTGTTGCTTCTAAACTACTAATAAGAACATAATGAACAGTTTTAAGCATTACCATCTCTGTCCTCGGTTTTAACTTCATGCCAAATGTGTTTCTTATATCATTAGTTGAATATTGTAATAGTTGGAGAAACATACCACATCCAATGAACTTTTATTAATCATAATGTTGGTTGATATTTGCATAGTGTGCAATTTAATCATAATGTTTGTTATTTACATAGTATTTTTTGTGTGAAACTGGACTTAAACAAACCTGCCCTTATAATTTATGCAACTATGTAATAATACTAATATAAGGTGGCATTAAATGCATTGCTTAATTAATTTATTCCGGTTATGTTTGGGCAGTGAACACTAACACGTGTTAGTTGAGTAACCATTCTTGTTTTATTTTATAACTTTGATTTTTTTGCTACAATTTTAATTATTTGAGTTTGAAAGTTCACTTAGCATTAAGAATTGCATTTCCTGTAATGTGTATTTTTCTATTTGTTTGTACTGTAAGCAGAAAACGATTATTAAACTTTAATTTGTAAAAAATGTAAACCTTTATTTGATTTCATATTTGTGTTTTCAGGTACAATTATAACTAAAACATACTATAACCATTATTTATATAATTTATAATAATTTATTTATGTATAAATAGCAAGTATAAAAATACATCAAGGCACCATTGAAACACTTATTGTTGTTGATATTTTAAGAAAGCTTGAAATTGTGTATCAAAATTAGTCTCATATGTCCATGGCATCAAGTCTGGATACATTGTAATACGTCTAAATAGATCAACATTGGCATTTTGCGGCAACACACTCCTTACTTTCTTGTTGAGGCAGCCCGAGGCATGAATGTAGTTGTTTACAATAAGGTTATAAATAAAATTAACATATTTATGGTCTAAGTTATCAGAGGTATTCGGAACGGTTGGATTATGGGACTGGATTTCATCCAAGTAGCCAGGAGTTATGATGGGAATGATGATATCAGCCTGTAAATGAAATAAAAATAAAATTAAATCATGAACTATATTCAATCCCAATGTCTCAATGAAACTGTTACATCATTTCATATACTCACTTTTTCAAAATATTCTCGAATAAATTTCTCTGGATTTTGGTACAGTTCTTCCCTCTTATTGTTCAAAGTAATGACTTGAACATTCGGTACTTCAATCCAGTTTTCGACATATTCTTGTATATTCACTGCTGTTGGGAAACCATCTTGAGTGTAAGTCAAGAAAAGTATTGGGCTATCATTAACTATAGGCTCATTTGCTGTGGAAGGTATCTTCAAAGCTGGTTGTTTTGGTTTCTTTGGTTCCTTATCTTGAGAGACCACCTTGTTGCTGAGCGCTGCTGGTAAATTATTGGGAATATTTTTTGGTCTAACCACTTCTCTCTGCCCAGAACTTTTGCTTTGATAACCACTATCATCCTTATTGAAGAATTGAGCTATTTTGCAAAGAGGTTCTTCCAATGATTTTAAAATATCATACCGCTTCATCTTAATGAAGGCATCTATGATTTTATCAATTGTTGCGTTTTCATTCTGTCTAAATACTTTTAACACCATGTCAACGTGATCCTCCTGAACTGAGTACATTATATACTGAAAAAAATTGTATGCAATATTATCAATCTGGTATAACATATATAGAGTTCACTTAGATGACAAAGTAATTAAAATGCTCACATTCAATTTATTAGTTTCAATCCCTAAATGAAGGCCAAGTTCTTGCCATGTGTTGGGACTACCACCAACTTGAGTTAGTATCCTCTTCCATAGCTCATAGCATGAAGAACCCATTGCAGAAGTGGCGTGACGATAGTATAACAAATCAGCATGAAGATTATAAGATTTTTTACTCAAAGATTGCAATTCCGTTATTTCTTTGGTCCATTCTTGCTTTACCATTTCCTCCAATACGAGTGTGTCAATAGTGATCGTGTCAGGATCAGGATACATGCTTTGGGTTTCCCTGTAAAAGTAATAAATTGGTCAATATGGTATACCTTCTTAACGAAATACATACCTATTTCGTATTATTTTATTATTTTGATGATTATAACTTACATATTTTTGTACACTATTATCGTCAAGTTTCGTAATTAAAACAATTGAAGGTACTTAAACAAATATAATTTCATTGGACACTTCAAAGATCAAAATAAAAGTTTAGGAGGAAAATGTCACAAAAATATTATTGTCACTTGTCTACTTTGTTCATCGGATTTCCTCGTAATCCGCAGTCGTAAATTGTTTGACACTTGACAGTTGACAAAACAGATGATTGAGACGGGTTTACAGTGTTTCCTCTACTCTGTGTGTGCACTGCAGTGCACTGAATGTATTATCTTGGTTTTTTCAGTTATTTAGTCTGTCACTGTTTTGTAATATCATGAACAGAGTAAATAAAAAACATTACAAACTATTAATGAATGCATCTAAAAACATTTTTTGGACCCACAATAACGTTGTATGCGTGCCTGCCCTTTTTTAATATATTAATTAAAGGAAAATGTCGTCGAAATCAAGTGTCTAAAGAATAACAGACTATTATTTATTTTGTATTTGCTGGTGTTTCAAAGGTATCAAATTATGGTTTAATTGCAATAAATCATCGACCAACAATATAAATGCTTTGACTTTGAATGTTTTATTTGTTAAAAACTTTGCCCCACACTAGAATTTTCTTCTGTATCGTGGGTGTGTTTGCAAACATATAATTTCACATACATAATATCACAACCAGACCCAGAATAACAATCAATAAAGATCACTTAAAGAGTTCTTCCGTGCGAGAATCGAACCCGTGACATGTTAGGCGGCAGCCGTTTACCCAGCCACCGCGCACCGCGCCAACCGTGCAGTCAACAAAAAAAAACTATTAATACCTCCTCCTTTTTTGGAGTCGGTAAAAATATTATTAAGGAACGCTGTGAACACTGCTGAATTTATAATACAAACAAACCCACATTTATAACAATGCAATAAACCATAAAATGTGTACTTGCCTTTATTTGTATCTGTCACCTCCACAGAATATAATTATATAGATAGGTCACCTCACTATACCTCACTCACCTCACCTCACTGTCATCTCATCTGTCATGTAAACAGCTTAGTGTTTTTGGCGGGATTTATAAAAGTTTTCAAATTATCAAAAAGATGTTTGTTATTTAAAGTTTATTGATAAAATATTAACAATGACTAATACTCTGTAAGTCAAGTTCCTTGGTTCTGTTTATTTTTCTGTGTCTAAAAAGTTAGTTTTATGATATGTAATAATATTTTTTCAGTGAAAGCTTTACAGATGTTCTGGGTGATGAAATTGGTAACTCCCAGCCGTTGTCTTTGCCGTCTTCTACTGAAAGTAGAGGTTTCCCTGTGTCTGTCAATAATAATCCTATTAATACTACGAATACCAATGTTGGAGTTACAGGACGCCCTTCTAAATGTACTGGACAGCATGGACAATTCAGGAGTGTGGAGGAAATAGGTAAGTTTGAGATTTTTATTTGACTTTATATAATATACCTCCTTACTCCTTATACCAAGTTGTCTATATACTTAGGTAACATACAACTTAATATGTAAATTTTCTACATAAGTGACCAAGTTGTAAAATTACTTTGGAGGAGGTACCTACAGAAGTTGAGTCATTATACCTAATTGTTTGCAGACCCTAAATACCGGGAAGTATTTTCGTATCCCTATTTCAACTTAGTGCAGTCTAGAGTTATAGAAGATGCATTATATTCAGGTAAAATGTTACACATTATTTATTTGTATTTTCACTTGACACACGCACACAAAGTATAAAGATTTTTCTAGGCGCACATGTTAACTCATCAAGCTTAGGTACTACCCCAATAATATTTATTAAAACTTCAAAGTTATTCTTCCCTATTATTTTTAAATGCAGTTCTTTGTCTTATTTTAGTTAACATTATTAGATTATTTAGTTAACATATATATAGTTAACATTATAGACTGTCTGATTGGCCGAGTGGTCACAAGTGCGACTGCCAGGCAAAGTTCGATTCCCGGGTCGGACAAAGTATTACTGGGTTTTTTAAAATCTCAGTGGTAGCACGGTATATGGCAATAGGCTCACCACCTATTACATGGGACTCATAACATAAATAGTGAAAAGTGGGTGTTACATTGTACAGTGCAGTGGCATAACGTGCACCTCTGCTTTTGGGGAAAGGCGTGATGTTATGTTATGTTATTAGATTATGAGATGTATTCTCTAAATTAAAAGTAAATTGTTATCTTCATCTTGCCTGTTAGACAAGTCTATTGTTGTATGTGCACCGACTGGATCAGGGAAGACCGTTGTCTTTGAAATGGCTATAGTGCAGCTTTTGATGGAACTAGAGAACAAACAATGCACTGAAGATTTCAAAATTATATATAGTAAGTGCTAAAGAATTTTATTACACCATTTTGATTTTTAATTAGGGATTTTAAAACACTATGACCTACCTTTATAATTGGGATTCTGAGCACCTTGTTGTTTCCTAGTGTATTCCATTGTACATGTACCTTATAAAAGAACAATTAAATCTGGTAAGCAATATCATAACTACGTCAAGCTAATAATTTAGCTACAGGCGCCTTTAATGAATATAATACAAATCATTTTAATCCTTGCTGTTAGTTAGTATTAAAGTGTACTTTTCAGTGGCACCAGTGAAAGCGCTATGCACTGAAAGATTAACAGAATGGTACTCAAAGTTCACGAAGCTCGGTTTAATGTGTATCGAAGTTACTGGCGACACTGACGTAGATTTCACGCAGCTTAAACCTTACAAGTAAGATTTTCTCTAAGCTCTCAGATATTTGCACTACGTAGGCACTTAAATTCTTATTCTCGGCCTCTCCCCAACTTCCTCGCTAAGAACCTAACGGGTAACCGGGGCTCTGACTCGACGTGCAGGAGAAGGAACGGGGTGGTTTTTAGTCAGTAAGAGTCTGGCACTCCCTCCCGCCTCACCCAGGCGGGAGCAGTCATTCGATGATTTTCCCCCCTTAAAAAAAAACTCCCTCGCTAGTTGGTGTCAGGCATCAATAGAACCGTGGGGGCTCCAGAGCAGGTGTCATTTAGAGGACTGGATGCCTCTTCAGGTGTTGAGGGTGGCCACCGGGGTGATTTTAGTTTAGGTAAAAAGCCTTTTGAAGGAAATAAGTATCACATACAGATTGACTGCCTCCCTCCAGAAACACGGAGAGCGTCGAGAAAAGAGAGCACATTTTTGAGTATCCCTTTTTTGTCCATAACTTTTTGGGGCTTCTAACTAGTCATCATCCCTAATGATCACATCATACTCTTGTGACATAGTTGTACTAAACATACTCTACTGAAAGGTAAAAAAATAGTTCTTTAAACAATATTGGTACTTCACAGAATAATAATAACGACTCCAGAGAAATGGGACATGTTGACACGTCGTTGGCGAGACCACTGCGGTTTGGTCGAGGTGATCAAGTTGTTCCTGATCGATGAGGTTCATATACTGAACGATGAGACCAGAGGACCTGTGTTGGAAGCTGTTGTAAGCAGGATGAAGACTATTGAAGTAAGCTTTTGTGTTTGATTTACCATTTTTATCTACCTAGTAGGTATGTGATCTACTAGGTAGGTAGGTGCCTTTAAGAAATGGAATTAATTGAACCTGATGTTCTACAGTATGTCAACATTTTCTATATATTTTTTATTTAGGAAAATGAATCATTGAATAAATCAGAGGCAATGAGGAGATCGTCTCATTCTGATTGCAAAGCAAAAACAACAATAGACAGTTATTTCCAAAATGACTGAAACTGATCGATATAATTTCTAGAGTTCAGCCCAATCAGTCCATCGTATAGAACAGCTTCAAAAAGAGATACAGGGTGAAACATTATCCAACAAATCACCCCCAAGGATAAGGTTGGTCGCAGTGTCTGCTACGGTCAGCAACCCTGAAGACGTCGCTTCTTGGCTGGGAACTAGTGACAAACCTGCTGTGTTCTATAAGTAAGTAGATCTACTTAAAAATCGCGGGTTACTCACGTGAATATACTGAGACAACCTCTACTGCTTTCGAACCACAGAGGGGTTCTTCCTCATGAGCGGCGTGCGTGGTCTCGGAAGAACCCCTCTGTGGTTCCAAAATTAGAGACTTAGTCGAGCTTTTCTCAGTATATTCACGTGAGTAACCCGCGATTTTTAGTTAATTTAGTATGTCTCACAATCACAATAGTTATTATAAAACAAAGTAGATCTACTATTTCTTTATTCCGTAATGGTTAAAGATTTCGTATGATCTGATGCTGTAGTTTTAAGTTTTTAGTCTGATTATGAGCATGGGTCTCCATAATAAAGTCTGGACCTTGTGACCTTTTTGTCCTATCTCGATACGGGCTGCACTATAGGAGAAGTGCCTATATGGAAATGGCTTCTAACAGGCTTCTGTCAGAAGCCATATAGTTCGAGGCATGAAAGGTGATGAACATGTTTGATCTCAGGTTCGGAGACGAGTGTCGTCCTGTGAAGTTGAAGCGTATTGTAGAAGGGTATCCCTGTGCTGAAGGGACCAGTATCTTCAAGTTCGACATCATACTTAATTACAAGTTGTGGCCCATTATACAGAAATACCATTGCGGAAAACCTACTTTGGTAAGTTTATTAATACCTAATCATTTTTTATCCGTTCATCTACAGTTGACTACATTATCTAACCATCAGACTTGGGGTCACCACAAATGGGGCCCAACAGGGTTGATGCCGATACGCAGCAGCGGAAGACTTAACGGGTTGCCGGGGCACCGGCTCGAAGTGCAAGAGTAGGAACGGGGTGGTTTTTAGTCAGTAAAAGTCTGACACTCCCTCTCGCCTCACCCGGGCGGGAGAAGTCAATGTTGATCCCCCCCCACTCCAAAGACTACATTATCTGTCTATTAGTAGATATAGTTTTTTTATTTTGTTTTATTGTATAAGCCGGTAAACAAGCAAACGAATCACTTGATGATAAGCAATCTGCGACGCCCATAGACACCTAGAACCTGGAATACCAGATGCTTGCAAGTTGCAAGTTGCAGTTACCGGCCTTTTGGGATTAGGAATTTGAGGGTTGTTGGGGATTCAGGGATTGGTCAGGGGGTGGGAGGCAATTGGGCCTCCGGTAACCTCACTCACTACACAATAAACCAATAGTAGAATAATTTGTTTACTTGGACACCATTTTGGTAACATATTACTTTGTTCTCGCAGATATTCTGCAATACTCGTAAGAGCGTAATATTGACGGCGGAGACTCTGTCCCGTGAGCTGACAGTTAGCTTCAACGCAGAACAAAAGGCGAAGCTAACTGCCCTAGCTTCTACAATTAAGAACAAGACATTACAGGTGATTTAAAATAAATATGTTTTTGAATTAACTAACTTGGCTGGTTAAGCAAGGAGTCGTTTTGGTTTCTATTCCTGACTCGTTCGGTTATGGGGCACGGGGTTTTCGACTTTCTAAATTTTGAATAGTAGGTACTAGTAGGTACTAGTAGGGTCGTCTTAGACTACGCTATAGCCCATAAGCACACAATAATTCGGTGCCTTTTTGGAATGTTTGTTTTTAACGTTGCACCATTCTAGGATTTTCTCCTGTATCGTGGGTGCAATCACAAACATAGAAGTTCACATACACATAACACTCAGACCCGAAACAACAATTTGTGGATCATGTAAAGATTTGTTCCAACCAACCAACTACCCAGTACTGGCAGTATCAGTCAGTCAGACAGACAGGACGTGTCCTTTAAAAGCATCAGACTACAGAATACTAATCAGAAATCTTATTTTTTTATTTGAACAGGCCTTAGTAATGAGCGGTGTAGGTTGTCATCACGCAGGCTTGTTGTATGAGGAGAGACAGAACATTGAGTTCGCTTTTAGAAACAGAGACCTACCGATATTAATCACCACTACTACTTTGGGTAAGTTTTCTTTCAAATTAAATTCTAAAATTTTAACAGATCTAGAACTTATAAAATTATATCAACAAGTCTCCACGGCTCCATACGTATTTGTCCATAACTTAGTTTTTTATCTGTAACTAGCGACCCGCCCCGGCTTCGCACGGGTACAATATGCATGTATTATACATATGAACCTTCCTTCACAATCACTATCTATTTAAAAAAACCGCATCAAAATCCGTTGCGTAGTTTTAAAGATCTAAGCATACATAGGGACAGACAAACTGCGGATGGCTATACTTTGTTTTATACTAAGTAGTAATTTTTATACCTCTCTGAATGTTTCAGCAATGGGCGTTAATTTGCCTGCACATCTAGTCATCGTTAAGAACACCCAGCAGTATGTCAATGGAGCTTATCAGGTAGGCAATATAACTTATTCATTTTGTTTTAAATTTGTGACTTTAGAGAACGGTACACACCTAACGTAATTTAACACATTTTTTTTGCTAAAATTGTCATTCTCTATGTAATATGATTATAGCAGATCGTACATAATAAGTTCACAACGATTTGTGATTGTAAGCAACACCAAGAAGGTCCCAAGTGCGAGCAAACCTATTGGCTATCTGGGGATTGGAGACAGGCCCAGGGGAAGGATTGTGTCTAAAGCGCTATTTTTTTGCCGATTTTTTTTCTGTCGGCATTTATGGTCCCTATCACTCCGGTCGAGGCGCTCCATTCATGTCGAAGCATGGCCCTTCCATCATATATCCATCACCATAAATTTAGGGTAACCTATTATATAGTTCATTACAAATCCTTTTTAATATAAATTTTCATTACAACGTGAAACAACGCTTGCGTGGTGTTTCTTCGTGTAAGTGATGTTACCGGAGTGAGGTTACACCCCCCTTCCCCAATCCCTGAATCTTCAACAATCCTCAAATTCCTGAAAAAAGGCCGCTAACGCACTTGTAACGCCTCTGGTGTTCTGGGTGTCCATGGGCAACGCCAATTGCTTATCATCAGGTAATCAGTCTGCTCGTTTACTGGCTTACCCCATAAAAAATACTCTTGTCCTCCAGGAGTACAGTATAAGCACAGTACTACAGATGGTGGGTCGCGCCGGCAGACCGCAGTTCGACACTGAAGCCACCGCTGTCATCATGACACGCCTCGTCGACAAGGTCAGCCTATTTTAGTACTAATTATCTAGGGAAAAGAGGTTATTATTCTGTCTGTTTCTTTAATTATTTTTGTCATAACGTGTTGTATAACACTCACAAAACTGTATTAATCATATAGATACTTGATGAATACATACTTGAATCGTAAGGTGGTTAAGGCCTTTTTTTAAGGGGGGAAAAATCATCGAATGACTGCTCCCGCCTGGGTGAGGCGGGAGGGAGTGTCAGACTCTTACTGACTAAAAACCACCCCGTTCCTACTCCTGCACGTCGAGCCGGAGCCCCGGTTACCCGTTAGGTTCTCCGCGGCTCCGAATCGGCATCGGCCATATTGGGCCCCATCTGTGGTGTCTGATGGCTAGATAATGTAGTCTACTGTAGATGAACGGATAAAAAAATATTTTTAATAAACTTATCAAAGTAGGTTTTCCGCAATGGTATTTCTGTATAATAGGCCACAACTTGTTATTAAGATGATGCCGTACGCTCGTGTGGTTAAGGCCTAACAGGTTGCCGGGGCTCCGGCTCGAAGAGCAGGAGTAGGAACGGGGTGGTTTTTAGCCAGTAAGAGTCTGACACTCTCTCTCGCCTAATCCAAGGCTTCTTAAATCTTCCAAAGACTTCTCCCGTCTTTGGAATATTTTCCCTCCTCAAAGAAAAAGGGTAGTTATAAAAGAATGAGTTTTGATTAATTGCTTTGGTTTGGTTTAAATACGTTAAACGCCATGGGGGTCACCGGTGACCGACGTTAGTGAAGGATACGCCTTCAACAGTTTTTTATTGACAGTCAAAGGCTTAAGCACAGGTTTGATGCAAGTTTCTGCAATAGGATAACTGCACAAACATAGCTTTAATCAAAATTCAAGTAGATAGGTAGTTATAGTTTAAATTCAAAATCGTAAGTATCTCCTCTCCAGAAGAAGGTTTGCCATTATTGGTATTATTATTATTTCACTGATATTATGTAACAATGACGTTGATACTAGGCATTTTTACATAAATAAGTAATAAACATTGAGTCCTTACATAAATTGACTTTGAAAATAAATATAACTACAATCAGGAATTGATCACATTACCTACTTATGTTCACGTAATGACTGTATTATTTACGCTTAGACCCCTGTGGTCACAGTACAGACCGCGACACGTGTCGACAAGGCCAGCCATCTTGTAATATTATACAATACTTCAGGTTACTGCCGCATCCTTTATAAAAACGACTGCAATTTATTTATTCTGATTAGGTACACGACGAACTTACATAAATTATTATATTCGTGATTTCGTTCCAAAATGTAGTTGGGTTCATGTTGAAGATTCATTTGATTAAAAACACTTAACTATTCCAAATACGAAATGTTGTTTTTTATGGCATAAGCCGGTAAACGAGCAGACGGATCACCTGGTGGTAAGCAATCGGCGTCGCCCATGGACACCTGGAATACCAGAGGCGTTACAAGTGCGTTACCGGCTTTTTGGGGATTAGGAGTTTGAGGATAGTTGGGGATTCAGGGATTGGGGAGATTGGGGAAGGGGAGTGTAATTTGGCCTCCGGTAACCTCACTCTCACGACGAAACACAACGCAAGCGTTGCTTCACGTCGGTTTTTTGAGAGGCCGTGGTATCACTCCGATCGAGCCGGCCCATTCGTGCCGAAGCATGGCTCTCCCACACGTAGACACGGTTGTTTTTTTCTTGCTTCATTTTCTGAGATGAAATTGTCATCGCTTTAGGAATAAACACAAATAAAACACCACAGAACGGTTTTCAATACAAAAAATATTTATAAAAAAATTCGTATAAAATCTACATGCAATTATAATTCTAATCGATACACATACAAAATTACAATCTAAGTTACAATTTTATGTCGAACATGGCCTATATTAGAATCGTTCTAATTGATCACAGTATCGGTAACTCGATATTTGCTGTACGATTTATCTTAGAAATCGGTGACTGTACATTATTACCTTAAAATATTGGCGAATGAGTTTTGCCTACACCTAGATTAATTATAAGAGTAATGAGAAAATTAAAATTATTATACGTATACGGTGTATGTATGGAAAATTATAATCATGAAAAAAATTACTAGTGCTTTCAGTAAACGAATATTTTCTAACTTTAATCAAGCCAGTGCCTCGATACCTAATTCTCATTTCATAAATTACGTGTATATCACTACTGATGTCATCTAAGGATCCCTGATATAATAATTTACACACATTTATAATAAAATGAAAACTGCAGTAACTTTCTTCGGTTTCGACTTCTGAATCCTATCATCAAGGAGATAGTGTAAGGTAAAGATGTCTATTTATCGAAATAATTAATAAAATTGTTATACGGCATAGAATTCAGAAATCAATGTTATATTTGAACTAGTATCAATTGATCGCGGTACCAGTCTTTGTGGGCGTCGTAATAGGGTCTACTTTCCTTTGCCGAAGGGGTTGGCGTTGTCTTCGAAGGTGATTTTGGGAACGAAACCGCTTTCTCCCTCCACGCTGTACTCAACGGTCATGAGGCGACCGTCGGGGAGGAGAACTCGGTATCCTCCGATGACTTTGCCCTGCGCATCTCCTGCTTCGTTGGCTCCGAAGTAGAGAGCTTTCTCTTGATCTTCAACGTCGTATTTGTACTCGTACTGTAGAAGAAATAGTTCTTATTAGTATATTAATCATTAACACTGAGATTTGGTTGATGGTTAGGAACAACGACTAACCGGTCCTCAGATTCATTTAACCCAGTCTTTAACAATTGTGTCGGAACAAAATCGTTACTATCATCAGTTAATTTTTAACTCTGGAATAAAATTTACATAATTATGACAGTTTTTAGTATGGAAGGAGAATAAAGTTTTATAATTCGAATAATATCCACAACTAAAACCACTACCTCTATACTTATCGACTCTTTGATAACCACCTGTAGTAAAATGTAGATGCATAATCATTGAGCTTAAGAAGCAGACCAATTAAAAAACACATATAACTAATTTGTAATTGTAAACTGTTGTATTTACATTCGTACATAAATAAGATATAACAAGTTGAATAACTTAATTGCTTTATTCAGCGAAACTTTCTACAAAAATTCATGACTTGGGCATGTAGTCATGTTTCTAGATTTCGAGATAACTTATGCACGTAGGTAGGTTCTGTAATGCATTTCTTTCTCTAAATATTTTGGTGAGTAACTAAGGTAGTAGGGAAAGTATAGTGGCCAGCTCATCAATTCCAGCTCGTCATTAGATTTTCGACTTGATGTCTAAACTATAGAGTTGAAAATCTAATAAAGATATTTGTCAGAAAAGAGTAGGTTGCTCCTGCCCACTGAACAATCTGATAAAACGTGAATATTAAATGTGTGCAGTTTAGTAGTTCATAAGTACGTAATTATAATAATTACTTAAATAATGACCCGTGACGTAGCAACATATTTACTTAGGTAATTATGTTTGCAATGTTACTTTATTATATTAAGAAAGTTGTACTGTTTTTACACTCGACAATTTATATAAAACATGTTCATATTTTAAGTACTTAACGAATACTTAATTAGGCATATGGTTTTACAAATACAATAGTGGTTGGTTGGTTGACATGTAACCAACGATAACCAATTGTACCATAGGTTATCGTCATTAGTAATCTTTTGGTTAAATCCTTTGAAATTTTTTATAAACCGGCAAACCACCATACGCATCACCGATGTAAGCCGATAGTAAGCCATCGGCGTCGTCGCCCATGGCCACCTAGATCACCAAAGGCGTCACAAGTGCTTTACCAGCTTTTGGGGATTAGGATTTTGAGGATTGTTGGGGATTCAGGGATTGGGGAAGGGGGCGTTGTTTCACGTCGGTTTTCTATGAGGCCGTAGGGCTACGCATATTTCATGCTATAGTTCCTAGGTTTGTGGTGCTCTTAGTTGGATATATGTACGATTGGTTTCTTACTTATACATTACGTTAATTTTTCACGATCACAAAATGGGTATATTCAATCCGTAACCTATACAAAATTGTAAACACGCAATACCCAATACGTTTATTAAAAGTGTCCTTCAGCGCAATGATGTTACTATGCCAAACTATGATTTATGCAAAATGTATGACGGTAAGCTATTAAATATTTATATTTGAAATTCTTCATATATTTTGTAATCGTGTCCGTATATGGTATGAGTAGACGTATGACTAAATAATGGGACCCTTTTAACAGTATTGCAAAGTAACCATTACCTACGTAGATATTAGGAAATGATTAACCATCGCACACTAAATATGAAAATATTTAATACTTGACCGAGTTCTTACTTTGTTGACCGAGTGGTGGGCAAGGGGTCTTGGGTTCGATTTCAGGGTCGGGCAAAGTATAACATGGTTTTTAAAAAATTCTCAGTAGTAGCACGGCGTCTGGAATTGTGCCCGGTATATGGCAATAGGCTCACCCCCTATTACATGGGACTCATAACATAAATAGTGAAAAGTGGGTGTTACATTGTACAGTGGCATAATGTACACCTCTGCCTACCCCTTCAGGGATAAAAGGCGTAGTGTTATGTATGTTAAGTATGTACTTATTTAAATGCTAAATGAAATTTCCCCACACCTGTCTATTCATTTTGCAAGCCTAATTCTTATGCAAAGACAAAGCGCTTGAAATAACGAATAATTAAATTACTAGTAGACACAATTACGTTTATAAAATATAAGTAATATGAGAATAAAATTACAATTTTTGGTGTGCGTTCGCATTATTCTTCAGTACAAATTAAATGCACGTGATTCAAATAGGTTTTTATTGTGTAGTGCTTGCAATTAATCGAGATAAGCCGTATAGCGCTCACAAAGACGGTTAAACGCAATTGCGTCCAATTAGTAGAGTTTGCGTTGCAAATGTTCACATCGTTAACATAATCGTCGGCGAGATGCATCCGATAATGCACGGACGTGCGGGTAACTATACTTCAGTGCGGGAGAACAATACTTAATCGATGAGATGAGGGTGAAGTGTATGAACATGTTGGATGAACATATTAAGACCAAGGACGTGGCAGATATCATCTGTAAATCTCTTGCGGCTACTATATAAGTACTAGGTACTTTAAACTATACGCCAAGACAATTACTAGATAAACATCAATGATAAACTTAATCCGCCAACTCGCAGTACAAGAGCATCTAATGAGATAATGTTCACTTACAAGCAATTACAGATAACTTACAAAAGAAACACAGGAAAACAAAAAACATAGAATTGAACTATTAAAAACAGTTTCACGCATACATCAGGGACGAAAAAAATGTAATCATTATTTCGATCTTAACGTTATCATTATATTTTGGGACCTTGGGAATCTAATTGTTGACGTTAATTTAGGCTTAGTAAAAAATAACGTTGGAATACTAAATATAGACGAAAATGTTTGTGTTGGTACGTTTGTCATTGTAGCTTTGAAAATTGGTTGTTTCTACATGTAGGTATGTGTTACAGCTACAGCCAAAGTGATGAATTTGATATTATTCATAATGACTGATCATTTTACATAATATCTACTGAATTTGGTCAAAGTGATAAATGAAGCAGAATTAATCACATTGACTGTATGTACTCGGTACTGTATGCCCATTTAAGATAAGTAACTAAAACTGTAGTACATACAGCAACGAATTAATTGTTTGAAAAATTCTTTGTGATTAATAACCATAAGGTTTAATCTGACTTACAAAATGTTTTCTTAATTTCATATAGGTACTTAAATATTTAGTAGCTATGTATGTATGAATGTTAATTAAACATACCCACATATTGATTTAAAGACTCGGTGTCAAAGTTCGCAAGAGTTCATACTGGCGCATGGCTGTGTAACAAAATTATTTTCGTAAGACTTCGTTCTCGACTTTGGAAATCCTATGTCTATTAATTTACTTTTTGACCAAGTTACATAATACTTAAGTAGACTGTTTAGGTACTTGGCAAATAAGCTTTTCTTTGTAAACTTTCACAGATGAAATTCTTAAATTGAAGGGTGACATAACTAGTTGCCGGACTCGAAGTGCAGTAGTAGGAACGGGGTGGTTTTTAGTCAGTAAGAATCTGACACTCCCTCTCGCCTCAACCGGAGAAGGCATTAAATAATTTTCGCCCTCAAAAAGAAAGGCGGTAGGGACATTATTATATTAATGCTATTTCCAAATCTTGCGTTGTATCTTTGAATTGATTGACATACATACATAACTTCACACCTGTCTCCCATGGCGGTAGGCAGAGACTATGGAACGCCAATTACTACGATTCCTATATACCTTTCTTTTTTCTTTCGCTTCATCAACAGTCATCAATCTTTTCATGCGTACTCGTCGGTTAAGGGCTTAAAAGACTTTTAATTTGGCCCTTCTTTAATATATCACCAATCTGGTCAGAATATCTCCGTCTAGGCCGCCCTCTACCGACGGCCCCATTCATATCCGCCTTGTATACTTCGTTCGTTACTGTACTTTCATCCATCCTTTCTACATGTCCAAACCAGCGTAACATATTAAACTAATTTTGCACGTTTGTGGCCGTAATCTTCTATGACAGAAACACCTGGTATGATAATTCCTATAAATATTTAAAGATCGATTAAAACAGACGTTTAAGCATTTAATAACTGTTATCCCTGTTTAGCTCATAATAAACATTTGACAAGTATTGTTATAAAAGATTTATTGACTTACATAATCGTTTAGATGAGCGTGTCACGGTAGCAATTTTTTCCCTTTCAACAATGCATTCTTTGATCAGGCCATTAAGAACTGATTATATTATTTCATAGCCTATCTATTGCTCTCTTTATTTCAATTTATCACGAAACCTAGTGTTAATTGGACATAAACGCAACATCTTGATGGGTATTTTCCGAAGGGAATGCTTAATAAGTCCTTACAGGATCTCCACTTTTTTATTTAAAGTTATTTACACTATTTTTATTACACTTGAATGCCTCGTTGGCAGAGTGGTCGCAAGTGCGACTGCCGGGCAAAGTGTCTCGGGTTTGATTCCAGAGTCGTGCAAGGTATTACTGGATTTTTAATAAATCTCAGTTGTAGCACGGAGTCTGGAATTGTGCCCAGTATAGGGCAATTGGCTAATCCCCTATTACATGTGACTTATAAAGTCATAACATAATTAGTGAAAAGTGGGTGTTACATTGTACAGTGGCATTAAATGCCGTAATGTGCACCTCGGCCTATCCCTTACGGGATAAAGAAAGGCGTGATGTTATGTTTTATATTATGTACTTAGGAGTGAGTTTATTTACCTTAGGTACACCAAGCGGTCGCCGGTGACCGCAATCTATTGTTCTATAATTGTGTCTATATGACGGTATTTGTCGAGGTTGGGTTTGTACGTAGGTTAGGTTTATAGATTAGTAAATTTTGATACAAACTTAAGGTTCCCAAATTATCCAATGACAAAATGCAAGCGTTGTCTCTTCAGCCGTCCCTAAATTATGCATTACCAAATACCGGTACTGACGCATCCTTCACGTTATTTAGAGTTTATTGTTAGCTTGAATATGTCGTAATTTAACATCTACTAGACTTAAACTTGCCATAGTCGTAATGCCGTAGGTCAAAGGTATTCACGTTTTGTTTAAATTATTGCCAACGTACGAGCATCCTTGCAGCTTCTCGCTTATATGTTAAGGTAGACAACTTTTAGTTTATATAAAAACAACTACAATAGTATGTATACTTAATGACACATTTTAATTAAATGTAAGATGAGTTACAATGTTTTACGTATAATAAATAAGTGTCGTGTAACTTTATTCATACTTGTCATACCTGAATGTTACGTCAGAATTGCAGTGGTCAGGTGTGACTTCATTAAGGAGATATACAATTGAACGCAAATTATATACTTTAAATATAACATAACACAACATCACACCTTTTTATCCCCGAAGGGGTGGCCAGAGGTGCATTTCGGCGCTTAATACCACTGTACAATGTAACATCCACTTTTCACTATTTATGTTATGTATGAGTCCCATGTAATAGGGGGTGAGCCTATTGCCATATTATATCGGGCACATTTCCAGACTCCGTGCTACTACTGAGATTTTTAAAAACCCAGTAATACTTTGCCCGACCCGGGAATCGAACCCAAGACCCACTCGGCCAACGAGGCAGTCTTTACTTTAAATATCTTCGAAATATATTAAGGACCGAATGATGTATAAAAGATTAGGAGCGGCTGACAATAAGCTTCCAAAAGCCTAACATTATCTAACTATACACATAAAAATTTGACTGTCAGTTTGTCTGCTAAGTTAGATAAAGCAAGAGGTACCTCCTAAAACCGCTGCTACTCCTATAAGCCAGGATCTACAGTACATATTTAGGAATAGATGAAATATACACAGTAAACAAGATATCACCATTAAAACAGCAACTAACAACACAATGTTCTCAGAATCTCCTTTACTAGGACATGAACACTATAAATAGCATTATAATGTAAAGATGTTCTCTCATTGTCATTTCAAAGGGCACGGGACCTTATATAGGTGACGTATTCAATAAACAATTATGTATAGTAACATTCTTTAATTGTATAGAGTTGTACTTGAATAGAGTTGAATAGTAATAGGGATGATGACAGGGTATGAAAATTAAAAATCTAATTAGTCCGTCATTTAGGTAATGAAAAAATTTTAGACACGTATTTTTTTTATTTTGTTCTATAATAAAATGATACTTAAATATATCGAATTAAAGCTTAGGAGTGGGGGCTAAAACGTCATATATACATAGAAGTGACGTCACGCGACATTTCAAATCAATATATCGTAAAAGGTATTCGTTTCTGTAAAAAAATAAAAAATACGCATCTAATGATTTAAAATAATCTACCAGACGGACATTAAAATAAAAATTAGTCATCTACCCTATTAAAGATCTTGTATTAAATATTTGTTCTAATAGGGATAATATGGGTCATATTCCTAGTATAGGTTTAAAGAATTCGTGTGATGTCCATTGTCACGCAGGTGTCATCTGCAAACCGCCATTGAGATGCTTTGGTAAGTTCTGCAGATTACGTATAAGGAGTTAGGGAATGCTAATTATATTTGTTTAGTTAAGGACTTAGTTCGTGTATTGATTTTTAATTATTTAAAAGAAATGTCACCCCACAGGATTTTCTCCTGTGACGTGGGTGAGTTTTTAAACATACAAAATCACATTCACATGACACCCAGACCCGAAACCACAATTTGTGGATCACAACACACCCTGACACAATGATTTGAACAGGTTTAAGTAGTTATAAAGCTTTTGGTTTTCTTTTCGAGATCATTATATTTTTAAGCATAAGCCAATGCCAGTTCAACGACTCAGTATTATAAAATGGAACAAAAAACAAGCTAGTTATTTATTCTAAGCATTCATATTAAATAAATATTTTATATTAACTTCGTTTTAGTTATAATGAAGTCCATTAATATTAATAACAAAATAATAAAGTTAGAAACTTGATTATGAATGGAGTTACAATATGCATATGGCGTATTTTTACATTAATCCGACATTCGATTAATTGTGTGACTGTATAATATTTTATTAAAATTATTAAAGCTTTTATCAAAACGTTTTGGTAAGCCGAAAATTAACTTCTTAAACTTATTTTTTACTGGCAAAACAGTATTTTTGAAGCAATATTTTCACAACAAGTCTTTGATTTTTGTAGCTTTTTACAAAATATGTATGGACATATTTTTAATAATATAATTAATAATGGTATTAATTATTATGTTTTCGGCTTATTTACGTAACTATTTGATGAGGAACTCGACAGCGCGACAGTCGCCACGCCACGTCCCGGGTCGCGAAAATCTGCCCATGAAAGCCTCTAGCATGGCTTGAAACTAGTCGAGTTCCTCGTCAAACAGTTACATAATAATTATTTTAGTATGTCTCACGAAAGTTATAATATAAACAATATGTATACTAAATAAACTAAAAATCGCGGGTTACTCAAGTGCATATACTGAACCTCTACTAGTTTCGAACTACAAAAAATAACCCCTCTGTGGTTCGAAACTAGTAGCATTTTTAGTTAAATTAGGCATTTTTTTTAAACTTACGGGCATAGGCGGGTATTCTTGTTCCTGCGGCGCCGGCGCAGACGATGCTTGCCTGACGCTCACGCACACCACCACGAGCGCACACACCAACCACTTTGTTGACGACATCTGCGAAACATGTATTATTACATTATTTATTGTTAGAAAACGGCAAAGTTCAATAGATTTTGACTGCGAAGTGATGGATGTACGGATTATAGCTGTCTTCAACTATGTGATGTATAGTTGTGCCTGAGGGACTTGTGTATCGAAGGAAAATGACTATTACGCCTGTATCACTATATCCTGATGTATAACTTGAGGAAAGTACTGTCGTTTCTTATGGATAGGATACATACAAGAAAAAAAGAAAACACCTTTATACCCAGACACGATGCACCATAAGTAAAATACGTATCTAAGGCGTTCATTCATTTAATCAGTAGATAATGAATTTCCTGAAATTCCATATTTTTTTTATTTTTTTTTTTGTTTAAAAAAAAACGTTGTATCGTCCCTACTTGTTAAATTATATTACTGTAATCTCTTCTTCATGCCCTTCTATCTTTTTGGAGTCGGCACATATGTCCTACATCTATGTCTTTTTCCATATTTTTATTTTATTCTGTTACTTCTACAAAATATGCAGAATAAAAGATACTTAGGTATACTAAATCTTTCAATTTACTAATGTACCATGTTTTAAACATTAAGTTACCTTGCTTATTTATTGCATTAACTAATATTTTCGACTATACCTAAGAACATTAGATCATTTAATATGGGTGCAGTAGTGTTTGTGTAGTGTTTTATTTTCTTAAAGTTATCTTATTATGGTAATAACATAATATTTATTGGTTTACGTGCTTTGAGATCAGACGAAAAATATGTGTTTAGCATTTGTATGTAAAAGGACTAATATTTATTTCTACTTAATGCAAATTTACTCATAAATCTTAGAAGGTTTTTTGGGATTCACTTAGAGTTAGTAACACCAGAGGTGTCGCTAAGACTTGTAATAAAACAGAATTTGTTTTTTTTTTACAAATACTTGATTTGTTGGCTACCTAAGTGTGTGTAATCGACCGTAATAAATTGAAAAAAAGGTTCAAAGTGTATTAAGTAGGTGGGTTATTTATTTATTTAATGGTTGTTGATATACACTGTATACATGATAAAGACATTAAAAGCAATCTTCTTTTTCTTTTAAAAGGTCCTTAGGTAGGAGCACAAATTCAAACGTCATGGTCCCTATATTTATTATACTTATGTTATAATATCGATGTCTGTTACTTTTTTTATGGGAAACTGCACAACAAATTTTAATATTTAGTACAAAGATATATAAAATTTTTGAGTAACTTTCATACCAGTAATATTCGCGCGCTGGCAGAAGCAATTCCGAAATAATTCAAATAATTTTTATATCAATTAAACGTATTTAAGATCAAATGCTTTAACTACACATCTAAAGTAATTAACTGAACACAAATTAAATCATTACCCGACGCACGGTAATTGCCGTTATATACCATAGTCGTGTATTTAGTATAATTTTAATATAATAATGTTCAATTATAATTATTTATACGATGTTCAGTTTCTTATTTCCGTGGATTCTTCAATCAAAACAATAAGTAATTAAATGAGCTAATGTGGGTAAAGAATGTCAACGGTCAATCTTTAGGTCATAAATCTATCGTGTTTGTTTAATTATGTCGTGGTTAGGTAGGATCTGAAGCACTAGTTTAACAAGGACACGCTTAAGTAATATAATTAAACTATCAATTTCATACTTATCTTTTTAATATTAATTTGAAAACTATAATTAAATTCTTTAATCTATCGTATACGAATGCCGCGGAGGACTTAAACAGGAGGACAGGAGTTGGAACGGGGTGGTTTTTAGTTACTAAGAGTCTGATACTCCCTCCCGCCGCATCCAGGTGGGAGAAATCATTCGATGACTTTTCCCAGATAAAAAATAATATGTCGTATACGAAAAATTATGTCAATGATGTATATTACTAGCTATGATAGTGTTTTAGTTTTCGGTAATTACGCGCGGGGGCGTCGTTTGTAAATGGTGTTTTGGTTAATAGAAAAAAAAATCAGGTTTGTGAAAAAAAATTGAGACCTTCACGATCACAGGTGCATCGTGAAGTGCGTAGGCTCAGCCTCATTTTACCTGCTTAGTACCTCCTTTACGCTTACCTCATTTTATCATTCAACAAAATATTTTATTCAATTTTTACCTATCTACCCTAATCCCCTTCTTTAATCAGATACAGGTTTTATCAATATTTTAATGGGTCCAAATAAAAAGTATCTTTAACTTGTACATAAATGGCTAGTTTCCTAGGTTTAAAATAAATTGTTTCAACTTTTCAATGCAATAAATATTTAAAAAATAATCATAGTCTCATCCATTCATTTGACAATTTACCTACTTTTGGATGTTTTCTCTCTAATTTTAAGGAAATAAGTATGCTATTTCACGCAGAAATATGATGACGTCATAAGTTGCGATCCAATACAAAATTCATAGAAAAGTTAAAAATCGTTTTGATATTTCAATAAAAGTATTGAATTTAATTACCTGCCAACTACCGTAGTGGTAGTTATAGCTACAAGATATCGATGATGTATCTACTGAGTAAACAGCTAGTTATCGACACAGCTATGGAGTGACAATTACTGTAATTATGTTCAGTTTTATGTTTTTGTAACACGCACGCTTTGTGGCCTTTCCCACACGCCCGAGAATTAAGTAAACAGGTCTAGTCTAGGCATTTCAGTATTCGCTAATTAAGGGTCTCTTCACATTTATCGAGGTAGAACATAGAATCAACTTCGGTTCCTCCGAAAATGTACTAAGTTAACAACTGCAACATTAAACGGTAACTTAAAGTTAAGGCTAAGTAGGAGTTGTACTACGAAGCTTTATCTACATATGTTATATCGCCTAGATTTTGCCAGCATGATAAATTTTCTTTTTTTTTACTTAAACGTGCATGTAGCTAATGCATTAAAGTGATTTGATTTAATCGAGAGGACTTGATTTGTTCTTCCAAAATAAGAATATTATGGTAGATCCGTATCATATTTTTTATTTATTTCTTACACTTTATTTTTATTTTGCACATAAGTGGACACTAGACAGGTAGAAACAGAATATTAGTAATTGATTTATCTATAAGATGTACAAGATTCAGGTGGTTCACGAATCTATAATGAAGAAATTCTTTTGGAAGACCAAAGTATCTTTTGATAAAATTATGTTGCAAAAATGATTCGTTAATGTTTTAACAAACTCGTACAAAATTTCACTTAATATCAATAAATCTGAAGTTAATTAGCGCTAACAAAAAGGCTAATTACCATAAACAATACCTGATAGGGAACATTGGCAGCAATCTGCATAAAACATTGACACAGGTATGCCAATAATTGAGATTTGCCTGGCCTCGCGTGATCGATTCCTGTGTGGAATTGCTTTGTCTTGTCGCCTCGCCTCGCCTGCCGTCGCAATCTGTTGCGGACGTGTGATTGCGCACTTATTCGGCGGTTTTTATTCGTGAAAAGCCAAGGAAAACACGCGGTGACTTTGAACATTTCGCTCGCAGACATAATGTATTGTGTGAATTTTTGAAATATTTGCCAGTGTATGGGAATTATTTAGTTAGGACGTTGTAGCAATGTTTATAAATTACATAATACGGAATCTATACCTAGGTATCGTACGAATACGGATCGTACGTACTGAGTATCGTATCGTATAGGTACGGATACGGAATCTATACCGGAATCTATATCTAAAAGTATGTAGTTGTTCGAAGAGAATCTCCTACCGGATTCAAAAAATCTTGGTATTAGTTACGAAATAAATTCGTAACTATTTCATAATGCCATCATACATATATACCTAACCAGGTTGCTGAACGGGTCGTTATAAGATAATCACGTAGAAGTTGTGTATCGATCAATACAAGAACTATACCTAATTGGTTAAAGTCTACAATTAACCTATAATAAGTGCTCAATATCTAAGACAATACAGTACTACAGACTCCATCATACCGTTACTTATCGGTCTATCTTTCACATGACAATTGAAACTTTTTATTTCACGACCTTTAAAGTCGTGGAATCTCATACACATAAAAATTCCATTTACGTTTTGTTCCGAAAATTGTGAGCATTCTTTCTCATAGTCTCGGTAACTGTATTAGGTAGTCCTTGCTCTCAATAAACAATATTATTAGTAAAAAAGTCTCATGGGTCAGAATGCTGTTATCACATGTGTAATCGTTCGATGACGAGAAACAAAATCTCATTCTCACTGTTTCTAGGTTTACGATAGCAAAGTTAACGAACTGCGCGTGCGACCCGATATTTAACGCCTCGCTTCACGCGTGATTTTGGTTTACAAACTGACGAAGTATATGCAATGTAATTTTCCGAACACACTGTGTAATTTTTGGAAAGACCAAACTTCAAATAACAACATAAAATGATTATTTGTGTCAATGCGATAAAGTCGTACGACATGTCCCGAATCTTAGGTAGACACTATCTAAGTACCTACTTATACAAGTTTTACTATGGGAAAGTTTTAAATATTTAGTTATGTAGATCGTCAACGGAAGATGTAAGATTTGAACAGTTAACTAACAGACTCAATTTTTTTTAATAAAACTTAGCCCCTCAGTACCTATATAGGATTTTCTCCTGTATCGTGGGTGCGTTTACAAACATACAAGTTCGCATACACATGACACCCAGGCCCGGATCAGCATTCTGTGGATCACACAACGAGTTGTTCCGTGCGGGAATCGAACCTGCTACACATTGGGCGGTGATCATCTGGTTTAAGTATCACCCTTTCGAGGGGTAAGAAGCAATAAATGGAAGGGGTTAATTATATTCGTATTTCGAAATCTACATACGTTTTAAGTAAGTATAATGTACGTACATGACTGATATCTTCTAATATATAAAATTTTCGTGTCACAGTTTTCGTTGCCATACTCCTCCGAAACGGCTTGACCAATTTTGATGATTTTTTTTGTGCTTATCCGGTATCTATGAGAATCGGCCAACATCTATTTTTCATCCCCCTAAATTTTAGAGGTAGTCCACCCCTTTTGTTTTTTTTTTCGACAAAATTTTTAGTTTCTATTTTTTATGATACAACATACAAAAATACATACAATCCTCAATTTTCACCCTTCTACGATCAACCCTTATTTTTAATACCCATTTTAATAATTTTATTTGTATGGCAAAACAACGTTTGCCGGGTCAGCTAGTATGTACCTCTATATAATCCGAAACTATTAATTGTCAACATGAGTTGTCACATTTTTTACATTTAACGCACTTTATGCTCTAGTTCTATCGTGGGAAATACAAGAGCCCTGCAGCCTCTTAGTTCGGAAGAAATGGCAAAGGTGACGACATTGCATTTTCGCAGTCACTCGCTTAGTTACCAATGATAATAGTATGCAGTAAATCAATATTGTAATAAATTCACACGTTTTTTAAAAAAGAACAATTGATTTTCATGTCAGTATGCAACTGATAACGTTTTAAGATAATCGACTTGGAGTGGAATGACTCGATGAAGAAGTGATGAATGAATCGTGGTTCATTAATTTTGTCGTCAGCACTCGACACTGGCAGTATAGTCGACAACACCGTTTTGGAGACTCGGAAAAAAAGGCAACCGTGTTTGAGTACTGTAAATATTGAAATAGGTAGTATATATTAATTAACCAAGTAGATAATGATATTTTAATTCAGTATCCAGAAGTTAATGAATAATTGTAATCGAGTGATGAGTAACTAATAAGGAAGTAATTTACATGTTCTAATTATTTTTATTATGAGCACTTAATTTTTTCTATAAATATTATACAAGATACGTTACACGCCTACATACTAAATCACAATTCGAGATATACGGTCTCATCTATTCGATAATTAATGTTTCTATTGTTACCTAAATAACATTGTTTTTATAGTTCCATGCTAGTTAAAATATATTAATTCATCAATAATATATTAAAATATTATTATATTAAATTAGAGTTACCTACTAGTTTTAGAAACAAGTCTGTTTCATATCTTCCTGTTATGTTTACTTTCAAACTCTATTTTTTTTATCATTATTTATTACAGCTCCATTAGTCCACTGTATACGATTAATAAACTAAGGATTCCCCATTACAATATAAATACCGTTTTTTTTAAATTAAAGTACCCACATGGCTTACGTGTACCATCTCTTCATCATGTTTGAGACTCACCTTAGAAGGAACGTACACACAAATAGCACGACACTGCACACAACTTGTAACAATCGGTACCGATGACAATGATCGTTGTTTAGCGTGCAAAGCTGACTGGTGGCGCGCCCCGGCCTCGTCCGCGTCTTATATACGCACCCCACGGCTCCCCGACTTAGCGAAGATGCCGCAATGTCGCCCTATCATGATGGATGTCTCTCCAAACGTACGGATCTTGCCTCTGATAGTGCGTCGATAACCGTGACTAAATATCACCGATGTATACATTGATTCCAACACGATGACATGGCTTTACGCACAATCCCATACATTGCTCGCTTAACATACACTAACAACATCTCCCCGTATACCGAACCATCAATGAGCTTAATTTTATCGCGTGATCAAACTTCACAAACTTCATATTTTCGTAACACATGTGTTTCTACCTTTTCTCGGCATTGTACCGGTAATTATTTCATAATGTGATGACTTTTGTGTCTGCCTTCTCGGTTATAAACCAATTAAAATATAAAATTAAGCGACCGTGAACCTTTATTTTAATTATTTTAAGGCTCTATTGCGTCGGTCTTAAGTCCTTGTTTCGTAATTTAAATTGTGCTATCAGACAATAAGTGGTCTCGAATGTGTTTTACAGATTATCTTTTGGGGAAATTCCTAATCTCCAAAAGGCCGGTAACGCACTTGTAACGCCTCTGATGTTTCGGGTGTCCATGGGCGGCACCCGCGGCACTGATTGTTTACCATCAGGTGATCTGTCTACTAGTTTATCGGCTTATTTATCGTATAAAATGTCTTTATTTATTTACCTAATATTCATATAGGTACCAATTTTACAGGTCGTCAAAAATAGAATAAATATAGGTATACCTACGTATGTACAATAAGCACATGTCATACATTTTCTCATAACTAATTAGCTATTTCAGCCGTGTACTACTTACGTAAACATTAATTGAATTATCCTCATTATATTAAAATATGTGCTACTGTAGAATGATGCACAAACCAGAAGCAGCTGCTAGTCACAGTGTAGATGTTATCTCAATTTGAACAAGGAAACTGCGGAAAATGTCGTAATGTCTTATTTTGAATCTTTGTAACTTAAGGAGTGTCGTGATATAGATAAATACAAGACCTGTAACAGGAGGCGGTTGTCATAATATTAATACCTATGATGTTTTATTGTGAGACTGTAGACATGTGGACTTAAATAATCCATTGAACCGAAATATGACTACAGCGCTGAATTTTTCTACTTTTGCATTAAACATTTATTGTGAGATCCAATTTATTCTAAGTCATACTTAACGTTTCATTCCAGTTAAAAAAATTAATAGTTTAAATAGTGAGAATAGACGTGTGCATTATGCGTAAGGTACAATATAGTTCGTTACAATAAGTAGGGCAGAGCTTCTTCCTTATAGTTATCCTTGCTTCATCACACAGTGAAAGCGACTATCTGTCAAACGCTCATGATGAGGAAGTGGATCATACGTGGGCTTTGTGTTCTTTCACACGCTCTTCAAGTATCGATACTCAGACATTAGGCAAGTACCTGAACTCCGGTATTTTCTTTACAAAATAATGACAATTCAAATCATCCATTACTGCAAAAATACTTTCGTTGCTAAAAGTTTTGTGTAATGTTACTTCATTATTTTAACATAAACATTTTAACTTAGCACGTAATATCTTCTTGCGGAATAATATGTGGGTAACGTTGTTATTATGATAGGAATCAATGTTCAATGGTAATTTTATTGTCCCAAGATTTATGCATTTCGTTCTTGATATTCTCTTAATAGCGAGCGGCATTATAAAGACTGTGCCTAAATTATTCATGCGACTTGGGACGAACGCAATGCGACTGCTATAAAGATTTGCATTCGTATAGTATTTTATCAAACTACGTAACAATTTACTTTATTATACTCGTGGGTGGTGCATAATTAGATATTTTTAGATACCTTGAAGTTAGTATATAATGAGATTATGAATATAGATAATAAGTAGCAATTGTGAAACAGCCTAAATATTTTTGAATAACGTGCGAAAGTGGTTATCACAATAGTCGTTTAGTTCACCTACTTCCATGAGCACATACGAAGTGCAAGGTCGACTGTGTATGTAGCGTGATAGTAAGATTTAAAATATTTATATTAACTGAATAATCTGTTAGCGCTTAAAGTCACATAACAGTCGTGCATTTGAAGATGAGTCAGGTCGGGTTAGGTTTATTTATAAAGTGCAGCTAGTTACAAAAGCGGGGCCAATACAAGAAATAGGTTTTAAAGCCGAGAAACAACGTGTAACGTCGCTTTTTATTTTTTAAAGTGTAGTTTTAACTCGTCGAGTACCGGTTTTGTAGACACAATTATAGAACAATAGGTTGTGGTCACCGGTGACCGCTTGGTGTTTGACAGTAACTTACAGGTATTCCAATGACATTATAGACATTCAACATAATTTAAGGAAATTTAAAATAAACTACCATAATTTATAATTTAAATACACAGAAGCTTTAATCGTAAATAAATATTTTTTTTGTCGTCAATAGTACAGTCCCGCAGCCGCGGCGGGTTGCACCCGCGCTTTCGGCGATCGGTTGACAGGCGACCGCAATGGCAGGGGAAGGTCTGGAACTCAACTGATTGTTTAACCCCCGCCTTGCGATAATCAACCGCCAAGTTTTGCAGCCAATAATCGCAACCGCGGCGGCAGCGTAACCGCAGACAACTGCGGTCTGGTGAGTTTTGAAAATGAAACTCCATTCTGCCACCGCGGCGGGCATGGGTGACCATCGTGTCGTGAGCCCTTAGCGTTAGTCAAACTTAAATCAATCCGCTCACCAACCTCTACATGAACCACAATAAAAGAAGTAGGTAATGTCAAAGTGTCATCGTTTGCGCCTCGCAAGGGTTTTGCGTCATTACAACAAGCGCGCGATGCTTGCGCCGTGATCGACGAAATACCTAAACGTCACATGGGACCTCTGTGAAACTGCAAAATGTTATGTCATTGTTAACTTCAACGGAAGAGTTTAATGAGCATCGTGATGCAGAAACATGAAAACAATATTGAATAATATTCCAATTATTTAATATTTTTCTAAATATGTAGTTCTTCTTTAAATATTCATTTTTGAATGACGTTCCAATTTTGTTACTTCTAATCCTCCGTCTATTGCGACAGGATGCTCGGATCTTTGCAAAATAACTCTTTGTTCAGTATCAGGTTTGGTACAAATACATTTCTTGGGGTCGATCTTCATTTTTTTCTCTTTATATTCTTGGATCTTACTTAAAATAAGAGCGTTTTCTTGTTCTAACAACTGTTTTTCACGATATAGTGCTCTTTTTGTCAATTCTGCTTTGGATATTCTATGCCAGAGTCTTGTCAAACCACTTGTTGTTGTGATAGCATTCAGAACCAACGAATCATCTGATTGTTGTCTACGGACGTTTAATTTTGATGCGGTTGGTGAATGAGGCAAATCTGATCCAAAAGGCAAAACTTTTTCCCGTTGTGTTTCAAACTTTCGACACAGCGCTGCCATACGCAAAATTCTATCTACTTTTTCAAAAGCTTTTTCTAACCATTCTACAGTATCATCAGACACTTTAACCAACAAAGCTAATCGTTTAACATCTGTAGCAACTCCATTGTACATTTGATGTTTTAAACGGAAGCAAGCGTCTCTATGCCTGTCACGACGTTCTCGAAACACAGCCTGTTTGGTGCCAGACTCATAAGCGTTCAATTCCACTCGTAATCTTTTAAGCATACCATCACTATTAGCAATTTTCTTTCCTTGAGAGGCTATTATATCAGCCATCATATTTTCCTTGCGCCTTAGTTTACGTACAGCTTTTTGATTTTCAGCAGTGCCTGTAACGTATGCCTTGAGCACGGCCTTATATTCATCCCAAACTGCATTGTAACTGTTCTCAAGAAAGGAGCGTAAATTTTCTCGATGATCTAAGTATTTGTTACGCTCTTCATCTGCTTTTACCATGTTTTCACCTCTTGTAGTCCACGCTAGAGTATCAGATATATTATGAGCATGATACAGAAGGAGTTGTAAATGTGTTTCAGCTGCAGTGTGGTCAGACATTATATGTGCTGCTTCTTCTTCGGCTCTTTTTAGAAGTTCATTCGTTGTTTCAACATTTTTTTTTGACATGTCCTCCAAGTCAGTTAAGAATTTATTAATCATTCTATCGATTGTATCGCAAAAGCTAGCCACTGTTCTTTGGAATTGGTCATCAGCAACATTCATAAGTTTAATGGTAAAACCAATGATGTGATCTTTTTTATCGTAAGCCCTTTCGAAAACATGCCACATTACTTCAACGTCTTGCCTAAACACGGGTTCTTTTATTTTCAGCATCATTGCGCGCCAACTTCTATCAAGTTCTCCACGTTTTAAGGCCTGCGCAGCAATCTCACGATTTAGTTCTTCACGTTTAAGTTGCTTTTTAGCTTCAATTTCTTTCCTTATCTTTTCCTGCTTTTTTGCCTCTTTCCTGGCCTTTTTCTCTTCTTTAGACAACCCCATTTTTTATTGTATTATTCTTCCTGTAAATAATAAAAAGTTGCACGAAATCCTTGAAATGTCAGTTATTATTATTTTATTATGTCTCTTTCCGAAATCGAGTTTTGTCTGTATTTCAGCCTGATATACGCTAAATAAAAAGTATCAATTACAACAACTCATTGCTAATGTTGCACCTTCTTTCATTCAATGCAATTTATTTCTTAAAAAAAAGTCTAACACGAGTTTACAATTTCTTTTTTATAAAAAAAAACTAGCGACCCGCCCCGGCTTCGCACGGGTGCAATATGCATGTATTATACATATAAAACTTCCTTAAGAATCACTCTATCTAATAAAAAAATAACATCAAAATCCGTTGCGTAGTTTTGTAGATCTAAGCTTACATCAGGACAGACAGACGGCGGATAGCGACTTTGTTTTATACTATATAGTGATATATATTTTATTAGGGTTCATTGTATTGTCTTGGTCCGAAGTGTATTCAGTTATTTTATTGTATTTTCCAACAGCCTCGTTACCAAGCGCTGGTGGGTGGATGCGAGCCTTTGCAAAGTTTTTTGCACAAACGTTTACCAGAGAATCTGAACAGTGAGGCGGCTTTAGGCACTGTCGGGGATGTTGCCCAGTGTGTACAATGGCTGCGTTCTACATTTCTGTATGTCCGCGCTGCAAGGGATCCTAAGAAGTAAGTTGTATACATAAATTTAACAACTAAACCTGTGTGATTCTGTAAGTTCTTGATATTTGGATGTTCCTATGTCATGTTTTTATATTAATAAAGCTTCATTTTCACCAGGTACCTCGGATTACCACAAAATTCACCTCAACATCAAATATCCAAGAAAATTGAGGGTAAGTTCACAAGTTTTAAACACTACCCTTTTTACCGCGATAATTTCAAACGTAAACTGTGTAATATTCAATGTAACGCTCACATTTCGAAACTCCTGGCTGGGTAAGGCGAGAGTAAGTGTCAGTCTCTATCTGATTAAAAACCAGTCCGTTCCTACTCCAGCACTTCGAGAACTGGACTACTGCTACTGGACTGGCTACTGCAATACACAGGCAAACATTCCAGACGTGCTATTAAGAATTATTATACCGAAAATATATAGGCGATAGGGGCGATTCTTCATCCCTACTCCTACGTCTAAATCCCTAATCACTAATAGGCCGACAACGCAAGTGTAACTCCTCTAATGTTGCGCATGTTAATGGACGGCGTCGATTACTTACACCAAGTGATCCGTCTACTCATAATAATATATTACGACGACCTACGCTTAAATAAAAACGATAATACAACGTTTCTCTTGTACAGTAGTCGCATTTAGGACCAACGAGGCACTTTTATATAATCTCATAGATAGACAGATTCTTAAGGAAGGTTTATATGTATAATACATGTATATTGCACCCGTGCGAAGCCGGTGCGGGTCGCTAGTACAATATATAGAAGGCGAAGAAATGGTCGAATAACATCTACTTGCCGAAAGAATTCGCACACTGAACTTTAACTTGTACCTTTTGATAAATGATAAGTAGGTACCTCATTCGGTTCACTCACTTTCAGCGTTACAGGATAATCGCGTTATTTATCTCTATTGTATAACCTTTTTGATCTTATCTCAACGTTCATAATAAAATTACAATAATTAAAATTAATTACTCGACCCATTAATTTCACAGTAAATTGTTACTTTTTTACAATTGCCACAAAAACTATCATGTTTATTCGTTTTAATAATTTTATCGATTAATCAAAATTATAATCTGTGCTCAATTTGTTTATTTGTTTAATCCAAAACGGTCTGTTTGTACCGTTATTTTCATTTACATACTTTTTATACAGATACCTAACCGTCCAGGTGAACTTCGTACCCAAGTTTGTACCACGAAACCAATAACTTAATCAAAATAAAATTAAATGTCGTAATATGAATTTTATGTGGGATTATCCAATAGTTTCGATGTAGTTATTAATCAAATATTATAAAATGTATACATATGTATGAAAGCAACACATAAAAGTCAACGAATACGATATAAACTGAGCTAAACATAAAAATTGCAATAGGTACTTACATTTTGCTAGATTTATTATGGTTGTGGGGCTCGTAGTTTCGTTTAATGAGTTCTGAAATGAGCCTGCTTACCTATATGATTTGTCTCAGAATTCGTTTGATAGAAACAGCAAATATCCGATCCTTTAGTAAAAAAAATGTTTAAAGATCGCCGCGTTTATAATTATGCCTACAAAGCTAAAAGCAAATTAAGCACCCAGTACTTACTGCTTCGCGTAACATGATTAAAACCTTGAAATAAAACAAGTTCCAAATCATTAGTTTTGTCGGAAGAGTCCATCAAAGAAAAACAGATATAATTGTTAAGATAACAATATTTTATTGCACAAAAAACATTGACCATACAAATAACAAAGGCCTCTTCATTAAAGTTGTTTATTCATAAACATCCACAATTAATATTTCTTAACGTTATTCGAAACAAAATCTTCAATAAAGTACTATCACAACTATTAATTAAATTACAGCATTTTTATAGAATATCTAATGAAATACCTACTCACAATAAAGTTATCTATTTGTATTATCTATATTTTTAATATATGCATAACAGATTATACAATAACTGGCAAGAATCCAGTGGCATCATCGTTGCCATATAATTGCTACATTTTATTTAAAAAAAAAGAATTTATTCAATTCATAATTACATCAACGGTAAGCTAGATGCTACGGTGGATACCAACTAGATAGGTCATATCAAGCGTGCATTAATTAGTCTTTTAATTTATTTATACTTAGTTAAAGTGTGTCATTCACGCATACACGCCTTTTAACTTCCGGAAGGATCTTTAAGCAACAGTGCTAATACCTGTAATTCGCCTGTTACCCACTTGTCTTATCATTTTTCGTCAATTATTAGGTAAATGACCCGCAAGAGGTTATCTGTGTCGCGGACAACCTAGCGGGTTACCGGGTCTCCGGCTCGACGTGCAGGAGAAGGAACGAAGTTGTTTTTAGTCAGTAGGAGTCTGACACTCCCTCCCGCCTCACCCAGGCGGGAGCAGTCATTCGATTTTCACCCCTTAAAAAAAGTGGTTATCTGTTACAACTATTTACATACATACATACATAACTTCACGCCTGTCTCCCATGGGGGTAGGCAGAGACTAAGGAACGCCAATTACTACGATTCTTACATACCTCTTTCGCTTCAATAACAGTCATTACAACAATTACAACTATTTTTACCCATTTGTATGGCACTTGTGTCAATCCTGGGACCCGTGCTATTAAGTGTTTATGTACCCAATAAGGAAAACACTGGAAGAGATTTAGTTACCCTAAAGTTCAAAATCGAACACATTCTGTACATTTTAAGTTATTAAGAAGCGCTTAAAATTTGCTTTATGACCTATTTGTATCTTTATACGTACCTTACCTTTTGTGCCTACCATGCCAAAAGCGCGTGTCAAAATCTTTCGTTTTCACATCACCGTGTCTAATGATTATGCTGCAACCGGCTAATAACGTACCTTTGTTAAACTGATAGCCATGACATAAGTATTTGTATAATACCTATCCAATTATATCTCGTCAATTTAAAGTCAATATTTATCAACAAATCTTTGACATAAAGCCTGAAGATTCGTATGAATGTACCTAAGTCCTTTTTATCCGTCAGGTGTACAAGCTGCCATTTTGTTTTTTAGGTTTAGGGTTCAAGGTTCAAGGTCTTAAGTCAAGTCCCGTCTATTTATGACTATTTACCCGGTCTAAGATTTGCATTCCCAATAAAGTCTTCCTAAGTATTAAGTATCTACATGGAGATTATAACAGTCAATTTTGAAAGGTGGTTAAAAACGTGTATCCACTTACACCTTCTGGAAATAAAATGTCTAATAAGTGATGTATTCCTTTACCTTGTCAGAAGTCTATACTTACTTACGACCTTGAATCCTTGTTCAGTTGTTCCTACAATCAATCATCAAGTTAGTTGACGTTGCATGTCACTCAGGTTTACTATCCCCGGTCCAGAATGACCTCGCTTGAGTTCCGGATCGTGATTGATGGATGAGCGTCGTCGACACGCGCTGATCCTTAGCATTTGTCGATGCACGCGATCCTCTTACACTTGGGTTAAGTGAAGGGCTTATGCATACTTTTAATAAAGTTTTTTATCATTTACATCAGATTAGCGACTCTTCATGACGTTGCAGTTTGCACAGGTACTAGATATTTCCGGTTGATCCAGTAAATCGACAAAAATGGTTATCGGATTTGGTGTAGTTGTTCAGAAGTTATCTATCTATGAACTTGGATTCAGGATAACAGATAACACTATTGTGCTGTGACTTATAGTATTATTTCCTAAAAACCACGATTACTTCTATGGGCTCGCCTAGTGCTTGTACCTTACAGCCTACTTATTAAATGCCCTTTAAATGTAAAGCTATTTCTGATGTCGTCGAAGGCACTTAATGTGTGTGTGTTTGTGCTAAATCGTAGTAAACGCTTGTAAATATCACGTCATTGGAATGGCAATTATGTTTATTCATCTTCACTTTAGTTATAATAATTGCCGTTTTGATTATATCTTGTTCGCCATAGCTACGTTGTCATTATTCAATGATGCCCATATCTGGAGAAGTTGAAAGGCGAGCGATGCGTCTTCGCACCATATACATTTGTGCACCCTTATTGCAATTACGTTTATCATTTGTGACTAACACACACGGCAATTGATTTTTTTACTCAGATCATGAGTAACGATTTGATCTCGTCTCTGCTTAATTAAGTAGTTAGATAGGATCGACCTTCTATTTAAATTTGATAGTAGTCGTTGTCTGATTACAGTTGCTAGTCTACACTTTTGCCAGGTTTAATTTCAAGGAGACACCTGGTGATTTAGGTGTACTTATGTAAAATATTTATGTATGTATCTGGACACGGACACTATTCTTCCCACGTGTGTTTGTGAGTATTCGTGGTCATTAATTTAAAAATAACGGTCGGTTTCATCATTTCGTTCAACTATCAAATATAGAATTATTTATAAGAAGCAGATATGTGCTATCTAACTAACCCAAATAACGAGTGAAATGAAGTTCTTTTCCGTCTACCCTTCCCGGGGAAACAGTCGAAATAGGTACCCAACTATTATTATGTCGTCGATACACGACATATTGTCATTACCTATGCCTTTTAAACACAATGCTATCAGCACAATTGATCGAAATCCTTTGTTAAATATCATGCTTTTTGTCCACAGAACTATGTGTTAAAGCAATGAACAGTTTGGCTTCCTCAGGACTTATTACAATGGACGAAGCTAGCTGTATCGAGTCCACTGAGGCTGGACGACTTATGTCCATATTTTATTTGGACTTGGAAACTATGAAGCTGATTATGAAGGTAAGATTGACGTAGATAAACCTGTTGATTTGATTACATAAAGTTTAAGAAAAGATAATACCTAAATAGGTATTATCTTGTTATAAATATCACAAAATTCTCACTGGAAAATGAAACGAAGCCGTTATTTCAGTCTATAATTTTTTTATTTTAGTCTAGGTAGGTACCTTATTTTGGTACTAATTTAAGTAAGAATCATAGAAGAAAATAAGGTAGGTACCTTATTAGGTACGTACTGTATAGTAAAAATATTATATTTGTATCTACATAAACATTAAATTTTAATTTGAGGTCTCCATTGATTTTCAATCAAATCATGTTGGCCAGAACCCACAGTAATTGTACCTTGTTAGGGTAAACATACACAAAATTATTATCTAGGTACCTGCATTCTGTAAAGTTCAGTACCGTACTGGAAGTGCCATCATGTGTAAGTTTAATTATTGACCTTTTTGTAAAGGTCGAAATGAGTTCTTGAGCTTAATTGAAGAATAATGAAGTAGTACCTGTAATGTGATGAATTGTGATGAGTACTTTTTGTTAAAGGCTAACTAACTTAGGTTTAGCGGACGAGTAAAAAACGTGCGGAAAAGTCAAGATCTTGTATGGCTAATAGCAATGGAATTAATAATAATAATAATAATACCAATTTATTTCAGATAATAAAATCCATAAAATTACATTTAAAACGAATTCAGGTTCAAAAATTTTATAAATAAATTAAAAATTAAAAAATTGTCTCTATGGCAAGTATCATAATAAATTAAAAATAATAAAAATAATAATCAATTCGTTCATACATCAAATAATCAAAATAATAAATTACACAAACACACAAAGAACATACATAGTCAATAGTCCATTTCAATTGTAAATAGTCAATTAATTATAAGTAGTCAGTTTCAATTATAAATAGTCAATACAATCCCAATATAAGTCAATAATAATATAAGTCAATAAAAATACAAGTCAATAGATAATAATACAAGTAAATAATAGAGGTATAGTTATGTCAATTATAAATATGAGGGACCGCTCGCGTGCAATCGCATCCACCTCATCAACATTGGTGAGTCCCACCGCTGGGACAATGTGCTCAGAATACCATTCGGGCTGCCACGCACACGCCTTAACAGCGAGGCGCACCTTTTCCTGATTATGGCGAAAAAATCATCAGTTTGCGCCTCAGCAAACATAGCGGAAGCACTACAAAAACGTAATGTAATAATAATAATGCTGCTCGGATCTGGCCTTAGCCATGGTTAGCGTAAATAAAATTAGTATTCTGGCTTTAAAATGGATCTTAGCTATAATTGTAAAACTTCATACATTTTCTACATCTTTTGAATTTTGATCCAATTCAAGTGTAGTAATTGACTGGGGTTGGACCATAGATCATGTAACCATGGGTGCAGGACGCGAAAGTTATTAATAGATTTATCCTTTTACCAGGTCGAAGGTTCAGAAACCTTAGAGCGTCTCCTGGCATTAATATGTGAGAGCCACGAATTAGCAGACATGCACCTTCGAGTAGACGAACGAAGATGTTTGAACCTTCTGAATAGGAACCAAGCTGCAGCTACTATTAGATTTCCTATGAAAGGCAAAATCAGCACGCGCCAAATGAAACTTAATTGGTAAGTGTTTAAAAAAATAATACTTTTACCTATAAGTGCATAAATTCTTCTAAATTTTCGTCTTCAAGCTATTTCTAACAGTGTCGTTTTACAAATAAAGTCGAGAATCTGTTCAAGGGGCTCTCGACCCTATTTTATTTGACGCTCTTAAATAGAATGTATGTAATGTCAAAAATATCTAAATGCTTAAATTATAAAGCTACATTAAACATTATTATATTGGTTTTAAATAAAAGACCAATGATAAAATTAATAACTTATTCAACACGAATCACCACAAAACGACAGTGGCGCACCCTATGCAGTCTTGCAAATTATTGATTGATTGTATTTTATTGCATATACATAAAGATATACGTAATTTGCAATGACACAATGAAGTTAAAAATTCATGATTCACTTGAAAACATTAAAACTTTTATTTGTATTATTCATTGAAAATGCCTGAAGGCAAAATCATAACTATAGGTACCTAACCTATGCTATTCGGTTGACAAGGACAATATTAAAATCTTTCGCAACATTGAAGATGCATTGCAATAATGACATACATAAGGATGTCGTCCCACGCAAATATTTTACTATGAATTTATTGACGGAAATAAAATATTATTATTTATTATTAACAGCATCATTCAAGCCGTCCTCGGTTGTCTACCGATTCCCGATCCGTCTCTCAATCAAGAGGCTATGAAAATTATAAGAACTGCTGATAGAGTTTGCAAATGTAAGGATTTAATCTATATTCATGTAGGTACTTGCACACATAGGTATCAAGTTTTTTAACAGGTACCTTCTTATCACAATCAGTCAGTAGAAGGTTAACACGTTAAACGCCATGGCAGTCACTGGTGACCGACATTAGCGGAGGATTTGCCTTCAATAGTTTTTTATTGGCAGCCAATGCCTTAAAGTAACAGAATAATTTATTGCATATAAATCCGATGTCACAGCTTCAGAATACATTAACAAAATCTAAAATAATTTAAATTACCCACAGTTATTTACGAGCTAACCAACCAAGAATTTAGCCTTCTGATTGGTTGGTTTATTGCAGCAGGCCAATCAGATCGCCGAACGGAGAATGTTTTGATATCGTTAAACGTAAAATAATATCGTAGGAAACCATCTCTAAGGCAGTGCTTATCTGCAGTACCTTAATTTTAGGTGTTACAGGAGCAGCATCTACCATCTGTTAAATTCATGTTCGGTGGTTCACTCGTTTTTTCTTTTCTTTAGGTCTAGTAACATACGTCACACGCCCAGACTTAGTATCTCAACAGCCGATGTTCTACTCAGCTGTTCTAAACTCGATACTGCTCGCGAAGTGTATATCGGCACATCTTTGGGAAAACTCGCCATATGTGAGCAAACAGCTAAAGGGCATTGGACCGACTTTCAGTACACTACTCGCAACAGCTGGTAAAGTTAATTTCATTCTGTTAGAAGAAAGCCATCCACGGGACTTGGAACGGGTGAGAAAACCTTAGACTATATATAAGTAAGTAACTAAATGGTAATGATATGGTGACATATGTACATCTTAGTGTTTCCGATAGATAATGAATAAAGGAGCCCCAGCTGGCAATGTTCTTCGCAAACAAATTAGTCTACTTCCAAAGTACCAACTGACAATGATACCAGTAGATGAGAAGACCGTTACCCTACAGCTCTTGCTTATCAACCAAGCTTACTTAGCTGAGAACATGGAGAATTTGACGGCCGGAGAAAGACACAAAAGTTACATCATTGTGGGGGATTCTAATAACCATCTCTTGCTGTTGGCTACCTTCAAGTAAGACGACACAGATCTTTTTCATATTTATGTATAAAATTAGTTTTTCTTGTTGATTACGACAAAAGACACTTTTTCATTATATTTTTACAGGGACAAAGATTTAATAAGCGTTTTCGATGGCATTATTAGTCATGAAATAAGGCGCAAACACAATTTTGAACACAAAATATTTGCTCATTGCGTTAGCTCTTCTTTTGGTGAGTATTTTCTGCTTTTACTGCCTACTATTTATCCTTATAACTGGATAACTATTGAATGGGTGAAATTATTTAGAATTTTGGTTTACTTTGTTTCAGTGGGTATCGATGCTCAGGCAGAATATTTGTTCAACAACTTAGAACCATTTCTGACAGGACCAAACACACAAAATAGCAGTATTCAAAAGAATCCAGTGTCTAATAAAAAAGTAACTGAGCGCCAAACATGCATAACTGATACATTTAAAGAACGTAAAAGGAAAAATACTGATGCCATAGAAAAGTCTAAAGAAAAGAAGAAACGTGAAAGTGCTATGATTGAGAGTTTTAAATATCTCAAACGGTCGTTTGAAACTGCGTCGAAAAATGTAAATCAAAGTGTCAATCACCAAATGAATACAAATAAAGAAAGCACAAATAATATCACAGTTGGGCACTCAGAACCGAGTAAATCGAATTGTCAAGACATTGGAAATACAAAACAGAATAATACACCAAATCCTGCAACAATTCTTAATGTGTGTCCCGAAGAAATGGATAGCGATGAGTTTATCGATGAAAGAAAAATTGACAGTATTCTAAACGAAATTGAAAACGAAATGAATAAAGGCAAACCAAATTCCAACGATAGCAAAGCACGCTTTTGTGATAATGTTAAAACTGCTTTTAATAAATCAACACATAGTCTTAACAGTATGACTAACTTGTTTCCTACCACAAAATCTACTAATTACTCTACTAATGCAATTAGAAAACGTAAACCTGTAACCACAAAATCCAATTACAATTTTATTGAGTTATTGGAAAGGAAACTCAGTTTAAGTGATAATGAAGACGTAATAGAGGTTCCACAAAAAGACAACGGATTTTCGGACACTATAAAGAATCATATACAAAAATACTTGACCAAAACAAAAGCTACAATTCCTGATAAAAATTTAGAGATTTTAACAATATTAGATGATCCACGAAACGAATTACCGGATGATAGAGAAATGAATCGAACTCTTCTACTTGAAGAATTACCAAATCCCGTACGTGAACCATGCCCTAAATACGAGATTAAAGAAATATTAGGCCAAAGTGATACTATACAAAACAGGAAAGTTCAAAAAGCAAACAACACTGATTGTTATATAGATGTTAATGATTGTGAAACGATCGAAAACAAAGAACCTGAAAGAGAACTCCTTAACTATAATACAAACATGAAACAATTAACGGATTTTAGTGATAAAAGCATCATAGTGTTGGAAGATGAAAATTATAAAACTGATAAGACTAACGATAAACATTACGAAGTAAAAGATAATTACATGGAAGTTATAGAAAGTAAGAATGATACAGCAGTAAATAATTGTAATGAAATGAACCAAAATGATGTACAATTCATAGAAAATGATGAACACCTTGAGATTGAACCAAAGTCGATGTACAAAACAGATGTTATTCTAATCAGCCCTACAACTGGGAAAGTTCAATGTCCTGGCATTAATAATACAAAGAATTCCACTATAGATAAAATTTTAGACGTAAATGGAAGTGTTTTATCAAAACACAGCATTGACACTGAAAGAGTTGAAGATAATTTTGACGAGTCCCTAAAACATATTCCAAGGCAAATTGTTCCACTAAATATTAATCAACTTGTAGCAAATAATAAAACATTACTTACCGATGGTGTAAATAGAGAATATTTAGCCACTGACATATCTTCAGATCAGACAGACTGCGCTCCATCTGAATCTTCGTTTATCTCGCCTCCTTGCTCCAATTTGCCTAACGAGACTCAAAGCACATCAAATTATTTCTCAAAAAGCATAGAAACAGATCAAAGAAAAGCTAAATTTGTTCAAAGATTCACTTACGTTGCAAGTAAGATAGACGTTTGTACCAAGCAAACTCCAGAATATAGTATGCAAGTTATCAAGAAAATGAAAATGGACGTAGATATAACAGCTATAGTGTCCCGAAAGAATGATTCTTTTCAGAGTTCTAGGGCAGACTGTGAACAAACCTCAAATGATAATATTAAAATGATTGAACTACTGAAACAAAATAACACTAACCGAGAGGATGATGAGATCATATCCACAAGTAATAATGAAAGAAATCATAAATCTAATATTATCTTTCCACCTATGCATATTTCAACGTTTGATAGTTTAGCTATGCTTCCCAATGAGGGTAGCCTAAATTTGAACAGTAATGTGAAAAGCACCAATATAAAGGAAACTGTTCCTGACCATAATTTTATGGGTACTAAAAATTTATCAAACGATAACGTGAATGATGCATTATCTAATAATTCGGAGCATTTAGAAGCAAACTATAAATGTGACAACTTAAGCGCAAATATAAGACAAACAGAATCTGAAAATGCTTGTGTTGGTGGAAATAAAATTCAAAATATATTAGAAAAATATAGCAAGAAACTATCGTAAGTTCTGAAACATTTTTTAATAAATAGAGTCAATTGAGGGTACTTTAGAGAAAGTTAGTTTAGGGTTTGATTCCGGTATTACAACTACTTCACCACTTGTCGTTAGTTTACTCTTACAATAAGATTATGAAATCCATTATTTGATGCTTCGAATAATTTACCAACCTGTCGACTATTTTGTTTATTCCAGAACAAATTTATCCAAACCTCTAACACCAAGTTGTTCAAACATCACTAGACCTGGATATAACAGTGCACCCAAAATTAAAACTAGAAAACCGTTTAAGATAACTGATCTACACAAATTGCATGCCACTATACCCGATACTATCGTAGAAAGTAAAACAGAAGTTCAAAAAGATTCAAAATTACAATCGCCAAAACTGAATTTGTTTGTAGACGTCACGAAAATACCAGAGAAATTAAATAAAAATGAATTTACGGAAAAGACAAGTATGCAATTACAAGACATTTCATATTGTGGGTCTCTGATTGAAATGGATTTAGAACCAATTAATGAATATTTATCCCCAAAAATAGACCTAGAACCCAAGGCCTACAAAATAGATCAGTCTATGTTTAATCCTAAAAAACTTTTGCAATGTGTAGCTGATGATGGATATGAGATAGTTCCTCCACCGCCAGAATTCTGTGACGATATATCTTATTCACCTGAAGAGGATTTTTCGACTTGTGGAAGAAATGAATTGCTTACATCGCAACTTAATGATTTTACGAACAATGATGAGGCATGCAATGAAAACATATTCGACGATAATATTGGTACTGATCTAACTCCCTCAAGAGAAATTGAGACTTGGGTCCTGTCTCAAGAAGACGACGATCGCAATTCTAACATGTCTTTGAATATAAGTCCCGCTAAATCGTATACAGTGATGCGGAAAAATTGTAGTAACAACAGTAATTTCTCCTACAAAAATATAATGTCGAGACATGCCAAATTAGGACAGTTTAGATTCAGTCAAAAAAATAAATTTAAAACCAAAAAATGATTAAAAATAAATATTGATTTGAGCAAGTGGTCCATGTTTTTTAATTTTTTTTTGGGTTTACATGCTATAAGTAAAAAAACTTGGAAGTTCGGGCACGCTATGTTATCCTTTTGAGATAAGATTTTCTTAGACTACAATATCTTGTTTGCTACGCGAGCACCATGGGTGTGAAAATAATGATAAAGATGCAATGGCATCCTCAAAATGCGAACACGAGTACAATCTACGCAACACAAAATTTCTGTCATGATGCCTAATAAAAATCAATTGCAGTACCAGTTGCAGATGAATAGTGGAACCGCCCAAAACATGAATTGTACGCCTTAGTAAAGTTTAATAGCAATATCACGCAATTAATTATCCGATTTCAGGGGTTTCAGGGGTGCCTGCTTTCTGTTAGAATTTACTAAGCACTATTTTTTAATGTTCGTGTAACCATGTACTTACGCCCTAGCTTGCAAAAATATTTTCCAAGTTTATTATAATATTTTGTAAGTCTGTAAGACTCCCTATAAAAATAGATAAAGGGGATTACAATAATAACACTAAATTTGAATATAAGCAACATCAAATTTATTTAAATTAGCGCAGAAATAATTCATAGCAAAAATTAAAGTTAGTCTATTATAGTTTCAAAAAAACTGTTTCACATAAATAGGTGAGAAGTGTGATAATGCCATAAAGTTGACAATAATCTATAATTACTTTAAATCTTGAGATTAATCACAAGAACATGTAAAACCAAGACTCACTAAACATAAAAATAATATATTACGTTAAATGCCACGACATACGGACATTTTAATTTTATTTAGTTGGTCTTGGTTGAACGGAACTCCAATCCTTTACTCGAGTAGTCTTTTCTAACTTGAACAGTGCGATGTTTTACAAGGGCAGGTTGAACTCACACCATTCAATTTAAAAGAAACTGGGTGCGTGCAGGATCCTCGTCTTTGCCTGGCACACAAAGCAAAGCACCGACGACGACACTGTACAGTTAGAAATGTTACAACCTCTATACTTTGCATTAAAATAATGCCCATTTTCACAGGCAAGGGATCCTAACTTCGCAACCACTAATTCCAGTGATAAATTCACTCTAGCACGTAGTTCTCAGCTTCCCTGCAAAGTTAACCATCTTGTATTCAAAAGAAAACCTAGAATCACTGGTTCAAATTCAAATAAAAACACTCTGCAAACCTGCCTCACATGATTCATCCACAAATTCCAACCCTTGCGTTTCAAAACAGTTCATTTTAGGTTCAAGTTAACCGCAATGTTGGAGCTTGGTACAAAGCAAAGGTCGGGCAGTTCGTCAACAAGACATTACTAGCTGAGAATATTTTTTTCCGTTTAATGCTCAGCATGTTAGATAACTGCTTAAACACACGACACTTAACTAATTTTTATGTAAATAAGTATATATCTGGTTTAACAAAATGAAAAAATATGACTGGCTATGCCATGATTATAATATACATTAAAAGCTAAGACTTCAACTTTTGTTTGATAAGTATACATTTTATTAATATGAATGCAAAAATCATGCCTAAATAATGCTGAATATTAAACTGGAAATATCCACACGTATTTTTTTTTACATTTCATTATTTTATATTTTTTTTGTATTTTTTTATATTTTTTAAGTAATTTCCACGCTGGGAAAATTACACTAATTCTATGCAAAGTATAGCTTGTATTTGTTATGTAACCACTCCATACTTTGTTTCATTTAAATTTACGGGCTATGCCATTTATCCTCGCACGTTGGCAGTAATAGTACAAGTGAAAAGTCACTTGCCGATAGTAGAATAAGTATTAAAAATAAACTTAAAGATTATTAATAAGAAAAAAATGCAAAGATAAGATGAAAAAAGAGCAAATAGAGAAGAAAATTGGTGAAAAGAATCACAAGTAAGATACTGCAAACATGCCAGTTATAAAGCATAGCCCGAAGTGCTATTGGCACACAGGCATAATGCCATATTCAAATGGGAAGTGGTGATAAAGATAAGTATAGGCTCAAAACCTAACGACATCAATCACCAGCTTAAAAGCCAGGTTTCCATCACAAAAAGTTATTTGTTCAAATAACTCATTAAAATTAATATGCGTGATGCGGTTCACCAAGCAAGTGGCGTTGATGTCGCAAGATAGTGAGACATTCACTTTTTAGTCATGATCTTCAGATATTCCAAAGCATTCTGGGCTGCAGATGACTGTGCATCTTTGCTAGTAAGTCCTGAGCCATAGCAAACAGCCACTGGCAGTGTGGATAGCTGGACAAGGCACTGGCAACGACCAATCATGGACTTTTCTTCAATATCCACATAAGTAACTTCAAATGACTGCTCAGATGCAATTTCTTGTAAGAATTGCACAAAGTTGAAGTCCTTGTTATTAAGGGGTGTTACCTGCCACAGAAAAAAATAATTGTTAACAATTTGAACCAAAAATTTTTCTCATCCCCAATATTACAATCACCACACATCAAATATTAAAAAATTTCGTGCACACGAAACAATATTCATTCCATTCCGTAAGTTGTAAGTACCATGCATAATAATTCAAAATATAGCATACCTGCAACTTGGCCAGGTTAGGGCCAACAGATTGTTTGAGATGTTTGTGAAACTGCGACACCTTGTGGCTGTGACTTGTAGTCAAAGTGGAGATTTTACTATCTTTCAAGTCGGCATAACGGGCCGCGACTCCGCCCTAGAACACAACACGAAATATTAAATCAGATAGTCACTTTTAACGCGAGTGGCCCTTCTGTCCATTCATGCCTGCAGATGCCGACCGAAAGATAGTAAAACACCTGGCCAAGTGCAAACCTCTCAGGGAATGATACAAAAGAGCCACTCACATGGCTGATGTTATTTTAGGGATCTGTTAATAAATATATCAGGTAAAAATAACAATCTTTAATTAAAAAAATATAAGTGTATACAACAGTCAATTATTTTTAGTAAATGCAATTATTATTTACAATCATGTTATTTCTTTGGCACAGAATCACTTGGAAGGTAATATAACAAGGTACTTGTGTTTATTCAATCAAATTGGGACAAAAATATACCTCTTCCTCGGGTTGGAATGATTCTGGTGGGTTGTCCTGCAGAGCTTGCCACATCTTGTAAGCAGCCTGACGCTTAGCAAGTTTCTTAGACTTGCCCGTTCCCACTTCACGACGCTTCAGCAGAGTGCACACAATGGTGAATTGGCGTTCATGCGGTAAACCTGCAGTAACAATAAAACTATTAACTTCTAGGGTATGTTTTTTACATTTTTTAAGACACATAAAAATAGAAACGTCAACTTACGCCTATTAACATTATCATCATTCTCAGCATGATAAGAAGGTGGGGGCCAGAATCTAGACATGCACAGCTCTTGCAGCCATCCAACAGGATTTCCCATCAATTTATCTTCAAATGATGACACCACAGTTCCACTGTAAACATTTATAATTGCATTTTAGTTATAAACAAATAATAAAATTATAAATCAATATGGTAAATGTTATAACTGCTTTAAAGTACTTACGTCTCAGGCACGTTGCCATTCGTAGACTGATCAGCAGGAGCAGCTCCAGTAAGTTTGTCAAGTAAAGCTTTAGCTGCGGAATGCTTAGCTTCCTTCTTAGAGCGCCCCGTACCCATAGCTGTAATTACATCTGTTATTACATGGTCGTAAATGCATATCAAGTTAAGTACATATTTGCATGCCCTTACCAACAAGATCAGCGACTGTGACGCGGTAGCGGAAGGTAGGTTCATGTATCATGCCCTCAATCTGCACCAACTCATATTTGGGCACCGTTCCTCGACGGGCAAGTAGTTCTTGAAGCACAGATACTGGTGTCTTCAATGGAAGAGATTCCATTTCCTGTGAAATATAACTATATTTTATAGACGTAAACTATACATTTTGAAGCAGAAATAAACAATCCAATTTGCTTTCAAAACAATCAATGCAGTTGTGCAATGTAATAATTATCAGTCTAGTTATTAGCTTTCAATTAAATTACTAAGTCCTATTGCATTGTTACCTACATGATTAACCTACTTGTTGACTAGCTCAAAATGCCTTCAGATAAATTTTCGGAGTTCGACTGAAAATTTTAGAAACTACAATCATTAATTTCCAGCACTGTAGCATTCAAGTTATTTCACCTTGTTTTAAAGAATAATAAAAATAATTATCAGAATGCCATATGACAATCTTATTATAGAACCCAGTCTACGTTAGGAACTTATAAATTCATAATTTAGAAACAGCTAATTTGTGAAATATAAAACATCACAGTTTGAAACCTGAGGAACGAAGGTAGTTTTGGGTAGGTGGTAAGGAAAAAATCAATGTATTAAACTGTCAAACACCAAGCGGTCACCGGTGACCGCAACCTATTGTTCTATAATTGTGTCTACAAAACTGGTACTCGACGAGTTAAATGGAATGACATGTGACAATCACATTTAAATCTTCGTTGAGTACCGGTTTTGTAGACACAATTATAGAACAATAGGTTGCGGTCACTGGTGACCGCTTGGTGTTTGACAGTTTAATATGGAACCCAATATCCCCCTGTGAACTAATTACGCCTGCTATTCTGAAACAGCTGATTTGTGAAATACAAACATGTTTGACAGCTGTATGTCACTGAACCCCAAAGCAAGTCAACAAGTGTAAAGAACAAAGAAGTGCTGTGTGGATCAATCTGAGTATCATAAGTAATTTTAGGGTGATAAGTTACTAAGTATGAAGTAGTACCCTCAATGAAGTAAACATCTACCTACTCCTCTTTAACAATACAACTATTCTGGAACATTTATAATATAGATAAAAGAACTAACCCGTTTAGCAGCTTCATCCAGGGGCAAGCGTTCCAAGTTGCTTGGAGGCTTAGGTCTGTTTTGGTAGCGGCGACGCGGTCCGTGAGGGGCATGCTCGCCATCAGGGCCTGCACCATGGACCGCCATGCCATGTACCACGCCTGGGATGCCACCCGGTACCACTCCCGGGTGAGGATGCACTACATTTCCGTCCATCTAAGCAAAAATAAACAATCTTAGATCATTACCAAAACAATCAGTGCAGCAAAGCAATCTAATTATTGTTGCCTAATTATTAGCTGTCAAATCACGAAGTCACATTGCATTGTGACGTGGCCAAATAACTTATAAGATTAACTCAACACTTTTATGAAGTCTTTTGTCCTATTGGAAAACGTACCCGTGTCCTAAGAACATACATGATAGCTATCACAAGAATCTATTGATATCACCACTCCCACGAGACAAGAAAGTTACTTTAAATTGCACTAAAACTAGACTCTGGATCTTCAAAAATATTTCTAAACAACACCGATCGCCAAAACAGTATTTCAATGCACTAAATCAATTAAAATTTCACGGGTTTATGAACTTCGTGATCTATAGTATTCACTTCTGTGACATGGCGGCCGCCGCTCTCAAAATGGCTACACCACATGCCGGCATCCGGCGCGGCAGATTCCGGTGCTTATTTTCATAATAAACTCAGTTCGATACTCGAAACCATTAAGTAAATATCGAACTAGAATAATTTAAACGCCAATTGTAACTGGATTACAATAAAAGTTGTATTGGAGATCTTTTTTCAACTTACCATTTTGTCAATGAACTCTTCTGAAGTATTTGTTTACTAGACAACACTGAAAATATTAGAACAGGCGATTAGGTACTTATTTATGAGTAACTTTAATCTATTTTACTTCGGAAAATTATACAAACCAAGGAAAGTTGCTCAAAGCTGCTTCAACAAGAATAGGTAGGTATTGAAATTATTATATTCACCGGTTGTCAGAGTAAAAATAAATAACTCCCTGTCCCTGAACAAGCAACTTCCATGACAGGACAGTTTACATCTACTTATCAATTATTTTTGTAATTTTATATAAAAAGTATTCGGATATTTTTTTAATCATAAAATACCTATATTAAATATAAAGTTTGAGTGATATAATTTAATTACTAAAGGTTTCATCTAAAGAGATAAAAATATATCAGTAAAGTTACTAATAAATCTAAATTCCAAGTCATCAATCATTCGCATGATGAGCCTAATCCAGAACAATAATATTTACTTAGCTCAGCAGGTGAATTCGATACCATTTACACAATGCAACAGTAATTTTTAAGTACTTGTCAAACGAAACAAGTATCCACGTAAAAAAATATTTCAATAAAACATTCTGAAACAATTTTATTATGTTTTCTTGTGATTATGTCATAATATTATATTATACTAGATTAAATATAACAGATTATTGTTAATCAATGATGTCAAGTTGTATTCAATTTATATTCTAAAATTTGACAAAGTAACAGGTGTGTATTCCCTATTTCGGGGTTAATTATTTAGTCTGGCAACTTTAAAACAGATGATAACTATAATTTTGTAATCTTGCAATCTTATTGGACACCACTAGCGCCGTTGTTTTACTGCAAAGTTTGCAGTAAAAAATGTAAAAATATTTCATTTCAAGTGTTGACTCTTGAGACCGCGAAATTCAAAAATTATCATAATAAAATTATGAATCACGGGATTCGCGGGAGATATTCTTTTATAAGTATTTGTAGATCGCTATTACAAAGAATATCGAATTTATTTATTTCATTTATATGCATAATAATGGATAAATTATTTATTTATTGGTAAATAATAAAAAAATGTTAGTGTAAAGATATTTATTATTGATTGTTTATTTCATAATATTTAACATACTATTTTAGCCTTCTTAAAGTTCTCGTTAAATAGGTTCGGTGCTCGCACATTACATAAATAAATCGTTTTTTGTTCGAGAGTGATTGAGTTGAGTTGTGATATAATACAAGTTCCCTCGCGACAGGAGCGCCTCTGGCGGTGTAAATAGGGAAATTCTACAAAAAAAAACATCACACCGCGCTTTCAACTTCGATTCTTAATATTTTGCTATAACTTCTAATGCTGACAGACTTAGTTTACAATTTTAAGTCAATGTTATGAACTTAGAGTATTTATGGTTAAATAAATATTCTAAGAATGATCCTGTAGTCGATACGAAGCGTACGAAGTAATTTTTATCATTTTATGCAGGCAGACCAATTAAGCTACGATTTCATTTTTTATATTATTGAATTGATTTTGAACTTTTGTTTGGTAATGAAGTAGAAAATCCAAATTGGTTTGGTATCTTGGTACGTGAAATAGGTGACAACGTAGAAGTTTAAATATAAATCCGTTGTAACTATGTACGTCTATTATTGTTTGCAGGGTAATTTCTTCATTTCCTGTCGAACTGCACCACAATGGTTAAATACATAGCTGATGAAGCAACGATCTGTAAGAAGAAAAAAAAACAATGTCAACTTTGATCTACAATAATAAATAATAAGCAAGGGGTTTTGAGTTTAATTCCTGGGTCAGAAATTATTATTCATTTTACGGTTTAAAAAATCTTAGTAATAGCACAGAGTTACATAGCAATAGGCTCACCCACCATTGCAAGGGACTTATAACATAAATGGTAAAAAGTGGGTGTTACATCGTATAAGTGTTGTTAGATATTATCCCGTGGTGTTGCATGACGTTAATTTTCTATCCTTGTTCTTAATTCTTAATAATCTCATTAAGTAGGTACCTAGGCTCTTACGTCATCCTAGTAACATTATCACAACTTTTACTAGGTTTTTTTTTAAGGGGGGAAAATCATCGAATGACTGCTCCCGCCTGGGTGAGGCGGAAGCGAGTGTCAGACTCTTACTGACTAAAAACCACCCCGTTCCTTCTCCTGCACGTCGAGCCGGAGCCCCGGTTACCCGTTAGGTTCTCCGCGACAACTTTCACTAGATCAACAAACCTTAGATAGAAGAGCAGCATCCAAAGAAAATAGTCCATAGGCAGTTATATCGTCACCGTGGAATAAAATTAGAGATGAAAAATGTTGTATCTGAAAAATGACCAATTTTAATTAAGCTAAAATCTTCAAACAAGTAGGTTAAGTAGGTAGGCATACTAACACTACATGTACGGTCAAAGGTCAAAAGTCCGCTGCCACCATAAGACTACTATCGGTTGCGCTGCAGCGCATAATCACACGCGTTTTTATGCACATTAATATGAAATTACTTACGCATTGCCTTGTGAACATCACTCACGGTGGGAGTGGACTTTTGACCTTTGACTGTATAATTTGTCTTAATTGCAAAATTGGCAGAGGCTGCTGTGCAACGTGTCGCAGCTTTAATACCCGAACTTATTTCTTTATGATCTGCATATCATTGTTATGGGTCGGGTGTGTGTGAACGAAGTCATGGTTTTTAAACACATTCGAGAAATATTTTTCATTGGCTATTTTAACCTTTCATGTATCTAAGGGTGCGTCCACATAAAACACGAGACACAATGTATTTCCTATTGTGATTCATTTCGGTGCATTCAAGCAGTTAAATTAGAAATAATGTAAGGTACGTTACCTCCAATAACAAGCGTATATCGTGTTTCGCTGTGGGTATACTATGTAGTGCCTGTCCTATTTTACTAACCTGAAAATGATCATATAAAAGATATCGACATTATCAACTGTTAGATATTGAAATTCCACGTAAGTATTGTCAGTTCAGTACTTGCCTCGTGCTTCAACAAATGTCCTGATCTAGACATGATATACAATTTGAAAATCTGATATATCACCCAAATTGAACAATTTACAATGTTGTGCCGGGAAAAGTCTTTCTCCACTACTAAGCCATGGTATATTATGTGAGACTCGCTTACCATTGTGTGGAAACATTGCACAGTGGTAAACAAAAATGGCATTTGAAATACATTATTAATATCTCTCTTAATTTCAAAAGCTATTTCGTACAAAGACTCCACATACTGGAGTGTCAAAACTTTGTCCTCAGACTTGACGTAATGATCCATTACAATTGTTTTCGCCATCGATAGGTTCGCTATGTGGAGCCTAATATTCTTGAGTAACACGACCAGCATCAAGATGAGAACGTAGTAGAACGCTAACACCGTGAACTGTATCAATTGCGGCACTAAGAACGTCATGTGTACTAGTAAAGCCTTCCATAATGAATCGTCTCGTGTCCAGTTTACAGCTACCTGTAGTAAAGATACAAGCACGAGGTAGACTATTATCATGTTCGTTTGAAAACGCAGCTTCTTCAAGTTACTTTCTATATTGGAAGTATCTGTGTTGTTAGCTATTTTGTTAATTATTTTCACGTATATATTTCTGTTTTTAAACGCACAGAAGTATGCAGTTACGCAGAATATAAGGAAGCTAGCCATCTCGACGTTGTAGTTCATTTGAGTGAGCACCTCTCTGGTCATAACAGTGTCTCCGATGGAGTCGACCACGTACCGCATGTGCAGCCCGCAGAACGTGAACAGGAGAAGTATGTACGAAACTGAACATAAGGAATTGATGTAAATCGACTTCTTAATTATAGTTAAACCACGTTTGTTATTATTGAACTTAATGCTATAAGGAAAGAGACCAAAAAATGTTAACACTATGTAGATAGGTTTAAATATTTGGCGTACATTTAGATTTTCGTTATCGTTAGCATAAAAGTATTTCTGAACATTTGAAAACATTGTTTAAAAAGTATTAGGAGGTAGTCGTTTGTGCACTTTTATACGAATGAATCCGAATGTTGTCAACTAGTTACTGAAAAGCACAATTACTATACAGAGTGCTACTCTTTTGCTGATTGTATCTTTGCACATTATTTATTCAGGGAGTAGTCCAAGCGTGTGCATGTAAAAAGTAGTGATTAAATGTCTATCAACGATACAAACCCTTTCGCCGATTGTCTTATCTCCAATCTGTTACGTAAAGCTAAACATAGTGTCACCGTAACACGAACACCACACCGCTGTAACTAACAATTACACGTAAAATTGAAGCCCGCCGCTGCCCGTGTCATTATTTTCAAAATAGTGTAGGTATATGTGGTAATGTAACTAAACTATACCTTGCAGTTACTTCTATCTATTGCTACATTGTACATAGATTAATCTAGATATCTAGATAGGTAGGGTTTAATTGTAAAAAATAGTACACAAAGTACTAAAGTATCTACTTTTTACCTACTGAACCATTTTAACACGCACATAATCTTTAAAACTTAACTCATGAGGCAACAGACAATTATAATAGGCAGGTGAATACACATACAATACAAAAATACAAATACAATTAAGCAATGTACAATACAATTATGCACATTGCACAATTTCATGAATAGCTAGCAATATAAAAACAGATTCTTCTTAACGTCCGTTACTAACTAATCATAAACACAGAATCGAGACGACACGGATGACAAAGATTCGTGCTCTTTGGATGAAAATGAAAAAAACATACTTCAAAATTATAAAATTTCAAGTCATGTGTGTCAAGTGCTGATAAATTCATGTAACATTTATTCAAATAAAATTATTAAAAAAATATGCCAATGTGGAGATCCGTACTGGCAGGATGCCGTGGAGGTAGGCGGCGGTTTTTCGTGGAAGGATACAATGGAATGTGTTATGATAGGGTTTACGGCAGACGTAGACATGCTAGGAGGCAGTACAGTACCTGCCCAACTGGAATGAAGGTCACCATCTGCGGGGCTGCGGGATGCACTGGTTAGTACGCGCTATTTATGTAAATAGACAACAAACAAGTGTTTGTATATAAGTAAAAGTTAACTTATCAAAGATTTGAAACCAAGATAAACGAGCATTTCCTAATGGCTAATGGCTAATCTGAGAAGAAGTATCGAAACAATTAGGGTCGCTTCAACAAAAAATAGCTTGAAAGGAAGTCCACATTTGAAAATTGTGTAATGCACAAATTGACAACATCGTGAAACCGTACAATTTTGGATTATGTAACTTACTAGATGACGAAAATTGCTAAGGTCTGGTCTTATCCAGAGGTTCGTAATTAGGGGCCTGAAAATGCGAAATGGGTCCAGTAAAGGATGGTACGACAGTGTATGCTTACTAGACTTGGCGGAAGAACGTGCTCCCAGACCTAATTTTTTTTAAACTATAACTAAATAGTGCCTAACTTATTTTCATGATATTTGAAGGTCAACCTTTAGCTCTACTGTTGAAGCAGTGCCCTTTAATAGACGAGATAGCTTTGTACGACCAGTGCCCCACCTGTGGGTTTGCCGTGGAACTTAGTCATGTAGACACTAAGAGTAAAGTGACTTCGTTTTCCGGGAAACATATGCTGTGCGATGCACTTCAAGTAAGATATGAATGTAATATAGTTTAATTATTTTGAATGTACTTATCAGCTTTACTTTAAACTTGAATCTTTTTTTTATAAATGAACTCGGTAGATTTAAAGTAGAAATATTAAACGTAGTTAAGTATAGATCTACTGAACTTTCATAAATTATATCAGCCGCGTAGCAATACTACGCCGCCGTAGGAAGTTTTCATTGTATTTTCCGTAGCACTGCTACGCACGTAGTCACTGCGCGTAGGCGCCTACGACCGTAGATCATTAATATAATATTTAAGACGTATTACACAGATTGTAATTATTAGAATAATTCTTTACAGAAATAACAGATTTATAATTAACTATCATACACCCGCGGCTATGCCTGCATAAAAAAGCCTATGTCCTTTTTCAATTTAGCTAAGTATATATACCTAATTTAACACGCATAAAAAAGTATATAATGTTTATTTTATGCGACGTACTTTATGAATTAGGTACACATCAAGCGGTACAAAACTAGCGTATCATGGTCTCCTTTTGTTTAACCTTTCTATACATTGAATGGCCAGTTTATACTAGTTATTTATACGTGTGTGACTTTGTGTTCGTGATTTCAGGGCGCAAAGGTAGTGGTGCTTGTGGCACGGAACGAAATGGACACCTTCGAACAGAGTGCACCCGTCATTACTGAAATAGCTCTGCAAATATGCAACACTTGCCCGTTGGTTAGTTTAATTAGGTCATTTTATTAAATATGTTTTTAATTAGAATATTTTAGTTCAATTTGTGTATATTTCATGCAAAATGATAATATCTTTCTAAGATATAATTATCTATAGTTCATTTGTCTATTTCGTTATGATTTCCACGTATTATGAAGTCTTAGGTGTTGTTTAAAGTAAAGTAAAATGAAAAATCAAGCACTAAGTATTTCGAAGGCCACGTACCGTAAAACGGATAGAATTCGAAGGGTGAATAGATAATAATAATTTTAGTGTGGGAGAGCCATGCTTCGGCACGAATGGGCCGGCTCGACCGGAGTGATACCACGGCCTCACAGAAAACCGACGTGAAGCAACGCTTGCGTTGTGTTTCGTCGTGTGAGTGAGGTTACCGGAGGCCCAATTACCTTCCCCTTCCCCAATCTCCCCAATCCCTGAATCCCCAACGATCCTCAAACTCCTAATCCCCAAAAAGCCGGTGACGCACTTGTAACGCCTCTGGTGTTCTAGGTGTCCATGGGCGACGCCGATTGCTTACCATCAGGTGATCCGTCTGCTCGTTTACCGGCTTATATATTCCATAAAAAAAAAAAAAAAAAAAAAAAAAAAAAATTTTTCCCGGATCTATTCACCCCATTCCCGTATCTATTCTCCCTTCGAATTCTATTCACGATGTTTTATTAATACTGATGGCTTAAAATGTATTCTATGGTGTTAGAGTAGACGGTTGAAAGCATCGCACACCTAATAACCACGGCTCCACGGCGCGCTTACAACCTCTTTTGTATTGTCTCCAAAGCACAGAACTCCGTGCCCTTAAAGCTTTATCCCTTAACTATAAAGTCAAAGTCAAAGCATTTATTTCAATTAAACCATAATTTGGTACTTTTGAAACGTCAACAAATACAAAATAAATAATAGTCTGTCAGTCAGTCCGTCAGTGAAGCTGATGCTAGGTTTTGATTATAAGAAGAAAAAACATTTACGCTATAACATATTTATACCACTCCATCAGGCATTTACAATAGTAGCAACGGAACCAGTGGACAGCATGGTACCTCTAGTAGGTGAGATCCAGCGTCTCCGTGGAATGTACAATCCTCGGTCACTCCTCGGCTGTGTCGAGCTGAACTGCGTGAGGGCCAACACGGTACTGGCTGACTATATCAAGGCCCCGCCCGAAGCCGTCAAGGTTCCAGTTATAGGGGGCGCCTCGCCTGCCACTATGGTACCCGTGCTGTCAGCCGCTGTCCATCCCTGTCATATGACGCAAGAACAGGTATTGATTCATTATTTCTTGTTTATGATTTCTTTTATTGAAACAGCTCATATTTATATTTCCCGAAAGTTTAATAGCATATTTAATGTATATATATAATATTAAATTTCTGTGTTTGAAATTATAAGACTAAAGAAAGTGACACAACCGAGCTATCACAGTCAATTTTTACATACGACTTGATGTATAAGGACTATTCAACCAAACCCACCAAAGCAGTATTTTTAGGTTCCCTCCACCTTATATTCCAGTCAGAAACAAGAGCTGTATTATAATTCCAGATTGAATGTATAACGTCCTGTATAATGAGCGGCAACGAGGCGGTTTGTGCGGCGAAGGGATGCGCCACTGCGACACCTTGCCTCGCCGGCTCATACGCAATAGCGCGAACCACCATCAACGTAGTTAAAGCGTTGCAAGGAAAGAAGATTACACAGTGCGCCTACGTCGACAGTCTTGGCACATGCGCTCCAGACTGCCAGTTCTTTGCAAACGATGTAAATTATACCTACTAGACTACAATATGATATGTAGATTAGAATATAGACTGCCGGGCAAGGGGTCTCGGGGTCGATTCCCGGGACAAGATTATTATGTTTTCGGTTTAATAATTAATTAGTACATCTCAGTTTTAATATAAATTCTCCATTTTTACAAAATTGTATAAGAGAAGTTAAATATTTTACAATACTCCCTTTTGTCAGCTGTATGGCTGCCATGTAAAAAGGACCAAAGCCCTATTATACTTAAGGATTTGTATTTTACATAGCATAACATATTATCACGCCTTTTATCCCCGAAGGAGTAAGCAGAGGTACACATTGGAAGGAAAACACGCGGTGACTTTGAACATTTCGCTCGCAGACATAATGTATTGTGTGAATTTTTGAAATATTTGCCAACATAACATAACATAACATAACATCACGCCTTTTATCCCCGAAGGGGTAGGCAGAGGTGCACACAGAAGTAACACCCACTTTTCACTATTTATGTTATAAGTCCCATATAATAGGGGGTGAGCCTATTGCCATAATATACCGGGCACATTTCCAGACTTCGTGCTACTACTGAGATTTTAAAAAAAATCCCTAGTAATACTTTGCCTGACACGGGAATTGAACCCAAGACCCCTTGCCTGGCAGTTGCACTTGCTACCACTCGGCCAACGAGGCAGTCAGATTTGTATTTTAATTGTCCCTGATCTTATACCCATTGACAGAACTTACTTATTAATTGAAATATTAATTTCCAGGTAATACTGGGGCCTTCAGGAGTGGAGAGAAACTTAGGCATACCAGAACTGACTAAGTTTGAGAACTGTCTCCTGGTCAACTGTTTGCCTTACATAAAAAATGAGATCGCTCGAGCAGTCTGGCTGGTAAGAAATACGTTATGTTTTGCAAAAACCAAAAAAAATCAAAAAAAGGCGGCCATAATGTAACATTGAAATGATTGAAGCACCAGAATGCCAGTGGTTTTTTATGAGTGCGTGTGTAATGGGTTATCACGTTACCTTAGACTTATGATAAATTATAATATATAATATATAATTATGATATATATTAAATGATAGATGTCCATCGTGTCAATGTGTGTGTATTCTGCGTGTACATCTATAGTAGCCAGGTGCCTCAGTTGTTTTAAGAGACTGCGTCCGCATTTTTTTCAACGTTCTTGGCAACAACAATGATAAAACGATTTTTAAGTTTGAATATTCGTTCGTTTTGAATTCTATTACATAAATTGTAGGTAAATACAAATTAAGGTTGCACAACAAATTAAGGATTGTAAAAAGATGACTCCTTCAAAATTTTTTGCTTATCGAGTTTCTTCCTAGCGATTTTATAGAGCAGTTATAGTTCATATGACATGTCCCTGCCTCCCAGGTATACACAATGTGCCAGCAGTGTTGCTGCCCGACGTGCAGCCAGCACCCTTGCACGTGCTACTCGCAGCCAGTCATCCCATGCACGCCACCCACCAATTGGACCTGTGACTGGCCTGACGCTTGCAGAGACGAGTACCTTGCTTCGGTTAGTATATAAACTGGACATTTTTTACAATACCTAATATAAACTATTACCATAACTGGGCACTGTAAATCAAATAGTTAACTTCGTTAATCGTTAATCCGCCTCAAAAAAAGTTGCTTCGTTAAACGTTAAAGCGTAACATTTCAGACGAATTAACGCAAGTTAACGTTAATCGTTAATCCGTTAATAAGTGTCAAATTACATTTTTATATCGTTGCGTTAGGGACTTCTTCATTTTGACGGAAGTTAACGTGTCCGTTAACATTTTTAAAAGTTAATTTAAAAGTTAATCCGTTAGTCAAAATCTTACCATCGTTAATTAACGATTAATGGATTTACGAGTTAATGCCCAGCTATGACTATTACCGAGACTTATTTGCTTTCAATAATAGCATGAATATGGCAGGTGAGGGTTTCGACTGGTCCCCGCTATTCCACCATCTTTCGCCGTGGTCAACGACCCCTATATGGCTATATCATATTCCATGATTTCTTAGCCCAGAACAAACATAATTGATTTAGTCAGCGACCATCAGTTGATTGCGCAACCAACAAGTACTGTTTGTGGTCATGCTCATTGTTTACCGATTAATTACAGATTTGTCGCGAGATGTCCTGCAAATGTGGCGGCACAGAACTGTGCTGGCGTCCTCGTGATTCTGACTACGACGCAGCTCGTGCCGCTAATATAATGCACCAGATGCCCGTTCGAACTGCCTCGTGTCCGGACAAGATGCCTAGGAGTGTCCGCATGGCTGCCGAAATCAGACGGAAAAATCGAAACCCTTGCTCTACAAAATATTAAAATAGCTATGTATATCAGAATAAGCACGCCTGTAAGTCTGTACAGGTAATTATACTGGTTCAGATCGTGAATATGAACAACTTATGTTTTTGGTACTTTTGGAAAAAACTAAATACACTTTCCGTATGAATTGACGCATTGCATTGTATAAAAACTGAAAGTTTGAAACTTGAAATTCTAGAAGTGCAATAAAATGTTGTTCAAATGTTCTGAACTAGAATCTGAACATGGATTTGTGTTTATGTCGAAAGTACCTGTAAGCACGCCGTTTGCGTGCTGACTGACAACCCGCCGTTGATTGAAGTTATGAAATATATCATACGACATACGATTTAATGTGTAATTTGCGAATAAATTATCGTGACGTTAATAGCTGAGCAGAAGAAGTCTATTCATACGTACTATGCGGTTACTCGCAATGCGGCCAGCCGTCCGGCTGACCGCAAGCACAATATATGTATCCTACGCTACCCGCAGACCGCTCCGGTCGCTCGGAGGGCTGCGGCCCGAGTGATGACCACCCGGACGGTTGCTATAGGCATTGTGCAGCTCAGTCTACGGCTGCGCCGCCATTGGGTGAGGGTGAGCGTGTGTACGTGGTACGTCTGGTAAAATAGAATTGGATGCCGAAAACTTTAACATCGAAATCCAAAGTCGGCCAGCAACTTAGCTTAATAGAATAGCTGCAATTTCTTCCGCGTCCATCTTTGAAACGGATCGATATGACCGCAAATCGCAACGGTTCTTCAATCGCACTTTGTGATTGCGAACGCGGCTGCCCGCAATCCGGCTGGCCGCATTCGCAACCGCATCCTGCGATCTGCTGGTCGGCTAGCCGCATTGCGGGCATAGTGCGTATGAACCCACAATTGTTACTTCAGACTAGACTGCTTTATTGTTATTATGAATGACGAAATATGCAGTTGCGTCGCATACAGCCAGCAAAATCTCTTACTTAGATAAATTTTTGAGGCGTACGTTTTGTAAGACTAGTATACTAATTAGGTATTTATATGATCTGTGAAATGTGCGAAAAAGCAGAACACGTCAATATCCACGAATTAACTGTCCATTATTAATCACAAAAAAAATGTGCCAAAACAAATGTGTATTTTTGTGTTGTTTACAAGTTTCTATATTATAATTATGAGTCAAAATAAAAGTATACAGTATAAGTAAAAATATTTTACTTATAAATTCAAAAATAACAATAACAAAAAACTCTGAAAAAACACAATTAAATGTTATTAAAATGGATGCAGATCCTTCCCATTGCCTGAAGCCTGTGTTCAGCAGTAGACATCTTGCGTCTTGTGGCTGACGTTTTTTTGAGATAAGCCAGTAAACGAGCAGACGAATCACCTGGTGGTAAGCAATCAGTACTGCCCATGAACACCCGGAACACCAGAGGAATTTAGGAATTTAAGGATTGTTGGTGATTCGCAAATTGGGGAGGGGGTTGATATGAATATGATGATGGAGTAAAAAAAAAATGTACTCGTGACAGCCAGACTACATGTGCAGCGCATGTTTTATCCTTCCACGCAAGTATTCCAATTTCCCTTTAATGTTACCAAATATAGTATCACATTGGCCTTCTTCCACCTGGAAATTAATTACAATTAACAGATTTGGAATGATGATGATGATGATGATAATGATGATGATGATGATGATGTTGATAATGTTGATGGTGATGTTAAAACCATTTGTAATCAAGTATATAGTACGGTAGTTGTAGCCGCGGAAGACTTAACGGGTTGCCGGGGCTCCGGTTCGAAGTGCAGGAGTAGGAGCGGGCTCCGGTTCGAAGTGCAGGAGTAGGAGCAGGGTGGTTTTTAGTCAGTAAGAGTCTGACACTCTAGAAGACATCGGATAATATTCTCCCCTCAAAAAAAAAAAAATATGGTAGATACGTACTCAAGTAGGTATGTAAGTATAAATAGTTGAAATCAGATTTATACGTAGGTACGTAGGTGTATCTTTGTGTCAGAAAAATGTTAATGTTAATGTGCAGTTTAATGTCATTCTTTGTGTAGACTATTAGAAATAAAATTTTCTTTTTTGAGTGTAATATTAGTGCAGCGGCCCCGGTGCAAAACAGCTCTTTGTGTGATCCACTTATTCATGATCTATTTCTATACAATACATGCGATGTGTATGCGTATATGATATTTTTGTATGTTTATTAACGCACCTACGAGATAGGAGAAGAGTCTAGTGTGCCCAAAGTAGATTCTATTTATAGAGAAATTACGATTTTTAGGGAAATTACGATAATATGAATAATATGATGTTGATAATAATATGTATGTTATTTACTTTGATATCGATGTGATTCTTTTTTCTTGTAATTTTATCGCTGTCTTTTGGGAGTTCAAACTCCTTTGTTTCAAAATTTTTCTGAAACATTATTACATTTAAAGTTGAATAGAAGTATTTCTATTGTGATATTTGTTACCATTAGATTCTAATTGTACCTATTTATTTAGTTACAATTTTACCAATCAGTACCTTTGACAAGATCAAACTGATTCCCGATTTAACAAAAGTAACGTTATCTTTGAGACTTTTTGAAGACTTCTGAAAGAAAAGACACTGCTAATTATACACATTACAAGCTATTTGGATGCTATACATAGATGTCAAGTATTTTGTACTACCTGTTTGTAAAAATTGACCATGAAAATTATTTTAATTTCTTTCAAAAATACATGGAAACAAAAGGTTCCTTAAATTCTTTTTCGTACATAAAGGTCAAAATCCCACTGAGATATAATAAATCCAGACATGCATACTTTCAAAACTTATTTTATTTTTTGATCTTAATTAAAACTCCAACCTTAGGCAAAAATATTGATATTCCAGATGGCTCTCCAAACGGCAAAGTTTTTTTGTAACATGGACCTATTGAGGCTTTACGCTCTAAATCCCACGTACTTCGAGTATTTCGAGTATTCAAGTCCTAAAATAGGAATTATAATTTTTGTAATAATATAAATTAAGCATCAAAATTATTGACTTGCATCGAATCGCGAGGCATATTTTGGGCGTACCTATATTAAGTATTCCGGGTATTATTAATCATTCAATTTCAATCAATAATATAAGCTGTAACGTCTAGTCACTGCACTATTGAACAGTGAAATGAACACGGGGAGCTTGTGAAAGTACCGACTACATCCATTTTCGGTACTGAAATTACCGAAACCGTACCGTTGCCGCACCGCGCAAAGTATACATAAATGAACACCCGTTTATCGTACGTCAAACGCACCGCTCCGACACGTAACACATAAATGGGGCCTACCGTATTTTTGCTCATCAAATGGAGCGAGTGTGAACTATCGTTCTTCGTCCAATAGGATCACATCATTAGACGTTCAATATTTGACAGAAATAAACGACATTCATTCATTCATTCATTCATTGTTATTACTCTGTCTGATTATTTAGCTGATAAATTGTAACTGTGTCAGAATATGTCTGATGATAAACCTGTATCAATGTTTGCATGCTAAAAATGGTAGAATGTAGAAGGACATCTTATTAGTGTTTTAATATCACCTCATTGTAAATACCTGGTTCAGAGCAAATAAATAATTATTCTATTCTATTCATTCATTCATACAGCTGATGTGATTGGACAAGAACTCCTTTTTACATTTGCGCCATCTAGTGAGCAAAAACCGGTAGCCCCCGTTGAAAATGCCCTAATAGGCTGTACACCTGTACAGATAGGTAACAAATAATAAAGTTTCATAACGTAACCTGAAGCTGTACTTTGTCCAAATACGTGGACTCATTCCAAGAGATCTGTTTTCTCTTTAATTCGTGAGAACTTGTAACCTGGAAATTAATATAAGTAGGTGTAACCTTTGAAAGTATATTGTACTAGTTTCTGCTAAGCGGTTTCTCGTGGGATTAAAAGCCTATGTTTTATTCCAAACCATAATCTATACCTTTATTTTTCCTTTCATCCCGATCCCTCGAGCCGTTTTGACGTGAATAAGTAACAAACAAACAAATTGTGGTATTTAGAATATAAATATTATAAGAGTTCTATATAGCATTAAAATAATAATATATAAATAATACTACATAACATAACATCACGCCTTTTATTCCCGAAGGGGTAGACAGAAGTGCACATTATGCCACTGTAGTTACAATGTAACACCCACTTTTCACAGTTTATCTTATAAGTCCCATGTAATAGGGGGTGAGTCTATTGCCATATACGGGGCACATTTGCAGACTCCGTGCTACTACTGAGATTATTATAAAAAGCCAGTAATACTTGGCCCGATCCGGGAATTGAATCCGATACCCATTGCCCGGCAGTCGCACTTGCGACCACTCGGCCAACGAGGCAGATAGAGTATAAATTTATATATGTATATATATATAGAGTGAAAAGCCAAATTATGAATACTTACTCTTTATAAATATCTACTCTGGCAGGGAAAGTATTATAAATAATTATATATCTATGAAGTATCATTTTTACTCACAAATTGGTTTATAGTTTCACTTTTAGACTTTCTTTCAGAATTTCTTTCTATATATTGGATCCCGGAAATATCTTCCTTTTCTACTTCATTACCCTAGAACATTTTGATGGCTTAATTTTCACAAATACATATGTCATAAAATACTATATTTTGCCTCAAGGTTTATGTCAAACTATCAGTAAAATGTGGGTTGGAATTTGAAACATCTTTAAAAAAATAGAAATAAATATGAGTAAATAGTAATCATCGTCAATGAAAGGTATCTTGTTGATTGTCCTTTTATGCAGGCGGATCATCTGATGGTAATCGAATCATCTGATCGTAAGCAATCGATGTCGCCCATGAACACTTGGAAGACCAAAGGCGTTACAATTGCGTAACCAGCCTTTAGGGATAAGTGATTTCAAGATTGGGGAATGGTAATTGGTGGGGATTCAGGGATTGGGGAGATTAGGGAAGAGGGGGATAATTGGGTGTCCGATACACTTTGTCGTCGGGCATAGTCTAAATGACAACACTACTCGTAACACTCATATTCCAGATGAAAAGAAAATTCACTTACACTTTTCCTAATAGTTTCATTTGCGAGTTTTCTCTGCAGTGGTACAGCTCCTTCAGTTTCTTGGTTTTCAGGCACTTTATTTTGACTATGATTTTCAGTGTCCTAAAACATCTTTTGCGTTCAAAAACAAGGGAATTCAAACTAAGTACTAGTAAAACAGAAAGTGGTATTTTAATGTGTACTTTAATTTGTAAAATTCTCATACAACTGTTCATGGACACTAAACATTATTATCGATAATGTTACTAAACAATATATGTACCTAAATTATTCTTATGAATATACATTTATTTTTAACCCAGTCAAATAATATCATACTCTATAATACTTGATAAACCAATAAGAGTTATATTACATCTTATTAAAAGCAATAGTTTATAGGTATGTATATTACACAGCTTGAGTAAAATTGCATTTGTAAATGTCACATCTGATTCAAACTTTGGACATACTGAAATCTATATGCCAACTCAGTAAATACCCAGACCCTTGTTAAAGCACATAATCTATTTTTATTTGTAATTTTATATACACAGTAAGTACATACGCAATGTTTACATGATGAAAGTTTTGTTCAGATTTCATTCAGCTGGCCATTCCTGAACCCAGTCGTCTACCGTTTCCGGGCCATTTCAGTCATAATCATTATTTTTTGGTAAATTGTTCACCACATATTTTATTGGATTATCTCAACACTTTACCTTATTCGTTAATAAATTACTACGACAAAGGCGAGATGCTCGGAAATGGCCAGCTGATATAATGTAACTCGCGAACACATTGTAAGCTTTATCTTGTACAGTGCGAGTGCGAGTGCCAAAGCAGGTTTAGATGCCACTGGGGAAGTCGCCGCGCATGGTCGACACGTTTTCCTCGGAGGGGGCGTCGTACGGCACGCCGCAACAGAACAGCTGGCGCACGGCGCGACTGACGCGGGACGCCCGAGAGTCACTGCGCGGCAGCCCGCCCGCCTCCTCCTCGTCTGACTACAACCACAACAACACATTACCGCGGCCCAATACGATACAAGGCGCAGCACTGCTTCCTACACAACCATGGCTAACGTGTAGGTAATATTAACAATTCCATGTCAACATTTTTTACTTGATTTCTTAACTCGTCGAGTACCGGTTTTGTAGACACAATTATAGAACAATAGGTTGCGGTCACCGGTGACCGCTTGGTATTTGACAGTTTAAACAATAATTTTGCATGAGGTCGATGCACATCGGCTGTGTGGCGTGCGGGCTGCCGCGTATCGACACTGTGGTAGTTATAGCCGACCTATGTTAGATCGAATCGGTCTGGGCATCCTTAAAAAATTACAAATAAACCAATGCCTGATATGCAAAGGTATGGCATTACTCAAATGTATTGCATCAACACAATGCAATAATAAATAATATTAACAAGTAGCATATAGGGAATAACAATACTCGTACCCATTCTGTAGATTTTTGTGTGGGATCTGGCGTCCGTAGTTCTGCGATCTCTCCCGTTATACTATCCTCTTCATCTTTTCCTTCCGTTTCCTTTTTATCTGGTAGATCTGAGACTTCGGACGCTTTAGAGCCTAGGCCAGGTGGTATGGGTTGTACAGGGTGTAATGTTGGTGAAGCGAGAATTTCAGTTTTCTAGAACAAGAGTACGACGTTGACAATAGTGCAACACAGTACAGGTATGATTCATGTTTAACAATGTCGCGAGGCGTCATTTAATTGCTATTGTTGCGATGCATTCAAATTACCATGTATGATACGAAGCCGTTATCACACGACAGTGGCGTGTTTGAAGAGTGTTCGTGACAACCGACGCGAACTGATTCATTGACCTCACCTTTACTTCAACCTCTATTGGTGCTAGTGGTATCGCCTCTGGTGTAGACGGTCGCTTTTTACTGATCGTCGAAGATACTTTCTTCTCGATATTATTGATCTTTTCGACAGACATCCCTAAAATAGAGTTCTTTCGTGTTATATCAATTTGTAACAAATCATATTAGGTATTTGATCTAGCAAGGTCATCTCACCGCACTCGCTTCCCTTTGTTGTTTCTGGTTGTTCCTTCATTTCTGCACTTTCAGGTGAATCTTTGAATTCTTCAGCTACAGCTGTCAATATTAAAGTTTAAGCTAAAAAGTGTACTAAGAAGTAGACATAATGTATGTACACACCTGTGCACAAATTCTTATTTTAGTATTTTGTAACATACACGTCAAAATCCCTTGCAAAGTTATGTTTTAATTTTACTTTTTGTTATGTTTTAGTCTTACGACTGAAATCTCATGCTGCTTAATTAAAAACGACAAGAATAAATCAGTAAAATGTAAGAATGGTTTACAGAGGGATTGATTGATTTACAGCATCCTCTGTAAACCAATTTTTGTAAAAGTAGACTTGCTACATTGACAAATATTTTGATTTGTCAATTTGGAGTGATTGAGATTGTCAGATTAGAATACAAGTATAAAAATACACACACGGGACAGCGGGAGCACGTGACCGCTTGTGGTGGAGCTCCCCTGAGGTGTCGTCCTGGAGGTCAGTGGGGCGGTAGGGCTTGTGTGACGACACCGTCGATTGTTCTACCATCACTACTTTCGACCCTCCGGCAGGCGTTGCCCCAGTGTCATTCTCTTGATCCGTCATCTTCCAAGATCACAGTAATTCAAGCATCCATACGTTCAATGTACCCTAAAACCTTACTAATTTGTCACCAGAAAAATGGCTAACAATTTTTAGAAAAGTAAAAATGGGGGAAACGTCACGCTTTGTAAATTTTGACAGTTAACTTACTTGTTTTTCGTCATTTTCCATTTTCGAAATGTGTTCGTGTGAAAAAGTATCGTAGTGTTTACCAACAAGGAGAACATTTTATGACTCTCGTCCAAGGACGTTGAGAAAAAGGCTCCCGTTCAAAGAAATTCCACTGAAAAATAAAATCCCTTAAAAAATTAAAAGCTTTTTAATTTGCCAAGTAAAATAGATATCAAATAGAAACATACACAACAAAAGAGATACATGAATTAACATGGTAACTTTTATTCCTAGACTGGGTAGGCAGAGTCTCTCGCTTTTCGTCAGCTAACGACATTTGCACTCTATTTGATAAAACGGTATACGAACTCCTACCATACCGTACCATAAATAAAGCTATGGGTGAAAGAAGAAAAACATTTCTAGTCAAAGCATCTGTCAGAATAATGTAAAATTTTTTTTACTTACATTTAAATAAATTATTGTTTTAGTCACCTATCATTATAGTTCAGGCGGGTTGATTTTAGAACTATGCATGGGAAGAGGAAAATAAAATGTGATGGAAAATAAACAGTCTCCATCCAAGAAGAAGTTATTGTCCATCCAAGAAGAGAAATTGATACGTAAGGTTGATTACAACTGTTTCGCAGGGGGCTCAGTCCGCCTGCCGAAGAAACAACTTCTTCTAGGTAACGCTCACCTTATAGAGGTATATTGACTTTGAAGTGAATGTTAAAATACAATTTGGTGTTCTCAGACTTAGAAATCCTTCAAAAGAGTCCAACCAGCCATCAGGGATCACAAAGAGTTCTCGTATCCATAAAACCGAGAGCGCCCGCCATCAAAACTATATACATTGCCGAGAAGAGCCGCTTCCAAGCTAAAAAGGTAGATGCAACCTATATATTTCTTCGAATGGTAAGTATGATCCGCCTTGGGTTATTCTGAATTCACAATTAATGTATTATTCAGGGTGGAGATACGTCGGGTTCACGTCTTGGTATCGGAGACCATTCGTATTTTACATCCCGTAAGTACATTTTGCTAGCATATAGTAATAGTTTGACAGGCTTATTTGCAAAATCAACGTTGTTTATTTTTCAGATTTTACTGAAGATGATTCAAACTTTATAAATTCAATCGCTTGTGGTTCAGAAAGGCCTTATACGAAAAGCAAAATAGAAGCAGATAAAGTCTCCTCGGTCACTATTCAGGTAGAAAGTTCTCCAGTAGTTTCGAAATGTTCTCAAACTAACAACGTACCGGAAAAGGTAAATGTGTATAATGCAAAACAAAGGTCTGCGGAAAAATGCTATGTTTATACACAGCCACAGTTAAATATGAACATTCCTAAAACTGGTGTAAAAACTAACAAAAAGAAGGTAAATTCCAATAAAGTTGATATTGCCACATTAATCACGAACACATCGTCTGAAGATTCTGTACCTCGTTCTGCTACTGCACTCAATCATTTGTATAAAAGAATAGATCATTTGGAGCGTAAAATTTTGAGACAAGAATTGGTTTTTCGTTCAATTGATCCTAATATGCCTCTGTCTTCATCAGATGAAGAGCCCAAAGGTACCATAATGAAGACTACATCTGTGACCGGCAGGCCAGGGTGTAGCTACATTCAGCAGTATAGCCATGTTCCTGAAACATCAGCGTTCCAACGCTACGCGCAGCAAGCGGCTCCACTTTCTCCAAGTAAGGCTACCACCATAGAGAAAGAGCATAATTCTGAGCAATACGGTCGTGACTTTACTGCATACGATGGCATCACTGCCCGGGGCCGGCGACAGTGTGCCTCAGTGCCATGTAAACGAGATGATATCCCTAAGATGGCAGCCGAGAGAGTCCATAAGATTCGACACAAACTCAATCCGGTGCGTGATTACCGGCTGATGGATACAGTCCACTATTTAGCGCAAGGTGAATTCGCTCCACGCGATGATGGCATAAAATTAACGCCATCACGAGAAGGTGTTCTTAGCGATATTATTTGGGAAGATGTATGTCGCACGCATTGGCCCAATGCTAGACTTGGGCGGCGAGTGGCTCACTCTGAGAGATGTAGCACAAGAGGTGAGCTACAGCGACTCATTGACAGCCTGTTGAGAGAGCGCGTCGCACACGTAGAGCGCAGGCGGCGACGTCACTACAGGATAGTCAAATTAAATCATAGACATGAAAGTTGTAGACCTGTGGGCAAGACTGGAGATATCATTGTGGCCAGTCATAAAAATAGGCAAGGCGATGAGGTAGCAATAAGTGACCACAATGCGGCAAGCGCCATGATCGCCGATAGACGATGGGATGAGCCAGGTTTGCGCAGAGTCCCAAGAAGTCATGATCGTTTGGGATTAGAGACGCGACATAATCATCATAACTTAGATCGCAGACATGGATACGAAGATTGTTCCCCAGGTCCAAGTTACGCGGTTAACAGGTCTCCAGCTGGGAGAGAACCAACGTGCTGCTATCAGGCATCCAGCCCGATGAAGCCAGACAGACGTTGTGCTACTCATAAGAAGCGACGCACTGGGAGTCGTGAATTAACTAGTGGCAGTAGTTCCACGTGCAAGCCAAGGAATCCTCGGTTGGTCATAAAAAAAGTAGCATCCCATCGAAAGTACAATAGAGATGAGCCCAACCTGGAACATTACATCCTACTACCGACGTTAGTTGTACGCACTCCGTCTAATATGAAGCGTCAGAAGAAATTCAATGAATTATATCATCGCATTCTGAACGTTCAATTAAATAACGGTATGTTACAATATATTATCTTTACATTATTAATGAAGGTTATCTATGTTTAACTTATTATTTCTGTTACAGTTCAAAACAATGCAGCTCCCAACAATGCAGAGCCAAGTACTTCATCTTCCCCGAGTCCTAACAAGAAGGACGTTGGACTCAATATAAACATCACATTGTCCAATAGTAAGCCTCATATAAACGAACAGTCGAAACATTAAGACGTGAATAGATGTAACACCCGAAAGAGTATTATGAAATAGTTAAATTTTCATATAAATTCTTTATATGCAATTTAAATATTTTTTAAATATAGTATATCTTTGCAATTTGGTTTTTATTGTACATTTTTTTATAGGCAATTGAGAATTCATGAAGAAGTGAATTAAACGTAACGATATACTCACGTACGAGAAAGTATTGAGAAAAGTTCTACTAGTTTCGAGTTACAGAGGGACTCTAAACTAATGAGTTGCGTGCGCGGTGCCCTATCGCGCACGCTGCCCGTGAGTGAACCGTTATTTATATTTAACAGTCTATCTTATGAAGAAGAAGTTATACAAATAGGACAAAATCTTCACCCCATTCATTGTAGGGTACCTTGTGGTCCAAAGAGAGAACTACAAGAAACTTTTATTTTTTAAGTATGCGTCAGCATTTAGTGTCGTGGATCTAGTTTTTTATTCAAATATCTACTTTAGCTTTAGCAAAGTAAGGGCCGATTTTTCCAACGCCAGATAAATTTTAACTGACGAATAACTTTGAATATTTGACAACTGTTCCATATTAAAAACTGCCGAATGTCAATTTTATTGTACAGTTAAAAATTAACTGACGATTTAAAAATCGGGCCTTAGACTATCTTCATTTAAAATACCTAGTATCTTCATTTAACGTAGCAACTCGTGTTCAATAATGTATAGCCTGCAAGGCCGAGCTCGGGAACCGGACCATTCGTTGCACGTGCCGCTGTTTACATAATGCCCGCCACTTGGCTGCATTTCAATTTTTTATTATAATGTTAGGTCGCCGTTGACGAACTAGACACTAACTGCCTACGACCTGAAGATAAGTAGAATGAAGTAATTTATTATTATGTACTTCGAAACTGAATGTTATATTTTGTTTGTCAAACCTTTGCAGCCAATGTCTGATATTTTGTAAAGGATGTACCTAACTCTAGACTACATGAGAAAAATGTAGTAATCCTTAGGTCATATTAATTTGATAATTATGGTTAAAGTAAATATGTAAGTAAACGTACTTTATCTAGGATAGATGTCTAGCAATTTTCTTTAACACGCGTCATACGAAGGAAGATAATTAACAGAAGAAAGGGTACTGTGGTGTGATCATTAATATCGATGTCAGCTGCTTTTGTGTCATCACATTATATATTTATTTTTTTCGCTGAATCACGTACAGTCACGAACTAAAGTTTCGACCATAAATTACAATATTTTTTTCTTAGATTGAAAGCGATTACTTATCTTGAATTTGAACCAATCTACAAAAAATTAAAATACTCAACGACGTCATGCTTTACAATTTCCGAATGAGTAAACAATGATTTTACATAGTCATTTTTATGTTATACTACAGATTTCAAAGGGCAAGCTTATTGATAATTTTCAAAATTGCCGTCCTGGCAATCTAGGAATCAATCCTAAAACCTTTTTGCTCAGTTCGTACCATGATCAGACGTTTGACAAAATTAGTACCAGTTTATAAAATAAATACCGATTAGTAGCAACTTGTACGGTAGAGTGTACGTATTGTTGCATTGCTAAACACCACGTTGATGTGAACCGAGGAGCGCGTCCAGTTGATTATACACTTGCTATCGCTCCTGTCCTATATCTAAGACTTTATGACTAAATTGTAATAGTGAACCTGAGTATGTGTGTACCTATATGTGTGAACGATGTGACGTCACCTTGGGCACAGTGTATAAATTAAATAACATTAAGAACGATTTTGTTTCAAATTAAATTGAACTTTTTGCTTTATCTGTGGTGAATGATTGAACGATTCAATTCCTAAGTGCATCAGTTATTTTAAAATACAATTTAAAGTGGTTATTCAAATTCAAATCAATAATCTTTTTCTTCATTCAATTTTAATGTACATACATGTGAAATAATTTGTCCTGTATTTCATAAAGCAAATATGGTTTTGTTAAAGTAATTTACCGTATTAAGGTTTCTAGAATGATGTTAGTCGGACATCGGTAAATATTTTATAGGAAACGATTTCCATCGTCCACCTCGACACGGTATCGATTGATGGTTATTACATCTATAAGAATAGACCATGACATTTTCATGTGAAAAACATCTTTATTTTATATGTATCTACATGCTTAAAGTAGGTATATAATAAGTAGACTTTATTTTTAATGAACATACGAAATGTGAGTTTAATTGAACGACTTTAGATACTAAATAACTAAGTTGTTAATACATAATAAAAGTATGTATTAATGTTAATAATACAGGTATAGTCGACGGTATGTGTGGCCATTACATTTAGATAAAAGTTGTCTAAAGAGCCTCTGGGCAATTGGCTCCGGGCCCTCGTACGCCTCCCAAATGACCGGGACTCTGTAGTCCCGTGAATGCTAGAGACACGCATAATAATTTTTAGGGTTAATAAGTTGTTAATACATTTTACGTCATCTAAGAACACACCAGTTACCAGTGGTCATAATTAACAGAACTGGAGTATTTATTTAAATCCAGGTACATTTGTCAGAAGATTTGGATATTGTAGTTCAATTGTAGTTCCGTAATTATCCATAGGAACTAAAAGAATCAATAACAAATTGCCTTGATTGACTTTAAAAAGTTATGTAGGGATTAATTGCTAAATACTAAACAGTACAATTATATTTGAAACTTGAATCAATTATAAACAACAGCTAATCAAAAAAACTATACCAACTATTAGTGTAAGTGGTATGGAACTAAATTGTTGTGTTTTAAAAAATATGTGATTTGTTTACTCATCTTCTTTTACCATGGAGGGCGTGAAGAAATGGCTGACAGAACGAAATCCGAGGAAGAATGGGATGTACGTGCATTATAGTCCACCAAAATGTGAGTATTTTAGAAAGAAATTATATAGGTTATTGGTACACACGACCACACATCAATCTATACAAAACCAGTTTATCCTGGTGTCGCGTCGCATCATCTTTCCGCACATTTAACGTTCAGTTTATACTGGGTGTACCTACCTACCTTAGTATTTATAGTCATAAACAATGTTTTGTTGGAATGTAAATCAAAGAGTAAAGGGGTAACGAGTGTCGTCAAAATTTATACCAATCAATTTGAAACGCCATCTGAATTTTGAATTTATCCATCCAATTTTGATGTAAATCTAATGACAGTGACACACTCTCGCGTGCGTTGAGACGTGGCTGAGATTCATTGTCGTCATTCTAAAACAGGTGTAATCTTTTTCTCATTATAAGACTGTATTGTACTTTGACCTCGTGTCCGCTCCTGCGAGAGTGTGGTGCTGGCGTAAACACATGTATATTCCATAAATTTTCTAAATGTGTCTCTTTTAGTAGCAGTTTGAGAGGTTAAGTATGTCAATATGAGGTAAAGGACATAAAGTGTGTGTCTGGACATAGTTTATTGAATTTATAAACCATATAAATAATATCTATAAATATCTATATTAGGTAACTAACACAATTTTACCATTTTATTACCTTTTATTTTGAACTTACAAAAAAGAGAAACAAGCTTGTTTAAACAGGCCTAACGAAAACACTGGGTAAACAACTCGTTTGAAACATGTCTGGAAAATGTACGGGAGGTTGCGTGCTAGCCAGGAAACTATTCGCTTACCGGGGCGCTCGGCGCTCCATCAAACCAATGTAAACGTACCAAATTGCCATATAAACCTGAAAGCTTTTTTCCTATGTAATTTGTCTGTCTAACATAATTTGTAAATAAAAAGAAAAAAATATTTCAATCATGCTCACCGATATACTAACACGTAAGAATTTGAAGATCGAATTGTCAGAATAAAAAAGAAGTTATATTTTAATTGCTTCTTTTTTTAAATGACATAAGACTGAATTGTGGCGGGAATTTTTTTTTTATTCTATGCAATTTTGAAGGTTTATATAGGGTTACAACACCAAAAAATTACTAATGTTAAGGCATTTATTTCAATTAATCATAGATTAAGCACTTTTGAATTGTAAACTTGATTATTGTCCGTCCGTCTATCTGAGTGAAGCTAGGCGCTCGTTCTAAAGTGTAGTTTTGAATGGAGGAGAATGAGCAAGAAACTCCATACCAATACTAATTTAACTAATTAAATCAATATTTCTTGTGATGATATCAAGTCCAAAGCTCGTAGGTAATACAAAGATGTACAGACGACATACATACATAACTTCACGCCTGTTCCCTATAGGGGTAAGCAGTGACTATGGAACGCCAATTGCTACAATTCCTCCATACCTCTTTCGCTTCATCAACAGTCATCAATTAAAGTAATTATACATGCTCGTCGGTTAAGGGCACTTTTAATTTGGCCCTTCTTTAATATATCGCCAATCTGGTCAGTATATGTACAGACGAATAACATGATTAAAAACAATAATTATGGTTTATATTGTAATTTATTTCAACAAGTGCTGGTTACGATGTGGGTGCGATTCGACCTTAGCGTGATGTCGTGAGTCCGGTATTTTTTGCAATAAATGTCAGAGGTATTGCAATCACATAAATAGGGAGGAACAACATAACTGGACTGGGTACACTAAAAAGTATTTATGGCTTATAATATATATTTCTATGAAATCAGTATATTTTTTTAAGAACATAAGTTTCTACATATCGTTAACTATTCATAAGTATCTTATTGTAAGTTCTGTTTATTCATAAGTATCTTAATATAAATGATAAATAAATTTATACCAATTCGAAAATCTTATCCTGTATTAAAAATTATTAATGGAGCATTAATTGATTTACCTTCACTCTCTAATATTTCTATTTTATGAAATTTTGAATCTTAATTAGCTTTAAGTTTAATAATTCAAATTTTAACTGGATTATTTTTAACTATATATTATACAGCCAATATTGAAATAGCATTTTATAGTGTAGATTACATTTACCGAAATGTCGACACGACATTCAATGAAATTAAGGCTATGTCAGCATCGTATAATATGGAATAAACCATAATCTAAGCATATTAAGTTCCAAAAATAACTCTTTTAAAAACGATTTTAAATAATTAACCTCTATACGATACGTACTTTGATCAACAACCACTGTGATTGTTTTGAAGTACACAAGCAATGTATTACAAATAAGTGTCTATGTCTATAAACACGGTAAAAGGGTGATGAGTTCTTTTGGGTTAGTATTTTTAACTAAACGTATTAAATAATCAATACACTGTATACTTTTTACTATTACTTTTTAGGTACTATGTAGTATGTACAATTGTATAATGCAGAGGAGTCAGCATTTTTTAACCGTTGATCTCCTGAACTACTGGTCCGATTTGAAAAGTTATTAAAATACAGGCTATAAGGTATAAAATATCACACGGCGATCAATTGGAACCGTGAAACGTGAAACCGTGCGGCAGCAGCTAGTTAATTATATTATTGAACTTGATAATAAATAAAAGCACTGCCTCGTTGGCCGAGTGGTTGCAAGTGCGACTGCCAGGCAAGGGGTCTCGGGTTGGATTTCTCAGTAGTGGCACGGAGTCTGAAATTGTGCCCGGTATATGGCAATAGGCTCACCCCCTATTACACGTAATGTTGTTGTTGTTTACTGTTTATGTTATGAATACATAAACAGTGAAAAGTGGGTGTTACATTGTACAGTGGCATAATGTGCACCTCTGCCTACCCCGGATAGAAAAGGCGTGATGTCATGTGTTAATATAAAAGCACTAATACACTGCTAATTTTGTTCGGGAATCACGATAATTGCTCTGAAGTGAACGAGCAATGTATTGCAAATTAGTGTCTATAAACACGATAAAAGGGTGTCGGGTTTGTTAATATTGATGGGGTTCGATCACCCGCGGCTGTTCACCTATAACGATCCGGTAAATGGTGCCACATGTCACACTACTATGTACTAATATGTTAGCACTCCTAGTACTTAGATACGGGTATTATTTTAATAGTTAATACTGACACTGTTTCGTAAATAAATTGGAACTTATTTTTGGAACAATGCATTGATTTTGTAGTTCAGTGTAAGAGTCAGTGGGAACTTTCTAGTTTTTAATGGTGACAAACGTGTTTTTAACATCACACAACATTAACTAAAAATCGCGGGTTACTCACGTGAATATACTGAGAAAAGCTCTACTAGTTTCGAACCACAGAGGGGTTCTTCCTCATGAGCAGGGTGCGCGGTCGCAAGAACCCCTCTGTTTATTTTTAGTTAATTTAGTATGTTTCACGATAGTTATTATTAAATCACACAACATGTTTCATTTTATTAAGATTGCTGCTTTTTGTCGTTGTTTAGAGTAGTGTTAATACCACCCCAAGATTCTTTACATACATAAAAATTTCGTGAGCGCCATTAAACACCTAATACACTTTGTTTTTACACCCTCAAAGCACTTTCCAATCGGGGGTTTAATTAAAAACACTTAATCTTAATTAACCCAGTTTCATGCAAACACTGAATAATTCTAGCATGAACTTGTCGCATGCTGTACATATGCTGTACTGTTTCATGTGTTTAGAACATAACAGAATACACGAATAAGGTCGAATACATTTTGGAAAAAAAAACAAAATAATCTATAGACAAGATTCTAAACGATCCCACCTTTTTGTGTATAATCTGTGGTAGATGTTAATTAATTGTTTGGCAGGTTTTTTATTTTTCGCATGTTGGTATGTTTTCGCCCTAAGATTGTGAGGTCAGCAGATGTCGTGATAAGTCCTACAACCAACTGTTAACACATAAATCTTGTAATCTCACCGCTAGGAATAACCCACACCATTAACAGGATGTTTTTATGCAGTCACGTAATAATATGAGTAAAAATAAATCTTATTAGAATTCACTTAAGTACGCTTATTTTTAAATATAGAATGAATAGTATTATGGTAATTTGTAAGTAGGATATTACTTACATAATTATCAGAGTTACAGTTATTAAGTTGGTCAAGCGTTCTATTAATTGTATCCTAATTTGTATTATAGATTCGTATTCGCTCTGTATTTTATAGGACTTACAAATACAAATGTAAATACAAATTATTTAATTGGCTAGTTTCCTATGTTTAAAATAAATTGTTTCAACTTTTCAATGCAATAGACAATTACAAAATTATCATACTCTCATCTAATCATTTGACAATTTATCTACATTTGAATTTTTTTTCTCGCTAATTTTAAGGATATAAGTATGCTATTTGACGCAGAAATATGATGACGTCATAAGTTGCGATCCAATACAAAATTCATAGAAAAGTATCGTTTTTGGCATTTCAATAAAAGTATTGAATTTGACTACCAGTCAATTACCGTATTGCGTAAATCGGGTTAATAATGTTATTAACATGTCTTGTTACTTATTAGGACTAATGCATTACTAGCTGTTGCTAGCGACTACATCCGCGTAGAATATGACTCCTGTTTTATCCCATTGGAACATTTAATGGGGATAAAAAGGATCCTATTATCGCCTAAGTCAACCCATTCCCTGCCTGTATACCCTGTATATTTTATCAAAATACGTACAGTAATTTCATAGTGATTGACGAACAAACATCCAAACGAAGTAACTATCACATTTATTATATTAGTGTGATTCAGATTATATGTATAATGCATAACATTACATCACGGCTTTTATCCCCGAAGGGTTAGGCAGAGGTGCACATTATACCACTGTACAATGTAACGCCCACTTTTCACTATTTATGTTATGAGTTCCATGTAATAAGGGGTGAGCCTATTGCTATATACCGGCACATTTCCATACTCCACGCGGTTACTTTAACCCAGTTATACTTTGCCCGACCCGGGAATCGAACCCGAGACCCCTTGCCCGGCATTGGCACTTTCGACCACTCGGCCAACGAGGCAGTAGGTATATGTATAATGCGTAGTTAATTAATTATGGGTATCTGTACCCTAGTTTCCTTGTCGTAATATAATTATCATGATGTAAAACTTCATAAAGAATTTAGCTATTCTTAGTGTAAGTATTATGAGAACCTAATCAATCTAAGACGTAGTAAAAAACTTAAAATGGATACTAAAGTGGACGCGGATTGGGCTAGACGGAATAATAAAACCACTGATGAAACAAACTATATTATATACTATAAATTTTATCTGCGTACAATGACTCTATATTTTGTTAATGTGCAAGGTTACTAATCCTGTTAACGGCTGATGGATTTTTAGAGTTCTTTAGATAGTTATTACACATAAAAAATTGGTGGCGTAATAAACAATATTTTATTTTTATGGGATAAGTCAATAAACGAGAAGACGAGTCACCTGATGGTAAGCAATCGACGTCGCCCGGACACCTAGAACACCAGAAGCGTCACAAGTGCGTTACCGAGCTTTAAGGGATTAGGAATTTGAGGTTTGTTGGGGATTCAGGGATTGGGGAGATTGGGAAAGGGGGGGAAGGATAATTGGACCTCCGATAACCTCAATCACATGACGAAACACAATGCGGACGTTGTCTCACGTCGGTTTTCTATAAGGCCGTGGTGTCACTTCGGTCGATTTGCGCCGAAACATGTGTTTTAACTCTCTTATTGTTAAGTTGTTGTTCAATATTTAACCTCAACGAATAACAGACAAGGAGTAACATCAATACAGTCAGTCTATTTAACATGGGACTTAAATACAACAGCTACATGGTGATTATTTTTCAGAATCACTCAAGGCATCTGTATGTATCTTAAGTTTAAAACTTCTACACGTATTCTTATTCAAACTACATTGAATAAAAAAAAATGGTAACCTTAAAAAGATCACTCTGTATACAGTCAATCAGTAAATCACTGGTGGCAATATCAACAGAAGACGATCGCTTCACTGACGCCGACAGTTCGTAACTACTTCCAGTAACTTTTCGCTACCGTCAACTTAACTACTCTCCACCTAATTAAAAAGAGCGTTTTGTTAAATTGTAGATTAAGACGTAGCTTGTTAATAAATTGATTCTCAAATTAATACAAGATTTTGTAATAATCGTTCTAAACTTAGTTGAAAAATTTTAATCGATCAGGTAAGTCAAGAATATTAATATTTGCATAAATTCTAAAGAAAATGCATGTATTTTTGAGTAGATGTGTAAGATACAATTTATATTCGAGACAGGAACGAGCCTTAGAGAACATCTTGACTAATTAATAGTGTATTTCTGTGAACCACCCTAGAATTCCCAATGTCATTGAAAGCGTAAACATTTTTATGTATTGAAGTCTCTGTGCATGTATTAGTTAAGTACAAAATTTTCAGGCTTATATAGCAGTCTCTTTGTTAACTTCGTATTCCTGACAAGTACCTATATACCTACATGCATAGGAAGTTGCATAAATAAGTGATGTAAGTTCCTTTTGCAAGTACTTTCTTACCCTTACGTGTAGACTAATCAGTTTGACATAAATCACGAGGCTTTAAGTATAAGTATTAATCATATAATTTATAATTAACCGACCTTCACTTTTCTCATTAGTGGTGGGCGTAGTATCAGCAGCTCAGCTTCGTCAGTGGGCACGCGGTGGTGCTGAGAGCAGGCTGGAGCGAGCAGTCCTGGCTGGTCAGGGTCGGCGCCTCCTCGCCGAGACCGAAGGCCTATCGCTATCCAACCACTTACCATCATTGGTGGCCAAGTGTGACGCCCTCCATGCAGCCGTCGAGAAAGGCTCCCTGCTAGAGCTCCAGGTATTACTGGTAATAAACCTTGAATCTGTGTAAAGGTTCTACGTAGAAAGCATAGACATGACAAGTTTAGTGCTGTCTCACTCAAGAAATACGTGTAAGTAAAGGCCTTGCCTCTATGGACAACCGAGAATTGTTTAGTTTCTTTTGCCTTATATATTAAATAGGTTAATTGTCATAAACTTGTAATTATCTATTTCTACCTGTACCTTTCTACAGGTACAATAAGCGACATATTCGCTTCGCATCAAGCAGAACTCTACGAAATGACTATTGTAGTTTGAGATTTTAGTTTTACATCTTGTCTTTATTTTGTATTATCATCCCATGGGAATCCAGTAGTCACTATTTAAACAATGTCAACACTTCCGTGGTACACCATTTGTCATATTTCCCAGACAGGTTCAAATACAAGCACTACGCCAACACCGTAGCACGTAACTCGTGTAACATCAAAGTAAATATGTATTTAGTTTGAGGTACATAGAACTAATGGATTAGCAATACCAGTTTCCTACCACGTAATACATACAAATAACACTAAAATACAACTACAAACTTTAAACTAAGCTGTATTAAAATTTTCCCTCAAACATCTCGTAGCAATTTGCTACGCCGTAGCGCTACGAAGCGTAGCACGATAAGTAAAGTTGTTTACGTTAGTTCAGCGTTGTTGAATGTTTTACCAGGAGTTGTTGGAGAGTGACTATAACCGGCGTAAATACGTGATGTGTCGGGACGAGGCCGGCGTCGGCTTGCTGCATAAAGCCGTCTTCTACGACTATATGGACATCGCCGAGTATCTCGTTAAGAATTACCCGCAGCTGGTGCATCAGAAGGATTCGGTAAGTAGTTTGTTAAACTTAGTAGTAGTTTTTAAGTTTTTAGTGCTAGTGTATCTTTGAAAGTACAAGTAGTTCTGTGGTGTTATTTAGACGTTAATAGTTACAATAATTTACTTTACGGCAAGGAAATCTGTTATTATCTTAGAAATGCAAAATGTTTTCCTAATTTTAATGACCTTCATGTTAGGCTTCTATTCCAATGTTTCTTTATGCATATTCTTCGTATTCTTCTTAGAGATAAGTAAAGAAACCGACCATGCCATTAGTCTTGTTATAAGAATAGCGTGTCGTTGGTAATAAGACAATTTCACAATCTCGGTCTAGAGCCGCTCCTAGTAGGGCTACGTCATACATTGTCACAGGAAGGTCGTACGCCTTTACACTACTCGGCTGTAAGCCGGGACTCTGCTTCGCTGGCCGCGCTGTTGGAGGGCGCGGGGGCGGCGCGAGGGGTGCGAGACGCGGCCGGCCGCACGCCCGCACATTACCGCGGACAAGCGCGCGAACTGCTCGCGCTACCCGACGCCATGGCGCGCGACAACAAGAACGCAGGTCAGTTGACTTTTTTTTTTTTTCAGGTTTTTTTTAAGTAAGAATGTCGATTGTTGTGATGAACTGTGATGCTAACTATATATTAATTTCAAAGATTTTTGGAATAAAAATGTCATATTATTTATTTCAAGTTATATTTTAATACACTTCAATCAAATTATATTTAAAAAAAAGAAATAAATTTTGTTGGTCGCAAAGAAAAGTTCAAAACATTCCAAACTGACTACGTTCTAAGTACTTGTCTCATTATAATATATCTGAAAGACTACTATAAATCTTTAAAAATAAAAATAATTTAAAACCGTTAATTTAAGCAACAATTTTGTTTATATTCAAACGAGCCACTGAACTAATGCATGCATTGACACCGCCCGCCGTCGGCCGTTAATAGGGGTGTCATTAATTGTAAAAGCCAAAGAAATTGTGTCAACCTTTAACAACTGAATGAAACACAAGGAACTATCACCTTATTTACTATGTAATACGGTTGATAATCCTAGTTTGTACAAAAATAAGATGATACGGAAAAAGTAGCAGCTACTTATGGCTAATTTAACCCCATTATAATTGTAAAAGACTTTAATTCAAATCATTATCTCAACCAACAGAGTAAGAAACATCTTTAAATATTTACGTATGTATGCCTAGTCAACAAATCCGACAGCTGAGCTGAGTGAAAGATTCAAAGTCGGCTGAAATATTATATTAATCTATTTTTGATTTTCAAATGTTTTTAACTAACCTGGGGTCTTAGAAGTCTCACTGATACCTATTTTAACACGGGATCCGCGGTACAAATGGCTCTAAACACATTGCTACCTACTTTCAGTTACACAATTCAAGAATCTAAGGTACAGAAACCACATCAATATGAAATTCACAATACCAAAACCATTTCACGTAAAAACAAAAACGATAGAGTTTCTAAACAGCCTTCTAACACATATAGCAGTCAGATATCCTCTTTAAAGTTTCCAAGTCATTGTAAAAGAACTTTCACATTGTATTTCACTATTTGCACACGAAATCGTTGCAACTATCGAGAATCGAAGCAGCCTGTATAAGTCCATAGACAAACACTCCATTAGTCGCATGAAGTTTTAAATTTTTATGTTTCGAACGAACGAACAACACTAGAGAATACAGCTAGTTGTGTAGTTTGAAATTTGAAATCATTGTTATGACGCAACTATTAAAAACTGACTATCTTTTGAGGAATATACTATTTTAGTAGAGGGTTTCTAAACAGGTGTTTTTGACCTAACCATTAAGTAATAACACTGTCGTTCCCCAATTATGAAAGACAAGCAAAAATTATCATGTTTAACAGTTCATTGCCTTTTTATAAAATGGCGTGTTATTTCAAAAACTCATTCATCCTATCCTCATCATCGTCATTAGCAGCCTATATGGGGCATCTGCTAATCAAAAGCCTCTTCTCACACGGAGAAGGTTTAAGCATTAATCACTACGCTTGCTCAATGCGGGTTGGTGATTTCAAACTTATAATTAGAAATTATAAGCCCAGGTTTCCTCACAATGTTTTCCTTTAACGTATGACAAGGGTCATCCTGGCTTGCAATTAAAATAATTTGATGAAACGTAACATGACATCACGCTTTTTATCTCCGAAGGGGTAGGCAGAGGTGCACATAACAACACTGATTGCCACTTTACAATGTAACACCCACTTTTCACTATTCATGTTCTCAGTCCCATGTAAAAGGGAATGAACCTATTAAAAGAAACATTACACCTAAAACAAATCAATAAGTACGTAAAACGTAACTGAGGGATGAGAAAAGGTCCTAATGCCAAGTCTACTTCTTCAACACTTAAGTACGATGTTGTAATACGAACGATTGCGAGAAAATAAACTCAAGCACGATTGCTAAATACGGCAGCACGTTTCCTTTGACAAATTGTGCGCCTCGACATATCGCTAATGAGAAGGTTGAACTATTTTGTCGTTTCTTGGTGAATAACTCATTATGAGTCTTAGTATACTCGTAGTTATTAAAAAAGTTATTATGTAACAACTGCAAATATAGTATCAAAGGCCTTAGTACGAGTTTGTTTTACGTTTAAAGTAATCGTAACGAGTACGCGTTCGGCGCTCTGATTGGTTGGTTCATTGGCGCCGGCCAATCAGAGTGCCAAACACGTACTCGTTTCGAATACTTTAAACGTAAATCAAACTTGTACTAAGGCCTTAGAGCATTTATTACTCCCATACTATTTAGTACATATTTATGTTTGTTTATGTAAACTTACCTGACACTAAATTAAATTGTCTGCTATTAAGATTAATTGAAACTTAACAAGAGATGATAAAAAAGGGGTTTAAAATCACAATTATTCTTCATTGTACAACATATTCAATTTTGTCAGCTACTTATTAAAATTTATCTAATTAATTTCATAAGTAACCCAATTACTAAACATCGATTGTAATTCCAGCCCCTTGTTATTCTAAAATATACAAACTCAATCATATTTTTAAAACATTTGAACAAATAAAAAAGTAAAAAGGTAACACAGAACGTCAACATACTGACAGATTGTATCATATTGATTACATTTCCCCATGAAACACACTGGCTGGCCAGTGGCACAGCTCCACACGACACTAACAATTACTGGCACATCAATAAACGTACTGGCCGTTAAAAGAAAAAACAAAACGTCAGATTTGAAATTCGAACATGAATATAATGCAAAGAATTTCGGTAGCATGTGATGTGGTATGCAATATGCATGCAAGGTTGCTACTTATTCTGAAGTGTTTGTATCACGAAACACTTAAGTTAGGTCTTAAATTATTTAAGACTAAAAAGTTAATATTCGATTGTCGTACAAAGAAAAATTCAAATAGATGTTAATAACATAATTCAAGTTAGAATACACATTATCTTCTGGTTAAAAAACATGATTTCGAAATGAATTAAAAGCTATAAAAAAGTCTTTTAGTATGGAATTTTGAACAATATGTTAAGGCACTTGCAATGAAGCAAATATCTCCTAAAAGCAATATGTTAAAAATAGCTACCTATTTTCAGTTAAGATAAATATGTCAGTCATATCTTAAACCATACGAACGCAATAAATCGTAAGGAATAGAAAGTGATAAGAAAAAATACTAAACCCAATTGTCCAATATACCTCTAGAAAGGAAAATTCAATCTTAACATTTTGCAATTTTAGGTCGTCTTTCCGTTAACAAAGTAAAGCCTAGTTTCAGTCTAATAACTTTATCTCTAAAAGCTCTTCGTAAACTATTACAACAAATTATTGGATATGTCACAAAGTTTCATTATTTAAGCTACGCGTAAAATCTGGGTGACCTAAATTCTGAGTTTTTATTCTAGACTAAGGGATGAGGACATTAGGTGCAGACCTATTTTAGTATTTAAGGGTACCTAAAGTTATTTGGAGCGTAAATGTGGGGCTGGGATTAAGGTGAACGAGATCTCTTTATGTCAGTGTTGAAGGATTTGATATGTATAATAAAGGTCTTTCTGTTGCTTGTTAAACGAGTTTAGTGATGTAGTTATCTATCGTTGATGTACTCTCGTTAAGGTAAGTAGATTGGAGATTCGTCGATGAGAGAATAATAATAAGGATGATGACAGGGTATGAAAATTAAAAAACTAATTAGTCAGTAAGTTAGGTTATGAAAAAATAATAGACACGTATTTTTTTATTTCGTCGTATGATAAAATAATACTTACATAACATGAATCAAAGTTTGAGAGTGGGGGCTAAAACGTCATTTCTACGTAAAAAAATGTACGTAGAAGTGACGTCACGCGACATTGCAGATCAATATATCATCGATAGCATTTGTTTCTATAAGAAAATAAAAATACGTATCTAAAAATTTAAAATAATCTACATTAAAATAAAAATTAGGCATCTACCTTTTTTAGAAAAAGACACACGTGTATGAGAAATATATCTCTCTGCTTTAAATACATACTACTACGACTCTATTCGTTTGGTATAGAAACTAAATTGAATTAAACAAACTTCGTCGCCTTGCAACCACGGTTGCACGAAGCAAAATTAACAACTTTTTCTTTGCAAATGTGGTTGCAAAAAGCAATCAAGGGGTTAAAATAAAAATTAGGCATCTAACTTATTTATAAAACGATTTGAACATTTTCAATATTAAAACGTTTTGGTATCTTATAAACTACATCGTATAATATATTAATCGTATTGTTATAATAGTTATCGAGTCTACTAGCGTATACACCTAAATATTATTAACTGCAATCTCTAATTCGTTTGATAAGGATGAAGGATGGCGATTATGGCAAACCCTTTTATGTAGACGAGACTCATAGCCCAGCGGTGGACTAAAACATACTTTTTCATTGATTGTATTGTAGCGTTAACAATACTAATATTCGTTCACTATCACGTGAACATAGATTTAAAATTGCAGACTAATAAATTATTTTGAACCTTAGCACACATAAAATAGGTACAAGTTATATTGTACCTACCTAGTAGGTAGGTTCGTGCTGCGGTGCCCACTACATAGATAAGTATTTCACCGCTCAAGTTGTGTCGGACCTAGCAGACATATTTATGGAAGTCAAAATTAAGAAACCCCACTATTTATGGTCGTAAATTGCATTAATTTATTTTTTGTATTATACTTACGTATTGTAAGTAACTTAATATGGAATACTAGCGACCCGTCCCGGCTTCGCACGGGTGCAATATGCATGTATTATACATATAAACCTTCCTTAAGAATCATTCTATCTATTAAAACAAATTGCATCAAAATCCGTTGCGTAGTTTTAGAGATCTAAGCATACATAGGGACAGACAGACGTCGGATAGCGACTTTGTTTTATATAATGTAGTGATGATTAACTTACAATAACGGTTTAATCATGTAGATATTCTGAGAAAAGCTCTTCTAGTTTAGAGTCACAGACTGAGTCTTCCTCGTGAGCAGCCTGTACAGACGCGGTGACGTCACA